GGTTCTCCATAATTTCCTGTCCTTTGTAGATTTTAAGAAATTTTTGTCCTATGAGTATCAAATTTTCTAAACCCTCTTCCCTCATTATGTGCTCTAGAAATTTCAACTATCTCTTTCTGATGTTAAGTATAAATTATGTTTTTGTTTCCATTTTCTCTAAAATTTCATCATTGCTCACAAGTTTGGTCCATGGTATTCTCCGCATCCTCCTGTAGAACAACATTTATATTGCTTCAAGTTACCTGTTTTTCTTCCTTTAACAGGAATTTATTAAATTTTTGAATTTTCTCCCTTTACCTCAAAACTTGTCAACTTTAAATGGTGATAACCTTTAAACCTGATTTGATTGGGGTTGTAAAATGAGTCAAGATTGTGTTAGGGGAAACACTTAACTGACTGTTCCCCTGAGAATTACAGGGTAACAGGAAGATAAAGGGAAAGTGACAGAATGAAACAAAATAACCCTAACCCTCAGAAACCACAGCACGCTGGGTGGCATGCAACTTTCATAACAAAATGCATGAAGGGAACATTTTCGCAAGACACCAACTCTTATCAACTGCCCACTGCTGGTTTTCCCATCACTTTTATTTACATGAGAGTTGATAAAGACCTGGATCTGGACACGTTGCAGAGTGGCCCGTATGTGGACATGCCAAGCTGTTCATAAGGTTAACAGCAAAAACTTGGATGTAACTCGTTTTGACAGACATGTCTGTATTGTCTTGCGTTCACTACAATTAGAATACTAAATGTTTGTAAAGACATGATATTGCTAAGAGCTACAAAGAATAAGAAGTTGTGAAGAGCCATAAATGAAAAAAATAATGGTTTGGTGCTGAGGCTTATAAACTCTGTCTCAATTTTCTTGCCTTGTATTTCCGGTTGAAAAAAAACTTTGATAAAAATGTGCTATGGTTTGTTTTCAATCTTGCTCAGACATGTCTCCTTTCTATTTTACATTAAGTTGAATAAAAACAAAAGAAATTATGTGATTCAATTTAGGATGCATTATTATTTATTTATTTTTTTTAATGCCATATCCTTCACAATGTAGGCAGTCATAACTCCTCACAAATTACTTCATTTATATTATCTGTGATTTGCCATGTACTCTTGGAAAGATATTGGAGTGGTTTCCTGTTGCCTTCTCAGTTTTGAATTCAGAACTTTTCTTCTCTTAGACTGATTGTCATCCAAGTCTAGGGGGCCCAGTCTGTCCTGTTATTTAATCCATAGTTGTGGGAAGAAAAGAGAGATTCATTCCTTTCTCAAGGGCATTAGTGCAAAAATGAATGCAACAGATTAGTCCGAAATTTAAACTCGGCTTGCTGATGCCAATATCAATTACACTAACTGCATATTACATTTGTTATTAAGTGTTGTAACCTAGGGAAGGTTACTAAATAGAATAGTCAAACGAAGGTTGGTAATGAATGATAATACTTAGGACAAGAACAACACATATAAGATTCACCAGTGGCACATAGATGTAGTAGTCAACTGCTAGAAGTGAGTTAAGTGAATTCCACAATGAATCTCCAACTGCAGACCAACCTACAGTATTTACTACTGTATCTATGTGAATATGGGGACATACCCATTATTGTCCGTATGTATGCTACAACATTAAGGAATTCACTTTGTTTGATCTCTAATTTAAAGTAAAAAAAAAATTTAAAAAAAAAAAGATTTTTTCAATTTTTCTAGATTTTATAAAAAGTGCTAATTGAATTTATCATCAGGTAAAGTACTATTAATTTAATGTTCAAATAGTATTTCTTTCACAAATGTTGTCTTTTTATTTACACTATTTACATTGTTTGGACTGTTGTTCTCATCTTTGTTGCCATATTCACAACGTTTTGACTGTTGTATGCTCCAGCCTTCTTCAGGTGATTGGAATTTTGAACTGAACTCTTTATTTCGTCCACTGAGGTAAATTGTTCTAGTTTCACATGTCATGCCCCTTCCGGATGTCAGTAGTTGAAATAAAGGGTTTGGTTCAAAATTACAATCACCTGAAAAAGGCTGGAGCCGAAACATGAATATGGCAACATCTCAGAAATATAAACAGAAAATGTTATCTTGTTTTCTGTTATAAAGTTACTTGGTTAGATTTGAACCTCTGTGGGCAGTCTTTATAGCCTAATTGGTAAGGCAGCTGTCATGCAAAGATAGGATACTTAAGGAAAAAAGGATGTTAGTTTGTCTCACCAGGGGTGTATTTATTTGCAGTGCTGTTTACTAATGTCAAAAAAATGATTATCTTGAACGATCGTTATAAAAAGCAACTGAAATTAAAGTTAAACTGTAGACATCGTAGCAGAAGGAGAAGGCCAGCATGCCAAACCCTGTTGAATTTCTTTGAGATACTTAGAGCCACAGCCTGAGCAATTGTTATTCTGATCTAAAGCTTAATAAACAAATTCAGTGATGACCATTTAACAAATCAGTGGTAGACCTGGAGAAATGGAAGCCATATTAAGAAAGATGCTTGACCAATTCAGCATTGATTAGAGCCTCAAGTACATTGCAAAAATATGTATGAGACTAATAGGGCAATTATTCGAGTGATCAGATAGTTTCCAAAGACAGAGATACAGAGGACTTCCAACAAACTGGAAAGAAAGAAGCTGCGAGGTATTTATTGTAAAATTTGGAGAGAACAGGAGCCATTTCAGGAGAACATTTCATTATGACAATTTCAGGAATACGGTTGAATCTGCAAACCTTGTGGGGATCTAGTTTAGAAATGATAGCATAAAAGCCATGGATGGAGTTATGTGTATATCCCTCAGTAGAGACTCTGTTCTAGTGGAAAAATTGGGTAGAGATACTCCAGATGAGTCAAGAGTGGAGTTGGAAGAGAATTTCCAAGCAAAGCATTCTGCTTTATTATCTGCAGTAGATTGATTGAAGAGAGGAGGAGGAATTGAGTGGATAAAAGCATTGGTTGAGTAATCCAAAAAATGAATGGACCCAAACACATGCAAGTTCAATACCTGGCCACAGCGGAGCTGGTCACAATAAAAGGAACAAAAACTTGGAGAATTTTCATTGACAAAAAAGATTTTGGAAATAATTTTTATCTATCACTCAGAAGGTTAAAATGAGAACAAATTTCTCATAACAGGTCGGATGTACTGTACAATTAAGGCAGGAGTTATGAAAACAAATTCTGTCATAGGTGGCCTGGTTTGTATCTTTGTTGGACAGAGATGGTTCCAGAAAAATGGAAAAGATTTGGAGAATTAAAATTAATGGCTGGAATGGAACTCCACCCCTTCTCCTACTCACTTTAAAAATTAGATTTCTCATAAAGACAGTTATGCATGCCCTGGGGAGTAGGCTGAGGTTGAATACTGAGAAGGAGGGATGAGTGTTTTTTTTTTTTTTTTTTTTTTTTTTTTTTTAAAGCATTTCACCCCAAGCAAGGCAGGATTGCCACTAGCACGCAAAGGGGTTACAGAGAGTGAGAGCAAGAGTAAAGAGGGGGTGTTTGAAGAAAGGACATAGAGAAGGATGGGGATCAGGATCAAGGCATCAGGTGTTGATTGACATTACATTTGAATATTTGAAGATTATAGCTATCAAGGAAGCAAGTAAGAGAGAGGGAGTTCCACTGTACAGAAATGCGAGAGAAGAAGCTGTTGGAGTAGAAGAGCTGGTTAAATTTAACTGTTCTCCAGCTGACTGGGTCTTACTCAAGTCCCATTGAAGAAATAAAATAACTGTGCACCACGACTAAAACAAAAAGTGGGTGGGGGTAGAATTGCCTATAAGAAGTATAAATGCAAATTGTTGTTCTAAATATTTTATTCGATTGAGTGGTTCAGGAAGTAATAGCTTTGAAATATTTAGGAATTGTTACTTTAACCTTTCTTTAAGTAAAAGACAATTTCAAGGAATTGGGGGAGAGTTCAACGAGTATAGGTTGTGGATTCAACACCAATGTCAGGAGATAATCCTAGGAACAATTATGTATACACACACACACATGACGTAATGTATTTTAACGATTACATTGAACAATTGCCAAGGCTGGCTGCTACGAAAATTGGTTCACTGTGTTGTGCTAAGCAATTTCTCTTGCCAGAATCTATCTTAAATGTTGCTGCCATATCTGGTCTGATGCTTCTGCTATATTCATTGAGAGATTCTTGACAACAACCAAAGAAGAATCAGCAGTGTTTTCACTTTTGACCTGGTGTCTTGGCTTCAATCACTTTCCCACCATCATATGCAGCTTCCCTGTGCCTTTTCTATAAATATTTTAATGGCAATTTTTCTGATTAGCTATGTCTTTGGTACCTTGACTTTGTGAATTTAAGTATAGTACAAGATTAGCAGCTAGATCTCATCATTTTATTGTTGAAATTGCTAGATGCATCTGTAAGTTCTACTCTAATAGTTTCTTCTCTCACACTTCTTGCCTGTGGAACTCTTCTTCCAACTTCTTGCTTTCCTGTCAACCATGATCTTTAAATATGTAAATGCAGCATCAATCGTTATCCTAATTCTTTTCGAAACCCATTCTTTTATTGTCCTCTCTTCTCAATAACATTTTCTCAGTTTCTTTCACTCTCAGTAATCCTTTGTGTCTTAGTGGCTTTATTGCCTTCCACTCCTCAAACCTTTGTTTCTTGTGATCTTCATTAATCCCTCACTCTTCAAACCAACATCATTCCTTAGCAGTTCCATGTGTTTTAGTCTTCTTTTTTCCTCTTTTCTGTGTTTATGCTCCCACAAGAGTGCTTTACTTAAAAACTCATCTTTCCTCCTCCAAATGTACCTAATGGATTAGCAGTCCTCAAATCTGTAGTGATTCCATTATACTTTGCAGTTATTTGTAGAGAGTTCCTTGTTTGTTTTGTGCTTTTTGTCTGATATATCACGTATAAACCTGATCTTTCTCGTGTATGTTCCATCAAGACTGTCACTCATCTATTTTGTTAAAGTCCACTTAAACTTTTCATGCTATGTTTTTTTTCTTTTAGACTCAGATGCGGCACTTGTTAGTTGAGGAGCTGCAGGAATGTGTTCCAGGTGGAAATATTCTCAAGAAACGAGACCCTGAAGCTGCCAAAGATGATAACTCCCTTTTGTTGAGGGCAGCAAACTGTCTAGTGGCCAATCATCTCCAGAAGAGTGAATATGAATACACGATGGGAATATTTGTTCCCGAGAGTGGCACATATCCAGACAAGGTAAGTAATTTGCCATTTCTGTGTATCTAAATGTAGTTGCAAATAAAATTAAACATTGCTATTAATGCCTTATCTCTTTAAGTACTTTAATTACAAAGACTTCTTGCCTTAAAAACATTATCTTTCAGTAATATACTAGTCAAAATCTTTTTTTTTCCGACTCTTTGTTATGACAAGCCACATATGTTTTATTGGATTTTTGCAAAAACTTCACCACACCATCTTTTAAATAATACTATGAAAATCTGAGAAGTTTCTCTGAGGCTTACTTGAAAGTTTGTGCAGTCAGTCATTTGGGGGATGTCATTTACAAGTCTTTGGATAAATTCAAATAAATTCAAAAGCCAGGAAAATGGGTTTTACATATAGCCTGATGTGCTTTTACCGATTTCACCACAGGCTATATGATGGTTCCGTATAGGATACAGGTTTGATTCCTGTCGGAGGACTCATATTTTCTATGACAATTTCTCGGACATTCAGGCCAGTAAATGTTGTTAATACTGTTTATTATAAACAGAGCATTTACTTAAATATTTGTATAAAAAAGAATGTATAAACATAAAAATGTCTTAAAATAATTGTCGGACTTTGTCCATTTCATGATGTGTGAAATCAAATTGTATGACTTTGTAAATTAATAATTCTTGACAGTGTGTGTTTTTTTTTTTTTTTTTTTTTTTTTTTTTTTTTTTCACTAGATTTTGAAATGTCATTCTCTGCTTCCAAAATTGTTTAACTGAAAAGGTGCATTGTAAAAAGATCAGTATTCCAACAGTTTATAATGTGTGGTCCAAATTCTCCCCTGTCTGGCCCAGCCCAGCCCAGCCCCCAAATTCACTCCAAGCTGGGAATTATCCCTGTATGGTCGAGAACAAGCACAATGGATTATACCACTCTAAGTCCGTCATGATATTTTTTTGGACAATGTTAGTTACTTGGTAGTATCACTCCCAAAATAAGATGTGACAGGTTGTACTGGATTACATGATACTAGTACCAAGATGTTATCCCTGATCTCAGGAAAAAAAATCTTACACTCTAATAATATTTTCTGGCTTTAAATAACCTGCAAAGGGTTGATAAACCATAGAAAATGTATCAATCAATCAATGAAATACTGATTAATTTGCTACACAGGCATCTCCTTTTAGATTTATTTACATTCTATCGAATATAAATGTATAGAAATTAATGTGGCCACAAAGTGAGGGATCAGTTTATATATTGATTGTAATATAGAATTGATCCCTGATATTATAATTTCTTGTTTGTTTATCAAATTCTGATTAGGTATGAATTCACCTATTCTCCCCCGCCTGGTTATGGGTTAATTAGTAAGACTTGTATCAGTAAACCATTATTATCTCTCCCCACAAAAAAACAAAAATAATTCTTATAATCTAAAAATATTTTCTGGCTTTAAATAACCTGCAATGGGTTGATAAGCCATAGAAAACACTCAATCTATGTGGTGTCTCAATCATAGTGTCACATTTACACTTGGTGCCAAAGATTAAAAAAATTTACATCTGGGGGGGGGGTGATTGTCCTTAGTTTTCTAAGCCCCCCCTCCCCACTTTTTGGAAGGTTGACATGACAAAGACCTCATTTTTTAATCAAGCCACTCAAATTATCTTCATGAATATTTTTCTATTGTTTTAGTTTCAACAAAATTGCCACCAATAAATGGTTATTTTTATTAACAAGTGATTATGTTAATACAAATCTTTGCTTTTTGTTTCTTCACAGATGTTTTCCACGGCTGACCTGCTGCAGCTGCTTCATATTAATCCATCATCTGAATTGTATAAAAGGCTGGTAAGCTGTTCAGTGTTTACTTCAAATAAGGCTTCACAAGAACACAACACAATTTATTTACACAACATAATTATTTATTTATATACAGACTATTGTCCTCATCTTTGTTGTTATCACAACATACTTGGACTCCGTGGAAACAGTAAGCAATAACTGAACAGTACTAAAAATAAGAGGCTTACAGCCATATCATGTTGAAACACCAGTTCTTGCAATATCACCAAATTTAAGCAACATCAAGCCTGGTCAGTATCTAGATGGGTGATCACTTGGAAACACCACGGGTGTAATGGATAATGGCCAGGGATTAGAAATTGGAGATCCGAGTTTCAAATCTACTTGAGTTCTTTATGTTAACTTATATACAAATACTCTTGGGAAAGGCATGAATCCACCAGTAAATCATTATTTCCAAAAAAAAAACTCTTACAATCTAAAAATATTTTCTGTCTTTAAATAATCTGCAAATGGTTGATAAGTCATAAAGCACAAATCGATCAATGAATCTAAAGATAAGAACTAGATGAGATATCACTAGACATGGGCAGTGGAATAAGAACAGTCTACCTCCATAGATTAAATAAACATTCAGAATTCTTTGTATCTACCTCGATTGATATACACCTGATGAAGGCTGCAGAGCACAATGGCTGAAATGTTGTGATAACAACAACAAAGATGAGGACAATAGTCCCTATGTAAATAGTGTAAATAATAACTGCTCATCTTAAAAATTCAGTGAGAAAGAACTTAATTGATTTGGATGGAGGGACTTGATTGACATTCTTTCAAAAACAAATACAGGTTGGCTGTTACCAATCTAGCAATTGGTAATCTACTTCCATCAGTTTTCTACCATTAATTTTCACAAGAGCACTTTCAGATTTACTGGGTTGTTGCACACACCTGCAACTACTGTTTTCTAGCACTTCCTGCTGTTTTTGAGCACTTTTAAACCCTGTTAACGTACCTTTACATATCCTTTGTATATTTCTATTCTAAGCTGAAGATGTTTAGCTGCAGTCATGGTTTCAATGAATACAAGAAGTGCTTCTTGTAGCATGAAGCTCAAACGCCATACGTTGATCATAACAGATGAGGTAGAATTGAAAAAAACTTGACAGTGGCATGTTTGCATCTAAAGTTTATGACATAGAAAAATAGAAAACATTACTTTCTATCAATAATCCATCAAAATCACTTATCTGGCACTCTATCAGCCTCAGTGATAGTGTATTAATGATGGTCACACTGTACAATATTGTTAACACGAGAAGGAACAATTTTTCAGGAAAATAGTTTTCTCAAGTCTACTATTATTGCTCTCTCTAGTATTGATGGTGGCGGGGAGGGCTTCCTTCGTAACTGTTTGAATTAGTATGGCATGTCAACATCTGCGTTATGTCATGATTTTCTCTTCGAGTTATATGTGATATCTATTTTAGTTGTTGCTACTGTTGAATGTCCGCGAGTGATGTGGTTTCTGTTCTTTGGCTAAGTTTTTTTCTTTGTGATTCTATAGGAAGAATAAGGATGGTCCTCAGTAAAACCTACATGCTTCATGCAGTCAAAGGCATTATTCACCAATGATCTGAAAAAACAGTTGTATACAACTGACAGTTTAGATATTTCTGAACAAGTTTGGTGTCATGCATGATATCCATATGAAAGTTTCCATGTTCAATTTTCTTATCACCTGTACTAAATCTGTTATAACTAATCCATTCATACACAGAGGTATTTACTAATTCTACATCCTGAATTTTTAGGTAGGTGTGATCACTTCTTTCATTCCAATTCCAGGTCATAGTTTCTGTTTTGGAAACATTTATCTTTGAGTCCTATTTCTTGGAATACTTGGGAGAGGATGTTGATTTGATTTTTTTTCTTTTTTTGTTCATTCAAGATCATTCTTATCCCAACTATGAATACCTATGTCAACAGCCTAGTCCCTCCCCTCATCATCAGTACATTGGCCTCAGGAGAGAAAGTGAGAAAGAATGTTGTTTTCTATTAATTGATTTGTTTGGGATATGGTATGGAATGCTTAAATGATTAGTGCCCATCTCTTTGTATCTGTACTTGTATATAGTATAGAAAGATTAAATAGTGATGGTCAACCTGTATTTTATAAGGTCTGTTGCTATTAATCTGGATCATACTAAGCAAGCAGCCATTAAAACAAAAACTGAAAAACAAATTTAATGCCACTGAGATATCCTTGAATCAGTTACTAAGAGTGAAGCAAGTAAAATGTAAGAAAATTCAACTTCAAATTGAACAATACTTCAATGTTGCTCTTCAGTAATTACATAAGAACTCTTGTTTTCAGCATGACTTGAATGTGAGCCATAAGTATTTTTTTTTTTATTTCAACACCTTTTTCCTGCATTACTGTTGGCTGACTTAGGATTTTCTTTTTTTTTTCTTTTATGAGATTGCATTTTTGTAGAAAGGATGGAAAAGTTATGATTTACCATTTATCCATCTAAATTGGCAATATTTCTTTAGGTAGAAATTTTAAGGTAAAAGATTTTGACACATTACTGGCCATAATTGCTGAAGCTGATTTCCAAACTACATCAATGTAAAATGTATCTGTATCTCTACATATGCACAAATCTCTTGTATTAAAGCAATTTATTTAAAATTTAAGATGGTTTGGATGCTCACTTGTCCAAACTATGATACTTTATAAGTTGTTAGAATTTTTGAGGCAAAACAATTTTGTTATTAATTTTTGTCTAGCTTTTCTTTCCTCTTTTTGCTTTTTATTGCAATTCTCATGTTGTTTGACATCATTTTTTTTTCTTTTTTTTTTTTAATCATTTCACCCCAAATAATGCAGTAAAGCCCTTAAGGCACAAGGAGATACTGAGTGTGAGAGAATATGAGGAAAAAATCATTATTAAGGAGAGAGAACAATAAAAGAGCAGAAATTAAGAAGACAGATGATAACAATATTGTATTTGCATTTTTGAGGATAAAAGTTGATTGGAAAGAAAGAGACCACAAAAAAGTTCCACAAATGAAAAATGTGAGAGAAGAGACTGTTAGCATAGAACTTACAGCTAAATCTGTCAATTTCAACTGTAAAAGATGAGACCTAACCACCAATCTAGTACTGCGCTTAAGTTCATAGTGCTGCATATAATGCATAATTATATCATTTTTTTTCCTACTTAACAATGTGTAAAAGCAAATGCAATACCCTGCCCTCATCAGCCACCAGCCAGGGGAGATAATGCAGTTTCAGTGGCTAAGGTGGTACTGCAACTATCAACATTTGCTATAAGACATGGTATTGTTTCTTGTGTAGGCATGTCAGTCTCTTGTAATTTTTTTTTTTTTCAACAGCAAGTTAGATTTTCAACATTGTGCTAAAAGCATTTGTTTTGATCATTAACCAATATGCAATGCACTCAGAGCAACTGTTATCAATGACATAGAATGGGAGGTAAACAGATGTGTTTCATGTTGGAAGTAGTGTTGTGTTGCAAGCTTGGTTTTATTAACTTTGTTTATTTTGGATCTTGATCAGATCCAACTTGATGCTTGTTGAGCTGTGATCTGAAGACAATGTGAAGTGATGGCCACCTCCTAAAGGAAGAAAATGATTGACCATACAAAGAAATCCATGGCTCTTGACCTCAATACGTAGCACATGACATGTCCACCTCTTTTCCATGCAGTCAGATCACAGTGATTTGTAGCAGTTTTTCTTTCACTTGTGTACCTTCTCCATGTTCACTTCCCATGGAACCATTAATTCTACTAGGAGGACACACTTCTTTGAATCAGACCATGCTACAATGTCAGAGTGCGTGTCTGTGTGATGTTTACTGGGAATTGCAGAGGTCTTCTAAAATTAACTAACACCCTCCAATCATGGGCTCCATTCAGTAGCATCATGTTGGGAGTTATTTCAGTTTTCTCATTCATTTATTTGAGTAATTGTGAGATTTTTGGTGTCTTGGCAGCTGGTGGGGTGTTTTTATTGAGTTACAATTTCTGGATAGATTGTGAAGCAAGGCTAAAGAGCTTCTATTTATCAGTTGAGGACTCAGGACTTGGTATCAATGTCAACTGTCAATGGCTTCTGAACTGTTCCATCTACCCAATTTCATTCATCAGTCAAGGGAACTTCACAAAAATATTACACATGGGGATCAATTCCTCGGGCCAATATTATCAATAAATCACCTCCTTAACTAAATTTCCCATGGTGAGATTTGAACCTGGCTCTAAGTTATTTAATTGGCATTTTCTGTAACATATTTGATTATGAATAATCAAATATGTTACAGAAAATGTTAAGAAAGGCATGGATCCATTTCTCCCTGCACTGTCTCTCATTGCCAGATATCTTAATTTATATTGGAGAAGAGAGTGGATGTGAAAGCCCTTGACCAAACCACTCTCCTACAACACACTCACCTACTCAGAAATGGTTAGAAAAAAAGCTGATATTCTCATTATCAACCTTGACAAGGACCGATAAATTTGCATACCATGTAATTAAATATTACAAATCATTTTATACTTAAAGATTTTCTTTTTTTCCTTCTCTTTACAGGTTTCTCAATTTGCTAGTTACTCAAAAAAAGGTAAATTGTTTTTATATAGCAATTTTTATTTTATGTGATTGACTTTTTTAATCCAACATTATTACTATAAACTTTATTTTAGTTGGTACACATGTTTGAGCTGATATCCCTATTTTTTAATATTGAAATTAATGCCTACTAGCTTAGCCTATCAAAAAGATTACATTTTCTTTACCAGATGTTAATTTCACTGTTTTAAAAACTGGAATGTTTACTCAAACATGTATTCACTAAAATAATGTTTATATTAGGTTGTCACACATGGAATGACGCACTTTATAGGAAATGAATAAAACACTTCTGAAATTTTAAATAACTAATGTATTTAGTTGAAATAGACACCATGTTGATAAATGACTTTTCTCCAACATACCTCTAAATTCTTGATCCAATCTTTAAAAAATTCTCATCCTTTGATGTGATAAACTGTTCAAATTCTTCAATTACCTCTTTCTTATTGGAAAACGTTTTATAGCTTACGAAAAGCTCAAAATGCTTAAATAGGTGATAATCAGTAGGAGATATATCAGGTGAATATGGAGGATGAAGCAAAATTTCATATTTCAGGCTATGCTGCTTTTGGACCGATGCTTGAGAAGCATACAGCTATGTGTTGTCATTCAGCAAAATTGGGCGATCCCTATTCACAAGTCTAGGATATTTGTTTTTCAATTTTTCATTCTCCACAATACGAGGTTGCAGTTACTGTTTTTCCCTTGAGGCAAGAATGAATAATGAATAACCCTTTTGAAAGACCACCATATAGTAACCATTAACTTTTTAGGATGCAATGTAGGTTTTGGGTATTGTTTTGGTATTTTCCTTGCATCTAACCACCGGCCTACCCTCTTACTGTTGTCAAAGAGTATCCATTTCAAAAATGATTCTTTTTCCCAGTTTGTAATCATACAGTAAGATAACATTGTAATTATTTTTATTGGGCTTGTGAGTAACAATATATTGAAAGAAAAATTCTCTCAAAAAAGTCAGGAATAAGTCAAGATTTTTTTATATACTAAAGAGGAGGTTACTTTATTAGATGACCTGATCAACAACTAACTAAAACACGTGTCATTTCATACGTGGCAACCTAATAGTGATAATAGAATTCAATATTTTGCACTTTCAATTTCTTTTATAATCTGACCCTCAAAATTATTATGCAGTGAAGATCAGGCTTATGATCAAGTGTAATATATTCAACAGTATGACTAAACAAAAATGGTATAGGTGGTATGTTCAAGTGACTTGTTAGCAGAGGTTTATCTAGGAAAATAGTTCTGCTGTATAGATATCTGCTACCTATAATACAAAGTTAAAAAATACAACTCAAGACACACACACACACACACACACATATATATATATATATATATATATATATATATATATATATATATATATGGTCATGTACATTGATAAATGACAGTCATAGGCTGCCCTACACTATGTTTCAAGGACATTTTCAAGAGAGACCTGAAACTCACAGGCATTGATTCTGGTAGCTGAAAACCATTAACAGATAATTCCAGCAGCTAGTGCCATGCTGTTCATGGAGGAGTCTGGAAGGGTGAGAAAAAGAAAAACCTGCTGTTAGAGATAAGAGAACAAAGAAAGCAGAGAGCAATCTCAGACCTTCATTCCACATTCCCGCTTCATCTGCCACACCTGTAGGAGAGAGTGCCATACAAAGATTGGGCAATTAATCCACTCCAGACAATGCTTACAAAAGGACAGAATTTTGACTAAACAGGATGCTAATATTATCTCATGAAATAAATGGATGCCTACTATTATTACTACTACTACCACCTACTATATATTAGGCAGTAACTTTTATTTTATACATGTGTCATTACATGTAATGGACAAAGGAAAAATTTTTCTAATGTTCTTACTGTTTGCCATTTAAATTCTTACTGAATTTTAACCAAACTGGATGCTATTATCTCATGAAATAAATGGATGCCTACTATTATTACTACTACTACCACCTACTATACATTTAGGCAGCAGCTTTTCTTTTATACATGTTTCATTAAATGTAATGGAAAAAGGAAAAGTTTTTCTAATGTTCTTACTGTTTTCCTTTTTTGGAGGTTAAAAGTGTATAAATGATTACTGTCTCAAGCGCTTTCAGCCAATTCATTATCCATTTTCAAGGGGTTAATTGTTAAAGTGTTTTTATTTTGTGGAATTAGTAGAAATTCTAAGCTGTGTTAGAAAAGATGTGGTTGTGATTCCATGTTGGGGAGTCTTTTAAAATGATTTTTCTAATAGAGGTAGGTAGTACCTAAGTACTTTTTATGGCACTGAGATTACTTAACTTTTATTACATTGTATGTGACTTCATTTGCTGTACAAAATGTTTATCCTGCCAATGAAGGTGACTTGGATCCCTGTGTTTGAATTTCATAGTTGTGTTGTCATATCCTGCTATGGAAACAGAAAACAACTTTAAGTGAAATTAACAGTAACAATACTGCAATTGGGAAGCCTTGAAAGTGGCTTACAGTGGAAAAGGAAGTAATATTAAAAATGCAGAGTGCTAAAGGTTAAGTGGTTTGTCAGCCTTTGATTTATTGCAGCCAACATCGGCCTTATGTAGTGATTTTGTTTATTACAAAAGTAATAGTTTTGTATGGATGGGGCAGTGAAATTGATAAACTACATTTGTGTTCTTGAGTTTAGATTTGCTAGGCATGTTGTTATATTTGAAGGGAATTTAAAATTTGACAATATAAATGGTACCACCTGTTGAATATAATTCTAGTAGGATTAAGAAAAATTGCAATGAATTAAGATAGTGAGACATAGGTCCAGTTTAGACAAAAGTCAAAAAGGTAGACAAAAGGTATAGACTGCAAGTATCTGCTTAGTAGTTTTTTTTTTTTTTTTTTTTTTTTTTTAATCAGAGGTCAGTGTCTTACCACTTTGAAAGACATATTCTAAGCCTCACTGACAGAGCAATAAATCAATCCAGGTAACTTTGGAATGACTATATAAGTTTATTTCACCATCCAAAAGTAGAATATTTTTATGAAACATTTTCATTAGTTAAAATGGCATAAAGGATAAAAGCAGTTGCCATTAACTTACATTGGGAATGTTAATCGGAATTACTTGTTTGATTTGTGATATTTCAGAGATACTGGAGAAACCAGTATGAATTTTGGTCTTTTGTAAAAATGGTGTAAAGTGGACTTTGAAAAACTAAGAAGCTAGGAAGCATTTTCCAACATATACCATACTATATTTACAACAGTTGGATCAAAGCAAAAATAAACTATTACTGCCATATCTGGGATGGAGCTGCTCAATCCTGCCATGTCCTTCTGCCATATTTCATCTTTACAAGAGTCAGATTAGACCCAAAATGGAGTATTGCTGCTATATCTTGGCTGGAGCTGCTCAGTCCTCACTATCAAGCGTTGATAGAGTTCAAAACCCTTGTGGATGAAGATTAGACCCAAAATGGTGTATTGCGGACATATCTGGGCTGCCACTGCTCAATCCTCACTTTCCAGTCCTTCTGCCATGCTTTATCTCTATGGCCAATGATGATGTCTTGCTGGACCTGCTGCTGCTAATGGCTGGAGCCATGGGCCTACTGTTGACAGATGGAACTAATACTATACTTTGGCCTTAGTCATCTGGGCTGCAAAATTATAGTTTTTTTTTTTTTTTTTTTTTTTTTTTGTTTTGAGGTTTTTTTATATCATGAATCAGTTTTACAACAATTGCTTGTTAAACTTTTTCTTGTGGTTGTTTTTAAAGAAAAATGTGCCAACAGGATATAATGAAACTTAAGAATACTTATAATTTTCTTTCAGGTTTCCTATGGCAACTTCTGTATGAGCTTTCTTCTCTCTATTCTTCTGCGACTGTCAGTACATCAGTGCAGACGGACTTCATGCCTCAATATTCAGTATCCACACTTGGTAAGAAACTTCTTTTATTATTTTTTTAGCCACACATTTAGACTGTTGTCCTAATCTTGATTGTTTTTATATTCACGTCCTTTCAGCCACTGCATCTTCTGACCTTTTTGTTATATTTACTTCTGCTTGTTCTAAGGAGATAACAGAAGCAAATAGTCATTTGAAAGAAAAAAAAAAAAAAAAAATTAAACAAATCTTGTTGAAGCTAGTGATGAAAAAAAAAAACCTCTCAAAAATCCTCTACACTCAAATCGTTGAGTATAGGAACACGCCCTCTGCATGCTAAGCATTATTGATATGGTTTCCATTGTGAGAAGTTTGTCATGGGATGGAGTTACCATGCTCTTCTGATTTTTTTTTAATTCAGAGATGTCATTCTCCCAGAAGCCAACCAAGGCTGAAGAGCCCACACTGTTCTATTATTTAACCTATAAATGAGAGGAGATGGGTTGGATTCATACTTTTCCCAAGGATATTTACATGAAAATAAATGTAACGAAATTGACTGGAATTTGAACTTGGCTTTCCAATATATCATTCTGAGCTGCTGAACATTATGCCACCTGAACTTCCATTAAAAATTCAGAGATATAAAATATTGTCCAAAATCAACAAATCAGATTTCAGTTTCTCTAATTTCTGCAATATCAAATCTTAAGCTTTTGAAAATTATTTTCTTTTGGCTATTTCTTCTTTTTATATTGTTAACTCTGTTTCTCATATATGGCATCCGTCAGTCTTGAAAGATCTTGGATCTGAACCCAAATGGTTATGCTGATAGTGGCACAGCATCTGTTTTGGCTGTACAGGCCTACATGAGAATGACAGTCACAGTTGCAATGAATGTTGGTCGATGTTCTTTCCTTTGAGCACACTTCTTCCCAGCAGCAAGCCTGTTTCTTCTTTCTTTGCTCCAGCCCTCGGTGTAAATTGCATCTCCCACCTCTTGATATCCATCACCCTCATGTCCCTTTTGCAGACATCCTTGAACAATAGACAAGAAATGATTTCTGTTTTTGTTGTTAGTGGGCACAAAAAGCATTCAGTTTTAGCTAAATTCAAGCAAGTGATATAAACCAGTACTAACAATGGGATCCCAATTAAGACCAATTTAATGGACGATAAGAATCTAATTAAGAGAAAGGGTGTAATATTCCATCAGAATAATGCTAGATTGTATGTTTCTTATGTAACCGGGCCAAAATTATTACAGGATGACTGGAAAATTTCCACTCATCTTTTGTATTGTATCAGATCATTCCAAAAGTTTGTATCCGATTTTCATTGTTTTTAATTTTCTAATCAGGTATGAACTTTTGCAATGAGCTAATATCTTATGATTTATTTTAGTCTTTACAGAATTCTCTTACTGAGAAAAGATTCAGTTTCTCAAGAAGATTGCAAAAGGCACCTAGAGCAATTCTTTGCATAGGTTATTAAAGGATGTAATTATGAAATTTCCTGAAAGATGACAGAATATTTTCAACATTAACTTTGTTGAACAATGTCATGACAATTGAAAGAAAACTATCATAATTTTTGGCCACTTACCAGAAAACATATGCAGTCTAGCATTATCTTGATGAAATAACAAACCTTTTTACCTTTGCTCTGGACGCTTTTGTTGTTGGTTGTTACCTTGAATTGGTCTAATTAAGAACAGTATTTGTTTCAATCAATTACTTACTCCCTTCCAATTCCACCATGTACAGACTTTGGTATGGTTAATGATAGTTCATTTCTCTTGGACCATCATCTCTTGTGTTCCACTTTTTATTGTCTATCACAATTTATTTTAAAATAATTTAAATAATATTATCCAATAAGGGAATTTTGCTTAAGACTTAGAATAGTAGATGACTCCTTTCAAATCCCACCATATACAAAGTGTCACCTTCTTTGGCATGGGTATTGGTGGCTCATTTTGCTTAACTGACAATCTCTTGCATTCCATGTTGTTGTAAAGTACCCACTTTTCATTGCTGATTACTGTTTAAAAACAGAACATTTACATTTTTAATTGCATTGGTTTTTTGTTCACTTAATTTATGTGGAAACCACCCATTAAAGTTACTCACATAACCAAGCTAGCAGAAAAGATTTTCATTGCTTAGCTATCTCCTGCATTGTACACCTGGCAAAAATGATGGAATCACTTGACTTAAATGATGCCTATCCATCTTTTTTACTTCATAGCAAATAAACAAATTAGATTTGACTCAAAACAGTTTAATAGATGAACACTCTGATTTTGTGTAATATCTCAAACAAATGAAATTCTTTTAACTAAATGGGATAATTTTTTCCAGATGAATGGAGGAAAAAAAAATTATGAAATCATCAGCCAAAAGACTCAGTACTTCGTTGCTCTTCCCCTGGTTTTTATGACAGCCTAAATTCTTTGACGTGGGGACTTCACTAATGAAAATCAATATTCTCCATCAAGCTGGTTCTAAGTTTCTTGAATAGCAGTGATTCATTGCATCTTCTCAAGCTAACATTGATTGGTTGATATGAAGTGGAAAGATTATATTGAATCCATTGCTATGTCTTCTGCTAGGAAAGTTGATTCACCTGACATGCAACTCGAATCTCATGAATGAGTGGAGAAATTTGCTTGTTTTTTTCAGTTAGTCATCATTGTTGGTTTAAATAAACAAACTTCTTTTGCTACAGTGCTGGATTACCTTCACCAAGGAGTTTTATAATGCTTCCTATTGTTTCAATTCACAGCTCTCTTGCTGGATCCGTGTTTCCTTTCATCTCACCAAGTTTAACACATCATTAAGGTCAGCAAATACTCTTTTAACTGGAAATTAATTTTTATATTTAGATTTGTTTTAGGAATGCAGATTTTTACAAGGTGATGCAATTCTTTCCTTAATATTGGGTGATATTTTTTTTTTTCAATTTGATCTGGCAAAAATATGCTACAGGTCAAGTATCTGAAATTCCAAAAACCTCCAAAATCAGAAAAAAGCACTGGGAAGGTTCCTAGGTGATGTGCAGCCATTGTAAGTGACCTCATTTGCCCTGGGTGTTGGTTCCCTAGCCCAGCTACATAGTTTACTTTAGCACCAGTTTTTTGTTAGCAATCGTTACAGCTTCATTCATGGACTACTTACCAGGTGTTTCATGCTCAGTAAAGATATTATTCAAAATGTCAAAAAGTCCTGCATTTATATATTTTTCGTAAGTAGTGATCGTTATTTTTTTGTACATGTACAAAAAGAACAAAACATTTTTTACATGAAATCTTAATTTCACCACTTAAAAATCTGTATGCTCATTACATGACTAGTGTCATTAACGGTATTTGTATATACACAAAATTTATTTAATTTTATATATAGCTACTTTCAGGGTATCTTGTTATTTATATAAAACTACCTTCAGGTTATGTGTATAAACTGTGTTCTGAAATGTATAGGGATATCGTGTTTATGCTTGGGTTCCGATGATGGGATTCTGCACATCACTGTACAAGTTGTGATGACATCCAAGATCAGCTGTATGCAAATACACCACACTCTTGCTATCTTCCACAAGTCCATGATCGATGTCAACAAAGAGCAACAACAAATGGTTGCAAGACGCTCCTTTGATCAGGGAGTAGCAAAAAAATACATTTTTTCACTTAATTGTCAATGTCGTCTTCTACTTTGAGATAGTAAACTTCTGGTATCTCACTAACTTCTGGCCACGGAAAAATGATTTCTACACACTCACTGCCTGGTTGTTTCTGTGATTCCTGGTCCTTTCACTGCCTACACATTATATGTATAATGTCTGGCAGACCCGCTACCCCTTTCTGTTCACTCATGTCCCACCAACTTGAAAGGTGGATCACCCAAGCGACTTTTGGGTGGTCAGTTTTTTAAAGGACCTTACTTTTACAACTATCTAAAATCACTAAGAAAACTTTGTTTGATGATTCGAAGATCCTGGTTATTAAATTTACTCAAAGATAGACTGGAGACAAGATTCCTGCGGAACCCTGGTCATTAAATTGACTTAGAAGGAAAAGAATCTATCTATTCATCTCCGAAGGATGTGAGAAATCATATTGCTACAATTCCCAAGCTGTCCCATTTTATAGATGATATATACAAATTAAATAGCCTGTATTCCAAAATTTGAAAAAAATCTGAAAACCAAAGCAGCTTCAGTCCCAAATATTTTGAATAAAGGATTCTCAACTTGTATTAAATTAAATAATTTAATCTAATTTGTTTGTGGTATATTTTATGAAAATAGAATGTTTGGTTATGTCTGTGATTTATTTGCTGCAGAGTAAAAATAAATAAATGCTGCATGAACATTCTTGAAGTTTGGTGATTCCATAATTTTTGTATACTGTTGGTTATTCTCAATTCTTGATTTGTTGTACGGTTGTCTTTGTTCAAAATAGCTGAGAATTAAGAAGGCTGTAATTAGAGAGAGTATTGAATGGAACAAAAGGCTAGGTAGAGAAAACAAAGAAGAGATATATTAAATACTCATAAATAGAATAAAAATACTTGAGTAAACCAAATACTTTTCAAATCCTCCTCTAATGTGGCTACTTGCCATATTTATAAGTAGGAATAGTCCATTGTCACAATATTAGGGAAGAGCAGGAAGTACACCGAGTCCTACTCTATAACATGCTTTGCTGTCTATCCAATTGGCTTACATAACTATGGTGCAAGAAATCTTGGGTATAAAATTTTGCAAACCACTTTTGATAGGTTTAATAATTCACAGTACCTTCTCCATAAATTGCATAATTTTTTTTCACTTGAATTATTGTCTTTCTTAAAAAGCAAATGTTGAAAATATTATTTTCTTCTATTTCCAATGTTAAAATCAGTTAACAAAAATGCACCAATTTTGATCATGATGACTATGATATAAAACTGATCTTTTTAAATATAATTAAAGCCAAACACTCCCAATGACATCTAAACATAAATTTTTTAGATAATGTAAAGATGATAAACCAATAGCTTGCAACTGATGTTTCGCTCAATGTTATGTTTTCTATTTTTAGATGAGAAGCTAAATGGAGTGGAACGAATTTACCGTTCCAAGAAAGAGAAATACAATGAAAATGCCAAGGTTGGCCTGGAGGAAAAACTGGTGTCACTCCAAAGACAGCTGGAGGAACGATATGAAACTGAACTGCAGCTGGAGGTCAGTTTGGCATTACATTTAGATTTCATCACAAACACATTTACATAAATCTTTTTTTCTTTTTTTTTTAAATTTAAAAAATTTTTTTTACATTATTTACATGTGGACTATTGCCCTCATCTTTGTTGTTATTATCAAAGCAATTGTCCCTCTAGCTTCCATCAACTGCTTGTCAATCCAGGTAAGCTTCATATAATTTAAAACTGATTTCTTTATTTAATCTATGGCAGCAGATTTTTCTCATTCTGGTGGTGTAAGGGATAGAGGAGAGTCAAGTTAGAATTCCAGTAGAGTTAATTACATTCACTTATGTACAAATACTATTGGTAAAGGTATAATCCATCTCTTCCCTCCCCAGCTATGGGTTAAATATTAGGACTTGTATTAGTAGATCATTATTATCTCCCCTCCAAAATTCTTACAATCTAAAAATATTTTCTGGCTTTAAATAACCTGTAAAATCAAAATATACTGGTTGGAGTTACTACTTGTTACAGGGGAGGTGGAAAACTTTCAAAGTAAATGAAATTAACATTTTCAAAAGAAATGAAATTCAACATGTGGGGGAATTTTATATTTTTATATAAAGAACAACATGATTCACAAATAAAGAGAGGAAAAAAAACTTGTATATGTGTATACAGATTGCTAGAGGTCATAAAAAAAAGAGAAAAAAAGATAGAAAACAGCTTTGGTGTGTGAAAGCATGTCACATGGTTGGGTTGAAATTAAATAGCTGCCCTGGGAGTGGGATAAGAGTCCCATTGTTGTCATTGCTATATCTTGGAGTAAGAATATTTAACAATATATATATATATATATATATATATATATATATATATATATATATATATATATATATATATATATATATATATAGTTAAATATAACTGACAACAAATGTCTATTATGTTTTATCATGGGCCTTTCTAAGTGTTGTATAATGGCTTTAGTTTCAAGATGTGTGTGTGTGTGTACATAAGACATAAGTAGGCAACGGTAATAAGGCAAGAAGTTAACAAAATAAGTACACATTAATTTTTATCAATAACCTTCCTGATGGCATCAGCTCTCATCTCGGTATCTATGCTGATGACACAACCATTTACTCCTGTCTTGATATTACGTTTGATCAGTTCAATAAGGTCAAATTGGCAGCTGATCTAAAATGAGCTACAGTCTCTTGCTAATTGGAGCCTTCATTGCTTTCTATTAATAATATGGGAGATGGGAGGCCGCTAAAAAGCTGGTTCACTATGTCATGCTAGACAATTTTTCTCACTAGAATCTATCTTACATATTTATAAGTCTACCATTTGTCTGGCTGTTGAATATTGTTGCCACTCCTGGTATATATTTAAAGATTCTTGATAAAATCCAAAAGAATCTGCAACATTATTAGTCCTGATCTGGCATCTCAGCTTCAGTCACTTTTCCTGTAACATAGCTTCTCTGTGCCTTTTCTATAAATATTTTTATGGTAATTGTTCTGGCAAACTTTCTTCTTTGGTATGTAGACTTTATGAATTTAACTGCAGTACTAGATTGACGGCATGTCTCATCATGTTATACTTGAAATGGTTTGATGTAACCACAAGTGTCTGCTAAAAATTTCTTCTATTGCTCTTCTTGCTTCTCTGTTAACTTTGATCTACAAAAATTTAAATGCAATGTCAATTATTATCTTCTGTCTTCTTAATTCTTGTCCTTTTGTTGTCTTCTCTCCTTAATAGTATATTTTTCTCATATTCTCTAATACTCAGTAACACCTTGCATCTTAATGGCTTTATTGCCTTGCTTGGGGTGAAATGATTAGGAAAAAAAATTATTTCTTTTTCTTTTCATAAATTTCACAATATGGACAAAATGCATCATGTGTCATTCGTTTAATGCTTGCAAATTGTTTAATGTTTGGGTCAATTTCTTCAAAATATGCAAGGAGTTTATTCTTCAGTAGAAATAGACCTTCTGATAATCTCCTTATAGGTAAATTTCCTTTCTGGCTTCTCCTCCTCTGCATCTTCTTCTACCACTCTTTCTTCCTCCAATCTTTTTTTTTGATTTGGTCATTACTAATGACTGCACACCTGCTAGTATGTTCTCAGCCTTCCAGATGAATTTCTACTTTCAGCTATGGTACCATTTCCATAAATGGCACATGTTTTGTTTTTTTCTTTCCACGAATAGCATCAAATGATAAAAATGCATTTTGTTTTCCTTTTTCACTTTTAATGGAAAGCATTTAAAATTCTCAATCCACACGCAAACCATATAGAAAGTTGTTATGAAATATCACCTTTTAAAGTATGTATATAGCGATTTACTGATCATAGCTTAGATGTGGCACAAGGTCGAAAGTCTGAAGATCGAACTCACTACTCAATTATAATTAATCTAGTGAGACAATCTTGTTAACCATTACACCACATTGAAATATAGGCAAACTTGGACCTTCATGCCCACAAAAAACTGGAGTATTAAAAAGACAGTTTTTCCCTTGATACCACTATTTTAATTACTTTCACTCCTCCACAATGTTTATTTTTTTAAAAGTTAATGATTAGAATTTTTAATAAAAACTTAAATATATGAAAGGGAATTTATATATTTTTTTTGTTCTTGAGAATTTACAACAAAAATATTAAATACTATTTATTAGATTATTTATTTACAAGAATAATTTTATATTTACAACATTCTAAAATCTAATAAAATTCTATTAAAACTAATGCAAGGCAATATTTATTATTTATCAATCTACAAAGAAATAAATAGGAAAACCATTTTTTATTCATAAATTTATAAATATTTGTTAAATTATTAAAATATGTGGACCATCTATAAGGAAATCCTTATTATTTATTATCTTATAAAGTTTGAATCAATTGGCATTTAGCAAATGTTTTGCCAACCATTATTATAAACAATATAATAGTGTAAAGAAACAATTTAATAAATAGTATTCACTATTTTTGTTGCCAATTCTCTAGAACAAAAGAAATGTAAAAATTCACTTTCATATTTTTTGGTTTTATTATAATTATAGCTTTTTGAAACAATAAGCATTGCTGAGGAGTGAATGGAGTTAAAATAATAGCAGTATCAAGGAGAAAACTGTCTTTTTGATACTTCTTTTTTTTTTTTTTTTTTACAGTCATGAAGGTCCAAGTTCATCAAAATATGTATATATGTAAACATACAATGGGGCCTTTACCCAGCATTCCACTAACTGTTCTGGTACTACCCCACGTTACGCTTCCATTCTCGTTTGAGTTGGTGTGCACCAAAAACTGAGAAGCATCCATTGCAAACTGACAAGGAAATGAAACATGAAAATAAATACCACAGCATGAAATGAGGACTTGGACTTTATTTTCAATATATTTTGATGTTTGTTCAGGGATTCACTTTCTCTCACAGGGTGAGTAGGTAAGTGATACTTGGAACAGCATTTTTCTATGTCAGACTAACAAATCAGCTCTTGTCTTCAACTCTTCCTCCTACCAAATCTCTGCCTATTTCAGCATCACAATGTGTGGCTGGCAACACAAATAGGCGACTTTGGAACTTGAGGCAAATAAAGAAAACAGTAACCAGCGAGTAAATTCAAGCTCTCCCAGCTGGTATTTAAACCTTGAGTCGTTCCTTCTTGAGTTCTGTCTACAAATCACACTAAATGCCCGTTCTTACCGTGAACGTCCCTCGAAGAACTCCCCAACTCGGAAAAAAGTAGTTGCTTTTATAGTTGTTCATATACCCATAATCCCTTGCATCTTCATGTGATCCCATAATTCATTGCGTCCATGTCCCATAATGCATTGCATCGTTATTGCATAAAAATGCAATGCAAGTCCCCCCTCATTCTTTTACGTTATCTGGCCGAGGATGGATTACGGCAGAGCAGTAAGTGCTTTTTTTTCTCTCCCTCATTTCAACTGCAGTAGCTTTACATGCTAAGCAAATACGGGCTCTTTTTTGGCAGGGACAAGGCAAGTCGCGACCAGTTGTGCTCGTCCCAGGTTCTGTCTCATGTCCGCCACAGAACTACTCTAGGATACAATCTGTCCCCTGCCAAGGGCTGACCAGAACTGAATTTCTTAATCTCAACTGTGACCTTTAATATAGACCAGCAACTGGAAATTCTTACCTTCCAGCTTATTGTCACTTGACCTCAAATATTTTGATTTGCTTGCATGTTTTGAGTGGGTAGAAAATGACACATAGGGACAACTTCTGCCATGTCAGTCTAAAATCTCAGCTCTTCCCGCTTACCAACTCTCAGCCCATCGACACATCATGAGCTGTAGATGGTAACATGAACGATAGGCATCAGAGCTACTTGAGGGACAATTTGTTTCCCAGCAAGGACAGACCAAAACTGACTGTTAATACAGACAAGCAACTGGAAATTCTCAATGTCCAGCTTCTTGTCACTTGACCATAAATACTTTTGTTTACTGACTTGATCTTTTGTTCTCTATTGGTCAAATTGGTGTTGCAGAGAAGTCCAGATTTCAAAGACTGAATCTGTTAGCCATAAAACATGAAACATATGATAGAGAGAAAATCTCACACTCTCCCTTTCTTTATGGGTCTTCCAATTGTCATATCCTATATATTTACTAAATTTCAGTTACATGTGAAACAAAATCATGTTCATATGCCACCTATTGAAAAAACCCTACAAACCCTTTGTTCCAACATTATATATGAGACTAAATTTGACTGCTTCACCAGGTAGTCTCTGACCCAATTGATAAAAGGGACTCTAATGTCAACACATTAAAGGCTATTATGCTATTTATTATCTGTACTGCTTATGCTTTAAAAAAAAAAAATAGACTGTCATGATTTGAAACTTGATAAAACGAAACAATAAGACGAAGAAAGAACAAGTCAGTTAAATAGAAATGTAATACTGGTTTTCAATATTATAGAATATATGAATGATTTTGTGTTGTGTTTGATGCTATATGTTATAGTGTTTTCTATTTTGTTTCTGTTTTAAAGTTGACTCGAATGAAGGAGAATGACTTGGTTAGGTTCCGGATAGAAGAAAAAGAAAAATGCAGAAAAGAACTTGAACTCTCTAAAAAGGAGGTAAGAAAAGTCGATGCTATGCATTTCTTTATGTTAAGCCACCTTTTTTGATTTTAAACTTAGCCATAATAATCTTAGCTTGTATCTGCAATTTTACACCTACCACTTGTCCTTCCAAAAACTTCAATTAAAAGTAACCCTGCTGTTGGGATGACATAACTGTTATCAGCATGGCAAGGGGAATCTATGAGCTGAGTTCAAATTCTGGTCTAGTCTGTTGCATTCACTTTCACACAAATGTCTTTGGAGAAAGGTGTGAATTTGTCTCTTCTGTTCCTCACCCCAGCTATAGATTAAATAGTAGAGTAGATTGGATTCTTGAACCTTTGTTTCTTTTTTTTTTTTTTTTTTAATACTTTCATCTCAAGCAAAGTGATAAAGCCACTACGACACAAAGGGTTACTGATAGTGAAAGCATCCTGAGAAAACATTATTTAGGATAAGAGGACAGAATTGAAGGAGACAGAAGGTGATGATTCATGCCACATTTAAGTTATGGTTGTTGACAGGAAAGCAAGAAGTTGGAAGAAAATTCTACAAGCAAGAAGAAATTATTAATTTATGGTTACGTCTTTTGCAAATTCAACAGTCAAACGATGAGACCTAGCTGCCCTGATCTGGGTACAACAATAAACTACATCCAACAGCAAGGCCTTTGATCAGGAGGTTTTGAGGAGCATGGAATCACCTCCTTAGTTGCTGGTGTTCCCAGGTCCACTCTGACCCGGGGTGGTGGTACCTGTAGGGGTCCCAGGTATGGGCAAATAGTTAACCTCCCTAAAGGAATCAAAACATTACGAAAGTATAAAAATAGGTTTTAATACCAGCAATACTATTTTGGAAAAATTATTACCAACAGTACATTTTTAAAAAAAAGAAAAATATTAGCAGCAATACATTTTTGGAAAATGAATATTACCAGCAATAAAAAATCTTGTCAGCATTAAATAACCCATTGAGGTTGATATGCCATAAAACAAAACAAACCAAACCTAGCTGCCAATCTATTACTGTACTTAAATTTGTGAAATGAAGATACCAACAAGGAAAGCTCATCAGAACAATTTTACATGTATAATGTTCAATCTGTGTGATTAGTGGATATGTGTTGGATTAAGTGCATTGGCAAGGAAGGAGATTTATATTGAAAAGTAAATATTATGTAAAATAAACGCTTTGTAGCATCATTATGTGACACTATTAAGAAGGCACTGGTAAAATGGGGGGGGGTCAAAATAAACTGGAAAACAAGAAAGAAAAACAATTTTTTTTGATTGACTGAAAGTATACTGATAAAAAGACAAGGAAAATGAAATAAAAGGATATTTGTTTTCTTTTCTCTCCCCAGCCCAGGGTTGAGATGCCAATGAAGACTAGCATAGAAGCCAACTGTTTATAAGCAACTTAATCTTAAGCGATAGTATTTTCTTAAGTGTCTACTCAACACTTCACAGAAGTATAACCTCAAATGCTGATGATGACCAGCATAGAAGCCACACCTGTTTTTTAATCAAATTAATATTAAATGATGGTATTTTCTTGTGCCGAATTGATCCCACGCAGAAGAATAGATTACATTTTAATGACCTCAAGTGCCAACAATGGGTCACTCATTGAACAAAGTGGGTAATGGAAAGGCCACCCACGATGGCTAGAAATGAGTCTCTGGTCGAAGTTCAGTCAGTTGATAAGGACTGTAAGGATTGTAAGATCAACATGTTTCCAATGGGAAACAGAAATGGAATTGTAGTTATATTTTTTTATTTTTGTTCATCTGCCTAAGATGCAATAAAATTTATTAAAACAAAGGAATTAGCTCTTTTTGTCATTTGTTGACCAGAGAGCTGGTGAGAGAAGATGACAGAGCCCAGGGATGTGATATGAATTCCCTACTGATGGAAATATTGGATGATAATTTAGCAATTTGGGCTAGACTACACCTAGCCTCTGACCACAGGTAGAATTTCAAGGAAGATTGAGAGAGAGGTGGCAGCACAGGTAGAATTTCAAGGAAGGTGAAAGGAATTGCCTGCACCCTTTGGGCGTGATGGTGAGAGGCACCCACATGAGATGAAATGAGTTGGACGAATCAATATTCTGCCACCACCACTCTTTGTGGGGAGAAATCTTCCCAAATTTGGTCAGCCAATCAATTTCCCAAGACCAGGCAACAAAAAGTTCTGTATAGATTTTGGGGTTTCCCCAGGAACCCCCAACTACTTCATGCTCTGCACTGGGTGTGTGCAAAGGTTTTTTAAATACAGACGTGAAGTGCAAGACAGTACAGGGGTATTAAGAGAAGAAGGAACCAGACAGTTCAGGGTGCTGGTTGTGGGCAAGATGTGTTCCAGTTGGTTCAAGACCTGCTTTGCCAAACCCCATACAACTTCTGCAGAAAGAAGTTAGACTCAGGCCTTGTTCCAGACTACCAGATACAATTGAAGTGCTGGCCCAAAGAAATCACAGAGTGAAAGGACTTAGACTCCAGCCTTGTTCCAGGCTACCAATTACAATTGAATAGCCGGCCCAAAGAAATCACAGAGTGGAAGAAATCAGACTCCAGCCTTGTACCAGTTTACTGAGCGTGGCTAAACATAATGTCACCGGGTATGAAGGGGGAATGTGCTGAAAATCTGCATGTTATTAATTTAGTGAGTAGAACATTCATTGTATGAACATTTGATATAAAGTTGTTACGTTACACAACTGTCTCTTTGTTCCTTGTGGCGTCATCTCACCAAAGCTGCTGGATCAGCGACATTCGGTATACAACTTGGCTTCACCCACCTTGTGATCTAAAACAAACACAACATGGGCAGGGTGGGAATGATGATCAGGGCGACCAGCTCCAAGGCTGGCCGTAGGGATCAACCACGGACTTGCTCAGTGACTATGGCAGTGTGTGATGTCATAATTAGGCTACAGATATCTTTATATACGTATGTAAATTAAAACAAACCATTTTCCTATATTGATTAGCGTCTAAAATTGTTTGTCGTTTCTAGTTGGAAAAAAATTACCAAATCAGATTGAATGCCTTGCGTGAGAGAGAAAGAAACTTTACAGAACGGCTACAAAAAGAGGAGCAGGTGAGATACAAATTGATTTTTCTTTATCTGAGTCACATATTCAAAGGTCAAATATATTTACTGGTTTCATTTTTCCATTCATCACTTGTTCAACTCACTGAACTTATCCATTGTGTTACTTTTATTGTTAGCCCACTGTTTTTAATTGATTTGTTATCATGTGCCTTGTTTGACTCCTTGTTTCTGGTTAGTCAAATACAACATATATACAACATAACAACAAAGTAAGACATTTACATAGAACGGTTTATTATCAGAAGAATTTGATTGTACTAGTTCAGTAGATATATGAAAGTTCTTGTAATGTGGTTGTTAGTAAATGTTTCTGATTTTTGTGTTTGTCTTGGTGAATGAATAAATTACTTGCAAGTGATAAGTCTATCATTAAAAGGTAATATTAAACATGAGAAAGTCATATTGGTGTAAAACTTACCTGTGGTCTTCATTTCTGGAGCATCTCAGATCCCACATGCTCTCTTAGTGAGAGGCCAATAAAAAAAAAAAAAAAAAGTCTGTAAATTTTCTGTCAGTTGGACAGTTTCCTTTTTTCTATGGAATCATGGGAATTAAATTTTTTTTATTTCTCATGATTGCAAGATCGCTACAGCTTTATTCTATTCAGACCTCCCTCAATCCATAACAAGGTATATTGCTTAATTACATCAAATCAGACCTCTACAGCTAAAACTTGGCATGCCACATATGCATAGTTGGATTCCATTGGTAAGGAGGATGTTTGATTCAGGCATCATCTCCCCAAGAAACTATCCTGAAAGGCTTCTCATGTCTATTAGTTGTTATCACTCTTTTCAGTATTGATGGGGGTTTCCTTGCTAACTTTTTATTTGAAATAGTGTGGTATATCAACATCTTGAGTCATTATATTCTCTTCGACTTTTGTGTGTCAGCTGGGGCTGTAGAATACACTGACTGCACCTCTCCAGATGGGTAAGACCCCCCCCCTATGTGCCATCCTGGGTATGACAATAAACTACATCCACATCCAGGGTAAGACGATAAACTATGTCCAGCAGCAAAGCCTCTGATCAAGAGGTTTTGAGGAGCATGGAACCACCTCTTAATTGCTGGTGTTCCCAGATTCACCCTGACCTGGGGTGGTAGCACCTGCTAGGGTCCCAGCTATGGGCAAATAGTTAACCCCGAAACTGAGGTAAAAAGCATTATGAAAGTGTAAAAATAGGTTTTAATACCAGAAATACTTATGTAAAAAAAAAAAAAAAAAAAAAAAACAATTACCAGAAATAAATTTTTGAAGAAAAAATCTATTTACCAGCAATATATTTAAAAAAAAAAAATTACCAGCAATACATGTGATTGTACTCAAAAATATGAGTAATTGAAAAATGTTTCAAATAGTTATGTATACATACACACTTTTTACCAAACTATTGCCATGAATCTATTTAAAAAATTTTGTTAGCATTAAATGACCCACTGAGGTTTTGATATGCCATAAAACAACCAACAAACAACCAATTGACTTACATGTGTTATCCATTTTAGTTTTTGCTGCTGTTGGTAGTTCTCAAATGATCTGGTTTCTTTTATTTGGTACAGTTGTTTGTTTCTGATTTTGTAAATACGTAACGGAATAGCTGAATGGAAAAAGAACAAACATGCTTAGTTCTCAGAGACGTTTATAATGCTACATCATACACAGAATTAGATATATACACATGTCCCACACAGAGAAATTATAATATATATGCAATAACAAATGGTGTGTAAGAAAAGGGAACCTTACTTGTAATATTTCCTGAAGACGGTTTCTCTATGAACCAGATGAGGCCATGTGGTTTTTCCTGTAAGACCTAATGGTGGTGGGCTAGGGATGTCCTTCATCTTTGAGTTCTACATTGAAACCCCCATTCTTGTGCAATCCCTGAAGTTGGTATAAGTGTTGCAATGTGATATGGCTGTAAGCTCAAATCTGTAAAATTGTGCAATAGGAAACATCTAGCTACCAAGCATCTTCAATATGTCATCAAGGCAACTAGCCTTAAGTGGAAAGAATAACGTTCAATTCCAGGCAGTTTCATTTCCCAGTGTGGTTTTGCTATGAACATTAACAAAGCATAAGGACAATCCCTCGATATCACTGGCCCCAACCTGACTTCTCCATGTTTGTCCCTCATAGCCAGCTCTATGTTGGCTGTTTTACAGTCGGATCCACAAGATGACCTTCATTATGGAAACATTCCAAGCCTCATCAGGAGTACGACAAGGGGGAAATGAGAGACCCAGCTTATGTCCTGTGCATATACAAGCATAGATGTGAAGAGATGGGCACTGATCATTTAAATATTCCTACCTTCACACCCGAGGCTATTTTACTGATGATGGGGGCTATGCTGATGACACAGGTGTTCATAGTTGGGATAAGACTGACTTTGAACAGAAAACTAGCATCTTCTATAAAGTATTCCAAGAAACAGGTCTCACGATAAACATTTCCAAAAGAGAAACAATCATCTGGAATTGGAATGAAAGCAGTTATGGCACCTACCCTGAATCTGTTATAAAAATTCAAGATGTAGAATTAGTAAATGCTAAACACTTCAGATACCTCAGCATATGGATCAATTATAACAAATTTAGTATCTGAAAAAAGGAAATTGAATATAGAATAGACTGTACCAGGGGTAGTTTCACACAACACCACAAATTGCTACAAAACAAAAACATTAACCTGAAAACACGTTCTTAAATAGCCTTGTCAGATGGAGACTTTCATATGGATGTCATGCAGACCAGCAAACCCATTCAGAAATATCTAAATAAAAAATAACCAAAAAAAAAATCCAAACCTTCTGATAATAAATCCTTCTTTCTCTCTCTCTATTTATTTTTTTATATATATATATATATATATATATATATATTATACTAACCAAAAACAGGTATGAAATAAGGCCTATCATAACAAGTTAATAGACTAACCAGCAGCTTGATTCTTTACCCACAGCAGATGCCACATTTACTACTCCATTCTCAGCAACTCAAGCAATACAGGAGAATCCATATTTATAGAAGAGAGTTAATGTCCAGTTTCCTACCTGCAGAGCAAAGAAAACCTCACAACTTTCTCTTAATTGCATTCTACTGATGACCCTTTTTATTTAAATAACAATGCCAACATTAAGAATGGGTTCAGTTATTTAGGAAATTCTTGGAAAGGTCAACTAATTAATGTTGAACCTTGTAACTTTTCTTTTTTTACAGATGCAGTTGAAGGAGACATACATTCAGAGACAATCTCTCTTGGAAGAAATAAGTGCTCTTCGTGAAAGAGATGCTGGCATCACTCGTACACTGGAGGGAATCAATAGGTCAGAGGTTATTTAATCACTACAGCTTGTGATATCAAAATACGATTAAAATTTTTTTTATATAAATAATAATAATAATAACCATTGATAGGTTCAAAATTGAATAATGTATGTCAAGGTGAACAGAATTTTTGTCAATAAAGAGCTCAATAGCTATCTAAAGCAATAATTATTGTATTAAAAACATTTAAAGTTCAGGATATTTCTTGAAGGCTGTCTCAAAGATTTGCAATTGTTCACACTGGAATCGAGATTTTGAAAATAACATCAGTCAGATAAGTGACAAATTTTAAATTTGCATTAATCCTATTATATATATATATATATATATATATATATATATGTGTGTGTGTATTCTTGATCTATCAAAATTTGTAAATAATTATATAGGCCACACTACATGTTTGACACGAAGACTCACCCTACACCTTTCTGACCATAGCTCAATTAGATCTCATTTAAATATTCATGGAGACCTACCGGACACTATTCGTAACATACTTGTTAACAACACTAATATAATAACATCATCTACATGCAAAAAAAAGGCTAAACATAATGGAAGCCTTATTAATAAAAACAAAAAAAATAACACTTAATAATATTAATTATGAACATGGCCACAATATCTTGACCGTGTTTTGAAAAATGAAAACATTATATAAATATATACATGCAACAAACTATTTCTTATTTAACAGTTAAAATATTTAATCCTTGAAAATGGCTAAATGTATAGCCATTTAAAGTGCTCGGATAAAAAGAACATTTGGACAATTTTTATATAATTTATCATCTGAAAAGAAAAACATTATTAGATCACATGAGAAATTGTATAAAAAACTAAATAAAAGCACCTTGTCTGTCGTATTCAATGAAATGTGCATGAAAGAAGGATTGCTGCCTAAATACATACACACACACACACACACACACACACACACACACATGTATATATATAAAGATGGGCACTGAGGTCAACACTGACTGGAAACAGACTGTCGTCACTCAGTGTTGACCTCAGTGTTCACTCTTATATTTACACACTATATTCTTAATAATGAATACTTTTACCCATAAATATACCATACCTTAAAACTATATTTTTACCAATTTCCTACATACAGATGTCCCTTTGCCGTTCAGTATAGCCTTGTCTAGGTTCCTCTCTACCCAAACATAGAGAGTTTGTCAAGTCAGCCTGAAATGGCAGATTTGGACTGAGTCAAGTCAAATTGTAAACCGACCTATTTGTTGGCTAAGAAAAATATCCAAGCATGCATTTATGGTTTTTTGACTATAAAAGGGTAGGGGGGGGGGGAGTTTTGCAGTCATTCCCCCCTTCCCTTCAATGAAATAAACTGTTTGTCTTTGTAATTTGCTCCTGAGGATGATCTTGGAGGAAATCAAAAATAACATCAAGAAACTGATTAGAGAACTGGAAAGGATTATAATAAAAATAGACATAATATGTCAATATTATTAAATGAAACATGTTTGAATGAATATAGAAAATGAATAACTGACAGTCAATATATAGTGTTGATTTCTATGTTTATGTCCCTCAATGGTTTGTACTCGTCTGCTATAAATACAGCAAATTTCTAACTAAGGTCTTATACAAACATACATAAATATATGCATTGTATAAAAAATATTGAAAGTTCACAATATTTGTCAAAGATCAGCTCAAAGTTTTGTGATGCTCTGCTCTTCAGGATCCACACAGTCAATGAAATAGTTGTCTAGAAATTATATATTAGAAATAGTTATTTCTCCATAGTAAGAGGGTGAAATATTTAATTTTTATCTTGTTTTTTGTGTATAGGGAGAAAAGCCTTCATGAAGAGAAAATGAGAAGTCAAGAGGAACTTTTAAGGCAAAAGTTGAATGAAGTTAATCGGATGGAAATGGAATACCACCAGAGGCTGAAAAATGAAATCAACAAGTAAGTGTGTTTTGTTTTGTTTGTATTTGGAAACACAAAGTTAATGTTTCAATGAAAATAAAATGTTTAGAATGTGGATTTTGGTTGCTGGAATCTGAACTGAATTTTGTGATTGATTGATTTGTATGTTCAACAGCACATCAACTCCTTATGGGTCATCTAATGCTGAAATTTAATTCTCTTGGGAGCTTTAAAATAATAAAAAAAATGTTATTCTGCTTTCGTAGTTGAATACATGGTAGATGATACTCAGCTTTTGTGCATATACATGTTTGTGTGGACATGATTCCTAGAGGCAATGATATGTGTGTTTTATATTGTAGTTTTGTTGAAATTATATTTTGGAATACAGTTTGCTTTCTTTAAGAAATTGTAGGGTATTATATGGATTAATGTCATGAAAAAATCCTTTCATGTTTATGGTTTGATTTTTATCAACCTCTATGGGTTATTTAATGCCAGAATGTAAATATTTTGAAGATAGTTTTGTGGCTTCAACTACTGACAAAATGTATTGTTGGTCATTTTGCTATAAAATCTATTGTTGGTAATTCTACTATAAATAGGTATTGTTTAAAATTATTTTTTTATATATATAATGATGTATTGTTGCTGTTTTTACTTTAAAAATGTATTTTTATAGTATTTTAGGGATTCACTATTTGCCCATAGCTAGGGATTTAACAGGTTCTTCCACCCTTAGTCAGGGTGAACCTGGGAACAACAACAGTTAAGTGGTGGTTCCACACTCCTCAAAACTTCAAATCTTCCGATCAGAGGCCTTCTTGCTGAATCTGAATTTTGTGACTTTCTAAAGTTATTTCAGCATTAATATGACTTCAGGGGACCTCCATAACTTTAGCTTTTATTTATTTAATGTGAAACCTTGCTATGGTGCAGTATGAAAGCAATAATAATAATAATAAGCAGCAGCAGAAAGCAAGTAAAGATTTCTAATGCTGCAATGCCAGTAAGGTTTAATCATTACACTAGGTATGTGCATTAATATTGGCAGCAATCATTACAAAAAATAAGGTTCATTTCTGGTTGCATTTGTGATATATGTGATCATCATGAAGCAGGTGCAAGTCTGGATAATGGTAGGATAATTATTTTATCAGAAACTTTGGGAATAAAACAAACTGACTCAAGGGTTTAAAACAAATATTTTTATTTTCTTTATAGTGATGAGTGACTCCTTTTGCTATATGACATAGCCAAAAAGTTTTTTAATCAGGTGTATATTGATTGTAGTCTGGAGAAATGTCCATATGTGGTTATTTTGAAGTCAAACCAAGATAGCAATGTGAGAGATTAGGTCAATCTACTGTGTTATTTTTGGCTCTGATACAGGGCAGAAATGTCAGTTGCTGATGACCTCTTAGCTGCTTCTTCACATGTCATGTGTGGCTGTTTTATCTTGTTCTGTCCTCTTCTGGTGTTATTCTGGTCTTCCTATCTGCTTCTGGTCTAGAGGTGTCAGGTTTTTTTTATCCTTTTTGAATAGGCTACAGATTTGGGCGCAAATATCAAAAATCTCTTTCTGTCAATTTTTTTGATTGGCCAAATTATTTTATTTTCTGGCATTCCTTTCTTTTTTCATCTTTTTTTTTTGGGGGGGGGGTTATAATGACAGGTGTAGACCCTTCCTGATTTTAGGTATTTTTCAGTCACAAATAAATAAGCTCTGCTCCTGGGGTCAGACTTTTTTTCCCCTTTTTATTTGGGGGTTGCCTTCTTGTAGGTTGAGTGAGGTATAGAAAAAGAAGTTTAGCAAGGGAGAAAGAAAGAGACAAGGGTTTTAAAAGAAAGTGCAAATGTCTTATTTTAATTCTAATTATCTTTTGTTAATATATTTTATTTTTATCAGGACTGACTACATATTTTAAGTATGACTAAAGGGTTACTTGTTTGTTTTTGTTTTGTTTTTTTTTAAAGAATTTTCTTATTCTAATTAAAAGCATAGTATATAACTGATAGTTGCCACCATGACCTTGAGAGTTTGGGACTCTCCAAATGAACACCAAAATTGCAGTTTATAAGGCATGCATTGTCAGTGTGCAGCTCTACATCAGCTAGACTTGGAGCCTCTACTCCAGACAGGAGACACACCTCAGTGCCATTCATCTTCACTGTCTGAGAGACATTCTGGGCATCAATTGGCCTGACTGCGTCACCAGTGTCGTAGTTCTCAGTTACCCAGTCTATACGCCCTTCTCCAACAGTGAAGACTTGGACATGTACACCATATGGGAGGATTCTGAAGGTTCTTCTGTATAGGGAACTCTGTAATTTGGATCTTACAGGTGTAGTGTTGTTGTTGATGATGTTAGCTTGTTTAAATTTTTTTATATCAGATAATTTAATTTCCTTCTTATGGTCGACTGGGGTTGTGTATTTCTTTTATAATGTTTTTATTCTGCTTGTATTTAATGTGTATTTGAATTTTATAGAAAATATTATCTGTATGTTCTGTGTTGCTATTGGTTACCTTACAAAGAAATAGTCTAATTTGGTCTTCTATGATGTAGTTCAGAAAACTGTTATTAACTAGCATTTGTTTCACATTAAGTTCAAGAGGATGAATTTTCATGCTCTCTCTTGAGGAAATTTTTTATAACACTTATTTTATATCTTGTTTTTTATAACACCTATTATATATATGGACACAGACACTCCATTTTATTTATTTTATTTTTTTTTTCTTTCAAAGATTTAAGATTGAAGAACAAAAAAAACTTTTGGAAAGGTCACAGGATTTAGATAAAAGGGAAACCCAAGTGAAAGGTAAGTATTCAAGGGGGTGCTGAAAAGTCCTCATCTTGACCAACAAGCTCTCCTAAAACAATAAATTATGATATTTGATCAGATTTGCTAAGTGAGCTGGGCTTAGAACTTTTTGACATCTTGTCATAATTGCATTTTTAGTATATTTTTGTAGATGCTTAAATAACAATGATAGATCTCTGAAAATAATGTCTACAGAAAGCATAAATAAACTGAAGCAATTAATGGGTCACTGGGGTTGGAGTTGGTAAAACTATAGCAACTCCAGTTGAAGTTACACTTTATGTAAAAAGTCTTATAGAATTTTTATTTTTTTTTATTGTTATTTCTTCTACTGTATATTTACTATTTCCTTTAAAGAAATTCATTTCAACTTCTTTTTTAAAATCATTTTATTTTTTGTAGTTATTTTGTATTTGCAAAACTATATATGTAAAAAAAAATCTTGCATTATAGAATTTTTATTTTTATGTCTTTTACATCCTGTAAAAGATTATATTTCAACTTCTGTTATAAAGTAGTTTTATTTTTGTTCTTTACTTATTTCTTATTTGCAAAAATATATGCAACTATCTCCCAACTTGTGGAAGTTAATAATTCTCTGTTTCAAGTCAACACTAAGCTCCTTTGTCTTCCCCATCATGTTGTTAATATAAGAATAACAATGGTGAAACTCTATGCACCATAAGATGTTCTTTGGTGGAATTATCACAAATATTCAATTGAAGAAATAGTCTAGAAGTTTTCACTAATAAAATAATTATGTAAATTACTTATATTTACATGAATCAATCAATTTAAAATGGTATTTTCTACTGTATAAATAATTTTGTCTTTTCCTATTTTGCGTAATTCACCTGTCAAATTTGTTGTATTTAATCTATTGTTCTGAAAATTGAGTTTTATATTCCTTTTTTTGTGCTTATTGACATAAAAAAATATGGCATCATACAGGTATTAGATACTGAGAAATGGATGAAAATATTCAAAATTGATGGATGTATGAATAATTTCATACACACACACACACACACACACACACTGGAGGGAAACAAATATTTGTACACATACAGATTTTTCATTTACTGTATTTCCAGCTAATGGATAAACATACCTTTCATACAATTAACTCTACCCAGATAATAACTAAATATGCTTTCAAAACAGAAAAAAATTGATTTAATAGAAATAAATCCAATTTATCCATTTTAATGGGTGAAAAAAGTATTCATACAATACAAAAAAAGAATACATAGTCTTCATTTAATACTTTGTAGAATAAGCATTATTCACTTCTACAGCAACCAACCTCTTTGGGTAGTTCTCAATTGATGATTTGCAAATTTTAGTTGATATTTTGTTCCATTCTTCTTTGCATATGGTCTTCAGATCCGGGATGTTTGTTGGAGCTCTCGATTGGATTTGAATTTTCAAATAATTCCACAGATTTTCGATTGGGTTTAAATCTGGGACTTGAAAATACTTTCAAGATCCTCCAATACTCTAACTATTTCATATTCAATGGGGAAAAAAAGAGGCTCATAAAATATTCCAAAATAGAAAAACAGCCTCTTCTGACAAACTTGACAAATCAAAAATTATATTGTTCTGCACACGATCTCTATCGCAACTACAATCAAAAAGAATTTATTCATCTTTGGCCATCTGAATACGTCTTTGGGTCTCAGTGTCATACTTTTCATCCTCTGTTAGTACTTTTGTGTACTTGTTTGATTTTAGTATCCCCGATTTGTAATTTGCATTTTGGGCTCATAAAACAATTCACTAAGATGAAAATGTTTAGAAAATGTTTTAATCATGAGTTCATCTACAGTAAATTTCTGTCCAGGTTTCATTTCACCATTCTTGGCAGATCTTCTGTTATCAGAGGAGGGGGATGTTTAATAACAAAGATGATGCCAACAAAAACAATCTAAATGAAATTGGTTAGGTTATATGCGCCAAAAGACAAAAACGAAAAAAAGTGATTTTTTTTTTTTTTTTTTAATTTAAAATTCCGCACATCTCTCATGCATGTGTAGTTGCATCAACATAAACAAACCTAGTCCAATGAGGTCCTAAAGAACAAAACACATCACATGAAAACTTTTTCCAATTATATGTGAATTACAATTAATGAAATCCAAACAATTTACCTATATTCACAGCATGAGGTAAACTGTTTGGATCTCATTAATTGTAATTCATTTATATGGTCTATAATAAAAATTATATTGAGCTCTCTTTTATGGATCAGTTTTAATATTTTATGTTAATAGTATCTACTTGGATTACTTACACATGGATTTTTTATCTGTGTGTATATATATATATATATATATTTATTTTAGGATATTAAATCAAAAACATGTTAAGAGTTGCTACACAATACTGTCTGGCCAGTAATTTACAATCACTTGAGGAGATGCAATGATATGTGTCAAAACATGATCACAATTGTGTAGCTATTTTTAACATGTTTTTGATTTAGTATCCTAAAATAAATATTTTGTCTCCGTTCTGTATTAAGCTCTCTTTTAAATTAAACATTACAAACGTTGGACTTGTACTCTATTCATTATCATCTTACATATATATATATATATATATATATATATATATATATATATATATATATATATATATATATATATATAGTCTTAAGATTTGATATATTTATGGTATAAAGTGCTCAATATCAGAGATAGAGCGTGTGTAAATATAGAAGTCAACACTTAGAGATGACAGTCCGTTTCATGCTTGATGTAATCATCAGGCCACGATTGCATCTAGCATGAAACAGACTGTCGCCTCTAAGTGTTGACTTCTATGTTCACTTTTATATTTATTTATATATATATATATTCACATTTTGAAGTGAAAAATAGTATTGAATACAGTAATTCACGTAAACTTTCAGAAAATACAAATGTAGCATCATTTATAAAACATTTTATGCTACTGTTATTAACCTTGTCATAATCGTCATCAAATGTTTTTTCTTCTGCAGCTGCTGAACTTCAAATTGCAGACAATCAAAAGAAGATGCAATTACTAAAAGAAGAAATCCAAGATAAAAACACTCAAATTCATGAACTTGAGGTAAGGATTTCTCTCCAAACTAATAATGTTCTCAACTTATCACAAACTATTATTCACATCTGTAATGTTTGCCTGAAAGTTCATATCTATATATTTATGCAATGATTCTTCCTATGTATACTGATAGTATATGTAATACAGTAATGCTTTGAGATACGAGTTTAATTCGTTCCAAGACTGAGCTCGTAAATCAAAAGAATCTTGTCTCAAATAAATTTTCCCCACTGAAATTAATGTGAAGATTTCCGATCTATTCCAGGCCCCTAAAAATCACACTTATTTTGCTAAAAATCACCCCTGTTTTTGTATCTGTGGGTTTCTTATAAGTAAAAATGTGAATAAACAATGAAATAAAAACAAATTGTAAAGAAATAAACTGTACTAAACCATGAAGTACAGACGAGTCGTGACAACTGGCAGAAGAGAGAGAGAGAGAGAGAGAGAGAGAGAGAGATTAGGAAAACAACAGCTGGCCTAGCAACGGCTTGCCTAGTCTATGATACCAAAGATTAATTTTATCACTTAATTTTTATGATTTTTTATTTGTCGCCAGTGTAGAATGCCCATCCTGTCTTGCCAAATCCATTACTCATATGTCTTCCTTGTGTTTTTTTTAATAATTTCCTGTTTTAACTCAAACAAAATCATACGTTTAAGCTTTTCACCACTTCTCTTTACATTTACTTTCTTTTGACTGATGCTGTCACTAAAGGAATTTTGACTGATGCTGTCACTAAAGGAATTTTGACTGATGCTGTCACTAAAGGAATTTTGACTGATGCTGTCACTAAAGGAATTTTGACTGATGCTGTCACTAAAGGAATTTTGACTGATGCTGTCACTAAAGGAATTTTGACTGATGCTGTCACTAAAGGAATTTTGACTGATGCTGTCACTAAAGGAATTTTGACTGATGCTGTCACTAAAGGAATTTTGACTGATGCTGTCACTAAAGGAATTTTGACTGATGCTGTCACTAAAGGAATTTTGACTGATGCTGTCACTAAAGGAATTTTTGACTGATGCTGTCACTAAAGGAATTTTGACTGATGCTGTCACTAAAGGAATTTTGACTGATGCTGTCACTAAAGGAATTTTTGACTGATGCTGTCACTAAAGGAATTTTGACTGATGCTGTCACTAAAGGAATTTTGACTGATGCTGTCACTAAAAAAGAATTTTGACTGATGCTGTCACTAAAGGAATTTTGACTGATGCTGTCACTAAAGGAATTTTGACTGATGCTGTCACTAAAGGAATTTTGAATGCTTAAAGGAATTTTGACTGATGCTGTCACTAAAGGAATTTTGACTGATGCTGTCACTAAAGCTGATGCTGTCACTAAAGGAATTTTGACTGATGCTGTCACTAAAGGAATTTTGACTGATGCTGTCACTAAAGGAATTTTGACTGATGCTGTCACTAAAGGAATTTTGACTGATGCTGTCACTAAAGGAATTTTGACTGATGCTGTCACTAAAGGAATTTTGACTGATGCTGTCAAAAAGGAATTTTGACTGATGCTGTCACTAAAGGAATTTTGACTGATGCTGTCACTAAAGGACTGATTTCACTAAAGAATTTTTGATGATGCTGTCACTAAAGGAATTTTGACTGATGCTGTCACTAAAGGAATTTTGACTGATGCTGTCACTAAAGGAATTTTGACTGATGCTGTCACTAAAGGAATTTTGACTGATGCTGTCACTAAAGGAATTTTGACTGATGCTGTCACTAAAGGAATTTTGCAGAACAATGTCAGAAAAGACACAACGCAACAGTGATCTTTCTAAAGTGAGGTGAACTGCAAAGTAGAAATACTCTTGGAGCTTGGTGCTAGCTGTGCCAACTAGCAGATGCTTAACTGAAACTTGTTCATCTCTTAAAATTCAGCTTGTATCTCAAGGCAAAAAATCGTCTGAACTTCGGCTTGTCAATAAATTAAAAAGAAAACATTGGTGTATTTGTTCATTAAGCAATGAAAATTTGTCATAAAAACAAAAAAGTTCAAACCTTTCTTCCCCTCACACTAATATCTACAGACAGCTTTTATACTCTCTCTCTCTTTCTCTCTCCCTATCTTACCAACATTCACACACATAGATATCTAATAAAAAAAAATGACATCAAAGACTTTCTACACTGTCTCCTGCAACTTAACAGGAATGTCCCGGACATCAGAACAGTAACACCTAAGTCACTTGACTCTTTACCAAAACCCCAGGTAGAAGTTGAAATAGTTACACATGAAAATGAAAACTCACACACACACTTTCTCACTCACTCACTCACACTCTTTCATACATTTACCACAGATATAATAATAAAAAGTAACTCAAAGAGTTTAGCTCAGATTTTCCTTTTTCTTTTTTATTGTTGAATACAAAATAATGTTTAAAAAAAAATTCAAATAATTTTGGAGTGCAGAGTGCAAAATCCCCCGCCCTTTAGTCCCAAATAGAGCTGTTCATGCTCCACTCTGGTTGAATATAAAATGAGCCTTCTTCTCCTTTCCATCTGACCACCTAACTCCCTAGACTGCAACCCTCTTGATTATTATGTGTGGGGTGTAGTTGATTGAGAGACCAACAAAATTCCTTGTAACACCAGAGATGGACTGAAGGCAGGCAAGGGTTATGGCAGCACTCACCAACTTAAACAAGGAGACCATCCAGAAGAGATGCAGGAGATTCCAAAGTTGTCTGGGGGCCGTGGTTAAAGCCAATGGCAATTTTATTAAATAAAATTACTTTTTAGTATTTCAAAATATTTTTGTGTAATTTTGGTAAATGTATCTGTTAAAATGAGATGTCCGTGTTATTTTCATTTTTGCGTAGTTTAGATGGTAATTTGTCCATTGCATCCTGTAGTGACCATATTATATCAAGGTTGCTGGCAGTTATTCCCAGCCACTAACAATGACTTTCTTTCTGATTTTTCAGTACATTTCTATAATAAAATGCATGGTAATGTCTTTCTATAGTAAAACATCTTTAGCAGTCCATTTAAGAGTGAATTTTTGAGATTAGAAATTATAATAATTGTATGTCTTTATATGGGCCAGCATGCTCATCTTGGTTGTAATGTCATATTCATAATATTCCCAAAAATGAATTTTCTGAGCAACTTAGCATCACTCATGAATATTTCTGAGACTCCATTAAAAGGATATTCAAGTCAGTTTGACTGCTCCTTAAGAATTGTAAGGAAAAATTGAAATACTTCATTTTTTTTTTTTTTTCAAAAGGATGGAAACAGAAATTATTTCTTTTATATAGCTCATTCCATTTTATGTTCTTTTTTTTTTTTTCCCCAGATCTTACTTCAAGAAGCCCATCGTAATGAGTTAAAATTGGTAACAAACAATGATTACTTAAAGGAGGTAAGTTTTTGTTTTGGTTGTTGGGTAATTTAGCATTAAAAAAAAAACTCTTCTTCATTTTGTTTGTCCTGGGTATAATGATAAACTATATCCGGCAGCAAGGCCTCTGATCAAGAGGTTTTGAGAAGTGTGGAACCACCTCTTCACTACTGTTGTTCCCAGGCCCACCTTGACTCAGATTGGTAGCACCTGTTAGGGTACCAGCTATGGGCAAATAGTGACCCCCACCCAAACAAAAATCAGCAGTATATTTTTATAATAAAATTACCAGTAATACATCTTTTTAAATTACCAACAATACATTTTATCATTGTGCAAACTATATATGTAAAAAAAAAAAAACAACATATGTTTACCCAGAAAGTATAAAATGATGTACAAAAATATCTGTAGATGAAGGCATAAAATTATGCATAAAATATTTAGATTTCAGCATTAAATAACACATAGAAGTTGATATGTCACTAAACAAAAATGACCAACCGACCAATCTTCGTTTTGTTTTTATCTCAATTGGTAAGCTTTCTTGACTATTGTAATTTTCCAAGTGTAGCTTAGATGTGGTATAAGGGGCGGAAAGTATGGGGTACCCAGTAAGGATTGAACTCACTACTCAGCTGTAATTGTTCTAGCGTGACAAGCTTGATAACCATTACACCGCCTGAAGGTGTCCAAGCTTTCTTGACTATTATTGAAAAAAAAAATCCTGTTGTGTGTTTTTAATGCCGTTTTTTTTTTATTCAAAGATGATGGACTTGAATGAAAAGAATTCTGTATCAAAGAAGGAATTTGAGAATGTGAAAATGTAAGTTGCTTCCCATTGTCAAAATGGAACATTGCTGTATTTCAGAACTGATTCTAACCATAATCTGTCCAAAACAAAGGCTACATAAGAAGCATGAAGAATTTAGACAATATGATCTCTTTCAAAATATTGTTTCCAGACATTGATATGAAAAAGAAAAATGAATTTTTCTTTTTTTTTTTTTTTTTTTTTTTTTTTTAAATTTATACACTTTCACATAAGTGTCAATCATAAATCTATAATGGAAGTAGCTGCTGAAAATTCTTCAGCCCAACCCAACCGTTAATGTAGAGATTTTGAGAATTGGGATATGTTGAAACCTTTTCGGCACCTCCTTTTTGTGTGTGTGTGTGTGTGTGTGTGTGTGTGTGCGCGCGAATTGCTAATGCCCCCTGAAGAGTTTCCACCTATGAAACTCTGAAGTTGGGATGCTGATAGTAGCATCAATTAGCTAAGTGACAAACTTTACTCATATTAACTATATATATATATATATATATGTGTGTGTTAGTGGAATATAGAATGTGAACAAAAGTGGAAAAGATTTTTAAATATAAAGGGAAAATGTGTGTGTTTGTGTATGTATGTTTTATTTTTTTAATCAAGTTCACCTCAAGCAAGGCAGTAAAGTCACTAAGACACAAGAGGCTACTGGGTGTGAAAGAATTAGAAACAGAAACATTGCTAAGATGCGAGAACAAAAGAAAAGTAATCAGGAGGATAGTAGATGGTGATTGCCATTGCATTTAAGTTTTTGAAGATTGAAGTCAGCTGGAAAGCCTCAAGCCACAAGAGAGTTCCAAAAGTGAGAAGTGTAAGAAAAGAAACTGTTAGCATAGAACTTACAGTTTCTTCTAGACAATTTAACTGTAAAATGATGATACCAGTCTATTACTGCGCTTAAATTCAAAAAGTCTAGGTACCATAGTGAAGACCTCATCTGAACAATTGCCATGGCACACACACACACATATTTTCTGTTTATACGTTAGTTTTATAGATACAATTTCTTAAATAAATGCTCAGTTTTAATTAAACGGAATTAATTACATTTAACAGCCTGAATGTTTTGAGAAATTTTATTTTAATAAATTGTATCTATAAAAATAATGTATAAACAGAAAATATAGCAATCCATTTCATTATATGTTGTCATTGTCTATGTTAAGATACGTTTCATGAGCAGACATGATTGATCGAGAAAAATCGTCAAAGATTGAGTGTTTATAAACAGTAATTTGGACTTTGCTAAACAGACGCTTCTCTTTAGCTCGATGTTATAGCTCATTAGATCAAATAATGAGGTTTGATTCAGAGAACACATATTTTCTCCAAAGTTTCTTAAACATTCAGGCTAGTAAATGTAATTAATACTGTTTAATTAAAAATAGAGCATTTACTTAAATTATATCTATAAAAATAACTTATAAACAGAAAATATATTAAACAATTGTCAGACTTAATCCATTTCATTTTATATATATATATATATATATATATATAGACAATTTATTCAGTCTTAGGGTGAAAAAAACATGGAATTAGCAGAAGATTTCACCTGTGTATCTTTCTTCTTCACTTAATTAATGTGCACACTAATTCTTGTTTAAATCTATGCTTACATTCCTTATGTACATTTGCAGGCCTTTTACAATTTGGCAAAGACATCATACCACTACCCAAGGTCCACTCTGACCCTGGGTGGTAGCACCTGTTAGAGTCTGACCTATGACCAAATAGTAAACCTCCAAACAACAGTACATTTTTTTTTTTATAGTAAAATTACCAACAATACATTTTATAATCTACAAAATATTATAATCTAAAAAGCATGTCTTTACAGTTATGGTTTGAAATTATGTACAAAATATTTAGATTTCAGTATTAAGTAACCCATAGAGGTATTGATATGCTACCAAACAAAATGAACCAACCAATCGACCAACATAATGCCTCTAGTAATCATGTCTGCGTAAACAAGCATATACACAAAAGCTGAGTATCATCTACCGTGTATTCAATTGTGAAAGCAGAATAACATATATCATATTTTAATTACTTCAAAGCTCCCAAGAAAAGTAAATTTCAGCATTATATGACCCATGAAGGAGTTAATGTGCCATTAAACAAATCAATCAATCACTTTGTTTTTAGGTACCACTCAGAAACAATGCAGTTGACTGAATGCCTCAGGACACGTAAGTGTGGTTTATCTTATATATTTACTAACTTCCTTGTATTCTCAAAAATATTGATCTTGTTTATATATATATATATATATATATATATATATATATATATAAATAAAAAGTATCTAAATATTTTTCAATTATTTAGTAAGTCAGTAATTTGTTACTTAATAACAATACAAAACTGGTCCCCCACTTCATGTCCAGTAGAATCTTATATTAATTCTACCTTATCCATTCTGACGGAATTTATATAATTGATATTTTAAGTTTTGATTATTATTAGTTTTAACATGTGAGGGTTTAAATTCGGTACCTCCAAAAATTCCCTAAAAAAGAGCGTACCATGATGAAAAAGGCTCCAAACTTGATAAAAACAAAGTTTTATCATCAAAATGTTTGTTATTAAGATTTTTCTCTAATTATTCTTTGTTTTTTTTTTCTACTTTGCTCTTTCCCGGAGTCTTTTTTCCACCAAGCTTTGTAAACAATTTGGTATGGTCTTCCATTACTATAACAAAGACACTGCCAGCTAGTGTCAGCAGTTTTAGGTACATGACATAAATAAAACAAAATATATATAGCAAAATGTTACAGACAAAAATAGACAAATACATTCTGTATATTATATTTGTTAAATGTATACAGTTTTGTTTAAATTATTCTCATAATAATAATAATAATGGAATACAATACGTGTGTTTCGTTTCTCACTGAAGATCAAGAGACAACAAGTCTCTTCAATCTTCTGGCATTACGTTTAGAGTTCTGGTTCAATTTTAGTAATGTTGTCATCTGCATGGGTTCCATTTACAATTCTTGCTAAACAAGTGATTGATGTTGCTCATTCCTACAAATTCTAAAATCTCCTGAAATTTATATGGACTCAAAGAAGAACGAGTAATATGTTAAACATTTCTTGATATTTACATAATTATATAAAGCACAAGGCCTAATGGTGGAGATTAGAGGGCAAGAAGATTGCGTTAATCCACTGTTCCAAGTACCATTGTAGCTACCTGATTAGAAAATCGGCATGCTTGTAGCTGGGCTTGAACTCTGACATGTAGTCTTAGGGAAAATATGCAACCTTGTTAAATAATTGTAGTTAGAAGAAAGAATGTGTTATGTTACCAAGAAGTCTGTGGAAATGGCTTCCTCAAAGAAAGAAAAAGTGAGAGGAAACGGGATTACTTATTTCAAGAGATGAGGGGAAATATTCAGCAAGAACCAAGAAATGCTTGGTCACTTGACAGAATCTGTTCAAATTTCTCAGAATGTTTGGGTACCACCTCGTGTGGATGTGTACACACATACACACAAATTTAAGATGTTATGCAGTAAAGATAACGGTTAACCCTAAACTTGAAGAGGTCAAAATTGTAGTGATTAGGACAACATCCTGCTGAGAGTCCATTCCACGAAGCAGCAGTTCTGAGACAGAAGCTGTCCAAGTGGAACTAATGGAATACGAAGGGAATAAAGATTATTCATCCATATGTACATGGCATGGAAGGTCGCAGCTGCAAAGGTCAGGACTGGTGGAACCAAGAAATGGAAATAGTGATAAAGTCATGAGAGGTTCGCCACATTTCATCTGTAGGAAAAGGGGGTCGTATATTGCAAAATAATCACTCACAATACCATGTAGATGTTTTCAAACTATCAAATTCAAATTGATCAAACATCCCTCGCTAGGGGAAATGCTGTTACATAAGCTGGAATGACCAATCAAAATACAAGTAGTGAGGGATGTTTGATCGATTTGAACCTTTTAAAACCCTTTATTCTACATTCAACATCATCACTTGATAAGACACCAGAAGTGTTGAAACGAAATGGCTATTTTTGTAGTGATTTTATAACATATTTATGTTATAATTTTTGAATAAATAATTTTATTTGCTCTACTCTGTATTGAGCACTCTTTTAAGAATAGTATTTCTTGGTTATTGGAATTTATTCCATATACACCAATTCACCATTCACATGACTCCAAGTCATGCAAATGTTGAGGGAAAACATATATATTTATTAATATATACTTAATAGCTCTGTTATATTAGATTGAGCGCTGTTTTATTAACACCACCACCACCGCTTTATGTGCAATATATATATATATATATATATATATATATATATATATATATATACACACAATGTACTCCTCAAATATAAATTTTGGATAACTTTGCTTTTTCAAATAAAGAAAAAAATTAGATGTTAAATGGTAATATTAACCATTTCCTTATAAGGAAACATTCGACATTCATTGTCCAAACAGCTTAAACTGCTGTCAGTTGAAATTTATAAAAACAATTTTATGTTATGGTGCCATGCATGACATCCATATGATGAAATTGATAGAAAATGTGGTTCTTTATTTCTTGCTGGAGTGAATTTGGATGTCTGAAGTGTCCAATGAAACAATGCAAATTACTGAACAGATTGATCTTTTTAAAATTCTTCAAATGTTTGGGTAGCCATCTTGTTGACATTATCAACTTTGCATGTGAAATTGGTTACTTACGTGAATTTGTCTGTCAAAATTGTCCAGGTGAAGAGAAATTCCTGAAGGAGTCTCTGCAACTGAATCAAGAAATGGCCACCGTTAAGCAAGAGATGGAAAGAGTGCGTGAAGAACTGAACAAAGAGAAAATCTTGTATGAAAATTACAAGAAACAACTTGATGAAAGGCTTCATAAAGAGGTAATATGTTTGTGTAATGAATCCAGTTTGTTTTCTATCAGTCGTTTTGCAAAAAGGAATTAATATTATTTACACTATTTACATTCAGACTATTGTTTTCATCTTTGTTGTTGTTATCACAACATTTCAACTGGTCTGCTCTCTGGCCATCACCAGGTGTATATTTGTCTACGTAACCTACAGGAAATTCCAGAATGAAACCTTTATTTAAATATGGGATAATGGATTAAATAAAGCTTTTGTTCATGAATTTGATGATATAGTAAGTTCAATCCCTGGTACAGGCGGTGTGTATTAGACTTGGTGGAAACAAATAATAACTGATCAGTACTAAATACTAGATATGGGCAGTAAAATGAGGACAGTCTACTTTGTAGATTAAATAAAGGGTTCAGTTTGAAATTCCCTGTAGTTTAGTCGGATTGATATACACCTGATGAATGCTGGAGGACAATGGCTGAAACGTTGTGGTAAGAACAATGAGCACAATAGTGTAAATAATGATAACTCCTCATCTCAGAAATACAGATGGGAATTAATATTGGTTTTTAGATTCTAGTATTATTTGTACTGCAAACAATATTTAACACTCACGTGAGCCCTGGTAAAAAAAAACAAAAAAAAGACATGGAATTTAAACAAACAGTTAATAAATGTATTAACAAAATATCTGTTAAGTCATCTATTAAAAAAAAAAAAGTCTGTTTGATTTTTTTTCATTGCATTAGTTCTTCAGCCAATTGAGTTAATTCATTGTAGCACAATATGTTCTTTCACAATGAGCTTCAGTTATCATAAGATATCATCTACAATTAGATTTCTTGAAAATGATGATGTTATCTACAAGAATTTTTTCTTGTCTGTCACATTTAATTAAAACACACATACACACACACACACATATATATATATATATATATATATATATATATATATATATATATATATATATATATATATAATTTTATTATATAAAGATTATAATAAAAACATGTTGAAATCACTACACAAAAGCTTTCATGTTTCAATACTTTGTACTTACCATTGCCTGAAGAAGTACAATCAAAGTATTGAAGCATGAAAGCTTTTGTATAGCAATTTTGATATGTTTTTATTCTAATCTTTTATAATAATAATATATTGCTCTACTTTGTATTGAGCACTTTTTAAAAGTAAATGCTGCAAACAGTGGAATTTTACTCCATCTGTTCTTTCTCTCATTTGAATATATATATATAATATATATATCTTAATATATCAGTCTGTTAAACTTTATAGTTTGTAGATGTGTATATGATATATATTAAGCTTGACTGACCTTCTTCAAATGTCTTTTATTATTATTATTATTCCTTTGTAAAATGTTAGTGTATTTTATAAACTAGCTGGAGAAATAATTGCTGGGAAGCAGAAATGGAAGATAACAAAAAGTAAAACAAGTTTTGTTAACCATTAAAATATTTTACTGATTGTAGATTACTCAGAATCGGAAATTATTGCAAAAGTGTGATGAGCAAACGCAAGAAATGCAGGCTTTCAACCAGGAGATGACTATTGTGCAGCATAAGCTGCTTGTTGCACAAAAAGGTATTACAATTTTCTCTTTAAAAGCTAAAATTTCCTTTTGTCTTGAATTTATTTTACAGAAGATAAAGCCAGTCTTAAATTATTCAAATGTCTTCGATTGTCATTATATTTTATTAGTATATTACCCATCAAAAATAATACTACTAGGACTTCTACTTTGGATCAAAACATCACTTTCCAACATTTCTGCCTAACACTGGGAAGTGTTAGACATACAGGTTGCTCCGAAATTATTGCCTCCCATTTATTCCCATGGAGACCAAATGAGATACAAGAAACACAATAACACTGTTTAATGGAGAAAAGTTTTAGCCACATTTCTATTGTTTTTAGTCCCATATTTGTTTTTAGTTTTTAGCTGCATTTCTATTTTTGAGCTACAATTCCATTTTTCTACATTGTCACTGCCATTGGCACTAAATAGAAAAATTATTGTAAATTTTGTTGATAGTTATTAGTGTAGAAAAGCTAACATTAAAAGTATTTATTCATTATGATTTTTATCCAGTAAGGGTTGAAATGTTAAATCCATTAACCCTAACCACCAAGGGCTATATGTTTTTGCCAGTAATGAAAAAGCATCTGTATGCCATGTTTGTAATGATCTGCACCAGTGGAAGCAGCCCACTTTTTCAGTGAAACACGTTACCCAACACTTGTCTGTTTTCATATTCACCGTTTGGTCTCGGTAAATGTTCAGCAAGTGTCAATCACTGGATGAATTCAGTCATGTACTTTAACTTCATGTGCACTTTCATGTCAGATGCTATTTTGCCAGTAACAAGTATAGAAAGGCAAAAAATAAAAATGATAGTTTATTGGGTAGAAAGGTTCAACTTTGAATGTCATACCACCACCATTAGACTCTTATTAGTATATAGGGAAGCATAACAAAATAGAAGGCATTACTTTTAAAGCAACCATCATATATAAGGAGTTGCTGAAAAATTCTCATTCTGTCCATTTGTGTATATATATATATATATATATATATATATATATATAAAAATAATTTGAACTTTCTACCACCATGGTTTCTACCTTTGTGGTATTATCAGGCAGTAAAATTTTACTCTCTGATTATACCAGATTGATAGAAACTATGTTAGTACAAAGGTTGATGTACTAATTATTTAATGTCTTAAATTATTCTATAATTTCGTTTTCTGAAAATTGTATTGAGCATTTTTTTATTAAAGCCATTTCTTGGCAAATACTACTTTTTAAAAAAAATTTGGATTTTCTAACATATGTATATGCCTGAATGTGCGAGAAATTTTCATAGAAAATATGTGTCCTCCAACAGGAATCGAACTTGTATCCTATATGGAACCGTCATATTCCTGGTTCGATTTCTGTCGGAGGACGCATATTTTCTATGAAAATTTCTTGTACATTCAGGCCGGTAAATATTGTTAATACTGTTTATTATAAACAGAACATTTACTTATATATATATATATATATATATATATATATATATATATAAAAAAATATAGTTTTTATGCTATGTGACGTCGCCCCCCCTGGTCGCAGCGCGTCGACTCTGTCGCTCGATCTCGCTCACGGCTCCAATTGTGACGTGGCGTAGCTGCCTGCAAGGGTCGATCCTTGTCACGGACAGCACCAGTTGTGACGTTTTTGCCGCGGTGTCAACTGTTCGCTCCTCGCTGCTCCAAGTGTGACGCCCCAACCCTTTGGTTAGATGATTACCAGCCTCGCCGTTCCCAACTCACTTCCAACACCTGGTTACTAGGTAACTGTACTGATCTCCGGTCTGCCTACCCACGTTGTGATTAGATCTTAGACAGACGGGATCAAACAGGGGATTGGGGCCGTGTATGCAAGTTGAGTTAAACGGGGTGGCAACACACAAGTAAAAGAAAAACTCATGAGGTCAAAATTACTGATAAAAAAGGGTAACAACCTTTTATATCTAATGTTAGTTACATAAAAATTATTCTTACTTCCCGACCCGTTTTGTGGACTGTGGCACCAAGCTTCTACCATACAATTTAAAGACTTCGAGTTGCCTACTCTCCAGAAATCTGTATGTCGGAGTGTGGTTTGGTTTCGACACTGGGCGCTAATCTCTACCAGTCGTTCACGGCTGATTCTTCTCTTCGGCTTGAGTTGGACGAGCTTATTCACTTCGGCTTGAGTTGGACAAATTTCTTCACTTCGATTTGGGTTGGACGAATCTCTGTTCTTAGGCTTGGTTTGATTTCAACTTCTTCTATGCGCAACTGCAAGTAACTTCTTCTTCGTCCGCCCTGCAACTCTTCTCGCCAAGGTCCGAACTCTTCTCTCTGCCGTCTGAGACTGACTCTTCTCTCTGCCTTCCGGGGAACTGATTTCTGTCGGTTGGGGTTCTGCTTTTATTGACGCCGTAACAAACTGGGGTGGGTCTGTCGGCGCTAGGGTTTTCTTGATAATTCCAAAAGTCGCACTATTTCTGATTTCCCATTATCGCTCTTACTCTCACCCCTACTTCCTCACAGTGCCTCTGGGGGAGGCGCACACCTCTCTCCCGGTCTCTCGTATGTCAGGTGACCGTCTTCACCAATGGGTCCTGGTCGAGCATCCTTTCTCCTCTTTCTCGCATATCACGCGGACCGCTCTCGGCTAATGAGATTCTGGTTGGGCGTCTCTGCGTCCTTTGTGACGTCTCCAATCGGGCGTAGCCTATCCGGGGCTTTGTTCTGGGAAGAAACACCTTGCTAAAAAAACAAAATCCAATTTGGCCTTTTTTCGCACGCACAAAAAATGACAATCTCGGCCTTTCTCACCTTTTGGCTTTTTGTCAAAACAGCCCGCCGCTAATTAGATGTGACTTCAGGAAGAATTTTTCGCTCTTGCTGGCGCTTTCTGTGAGCCAAAACAATTGTTTTCATTCCTTTATTTTTGCTCAGGCCTGATAGCCAAAATCTTAATTATCTGAATTGAAAATATCTTCACTTTATCATCGTGGGGGTTCTAATCTTCAACTCTAGAGCTAGTCAGGATCTGTATACAATTCCAGCGGTCACCTCTCATCCCAAAGACACCCCTTTTTGATTAATATTTCTTTTTCCATTGTTCTAAAAAATCCCATTTCTCCAACTTGATAATGAACTTCCACATTCCGAGGACACAAAAGTAGGCCAGGTGTTTTGACCGATTTTATTAATCGTCCGTCTTGATGTCTTTTCACTTGTACCATGTCTGTTCCCTTTCTTTCTTTTAATTATCTCTAACTCTATTTTTTCAAATAACAATTTCTATTGTTCGTGAAATTCGGTCAGGCGCGTTGGCCTAGATATATCTTGACACCTGTTTTCGCTTATGACCGCTTTTGCATTATCCATCTCTCCCTCTTTTTCTTTCTTTTCCTTTTTTTTTTTTTTCCTTCTTCTTTAGGATCGCCTAAATACAATTAGAGAATTATTCTCAAAACTCAATTATTCTTTGTCTAAATAACTAGCAACTGGTTAATAAACCGAATAAAAATTAAATCATATTTCTATGAATATTTCTTTTTAGTTTTTCTAATAATGCAGGGTGCCACAGCTATATTTAAGGGTAAAAGTGCTCAATATCAGGAATAGTGTATGTAAATATAAAAGTGGACATTGAATTCAACACTCAGTAACAACAGTTTCATATATATATATATATATATATATATATAGGATCTGATAATAAATTCAATAGATTTCTCTAACATCTGGTCTTGAGTATTTTGATGCAAAACTCTTCAGCCTGCTTGCCAGATAAGTTACTTGAGCATTTTTTATTTATTATTAAACCAGAACTATGACAAGAAGAGCACATTTTTGTTAATGGCACAGGAACAAGGAATGCAATATTTATGCTCAGAATGATAACAGAAAGAGCAATATAAATGCAAAAAGCAATGTATTATAAAAAAAAAAAGCTATGATTTTATAGATTATGCCAAAACATTTGACAAGGTATGTCACAAAGAACTGTTTGAACCACTAGGTAAGCTTGTTTTATTTCGGAAAGATCTTAGAAAAACTGAAAACATATACTGGGAGCAAACTGTTTTTTCTTATCTTAAACATGAAGAACCAGCTTTAAAAAGGCTGAAATCTCCAAGTCCCTGTGGTTGGCAGCTAAAGCAATGAGAAATAGCATGCCTTTTCATCTCCTGCATTAGAATTGAAGCTTCCATGGAAGGACTGAAAAAAAAAAAAAAAAAAAAAGATAAGACAAAACTTTAGATTAAAGTTGGTCACTTATGACTTTCAAAAGACATGTTCTCTAATACCTGACGCATCTTATATATAACCTGGACATATGTATTGAATAGTATTTTTGTCTTTCACACTGCATTCTTGTATGTCATATAAGTGTTTATTCATTCCTGAACTGTATTTCTAGTCTATAGTTATTCATTTTTTTTAATGGTTTTCAGCTTTGAATAATGAGGTTGCTAAGAAAAAGAAGAGAATCTGTTCAAGGTAAGGATAAAAATTTTTTTTAACCTTTTTTCATCCCTTGTGCACATACACACACACACATATATATATATATATATATATATATATATATATATATATATATATATATACTAGCTTAAAAGCTGCCTTATTGAGCAAAATTTAAGCTAGTTCCTGTGGAGGGCTCTTAATTGAGCCTTCATCACAATAGGTGGGGAGGAGTAGATGCAATAGGCAACAATAAACTACAGAAGAACTCAGAATTGATCGCTGCATTTAAGTATTGCATTAATATTTAAGCTTACCTTTTAAAAGTTCAACAATAATTCTTCTGTGGCCACTTAATTTAAAGACAGTCTGATGTACGTAGGTCCTTACTTTCCATACAAATAATTATTTTTATTTCATGGGTGATTTTCACTGGATTTCAAAATTAACTTTGATTATTTCTGAATTTATTTCCAAGTTATAAAAAATTGTTATCATACAGAAATATTTGTTGCAAAAAAAAATCCCCAGAAACAATCGCAGTAATGAAAACTTGGGAATTCAAAATTTCAGGATTGTGGGTTCGGATGCAACCTGGAACGTTTTTTAATTTGCTCACAGTCGATCTGATTGCAAAATGGTATATGTTGGGCTACATACTCTAGGAGTAAAGCTGAAAAAGTGTGGAACGCTAACATTCATATTTATTATATATATATATACACACACACACACACACACACACACACACACACACACACATATTAAATATATCATATGCATTTCAAGATACCCTCACATGTGGTGAATGATATTTTTATTAATGTGGGCTGTTTAGGTTGTACAATAATAGCTAGAATTTTGAGTTTTTCCTTGCATTGAGTTCTGTAGAGTATTTTGGAGTTATCTACTAATATTTGTCTTATGTTCATAGTTACATTTTGGTTCTTTGTGATGTGTGAGTCGATATGTGCACAGATTGCACTGAGTTTTAACATTTTAGCCTGCAAGAGAGAGAGTAGTGCATGGCTGCCTGATGTAAGAATCTAATGCTGTTTTTTTATTACAGCAATTAATATTGGTGATGCAATTTCGCAGAGAGTATGAGATTTCGTAGACATTATTTTTACAGGGGGGGGGAGGCGATTTTTATGGCCCAGTGTTGGTAATGATTAGATGTTTTAAATTTTTTATAGTAGATGATAAATCTAAGGTGTTAGGATCGTTCAGTGATATTTATTGGCAAATTATATTTTTAATTGCTTTTTTATCCTGTTTGTAATTCAGGGGCATCTGGTTATGACAGAATGTGTTTAAGTTTATTTATTTTTGTTTGCATCAAGGAATGGCTTGGCGTCTTCTTTCCAAATTTCATCAAGTCTAATTTTATTTGTTCATCAACTCTGTGTTTAGGGATGTTGTTGATTAGAGTTTATTTAATGTCACTTAGTTTCTTACAGAATAATATATCTAAGGAAGAGATTATTTTGGCCTGATAAAATTTTTTTATATCACAGCTATTTTGTATCAAAGTTGACTTTCACTTTTGTACTTGAGTAGACACAAGTTTCTGCTAGTGTTTTTTTTTTTTTTTTTTTTTTTTTTATAATGGCAAAATTGTGGTAAATATTGAGTTTGTAAGTAAAGAGTTGGATGGAGTTTTTCTCAAAGGTTGTTTTTATTTCATCCAGGCTTTTTGCTAATATTTTTTTTTTTTTTACAGTAAGGTTCACTCTGTACAAGAGGTAGAGGGCTATATTAAGTATGAGATAATGGTTAACTCTAGACTTGAACAGTTTAAGATTAAAGTGATCAGAGGGAAACATCCACTTGGGAATCTGTTCTACAGAGCTGTGGTTCGTGGGAAGAAGTTGTATATGAAAATGTTGATATATTGCGTGTGTGTGTGTGGGGGGACTTGATGCAATTACTGAGGACATGACATGTAGAAAATGAAGACGGTATCTTGAAGTGCATATGATATATTTAATATGTGCATATATATATATATATATATATATATATATATATATATATATATATATATATATATATATGCAAGTTTCATTAAAAATGACTGACAAGGTGCTGTGGTTAAGTTTTTTTTTATATAATTTTTCATAGAAGCATCTTACTTATCATAAAACGCAGATTGTGTGTGTGTCTGTAACGTTTATGTTGGATCGAATTTTCTAAATTTTTTAGCCGATTTCAACAAAACTTCACAGGACTACATAAAATTACCTTGTGGTGGTTCTAACGGGGCCGAAAATGGGAAAGACACAGTTGTTTTTTAATAAAATCAATTTGAAAACACGATTAAGACACATCGTGAGAATGAAAGGGGGACAACTCACCCACGAAAATGTAAACAAAAGAGCATAGCATGATGAAAAAAAAGCCAAACTTGACGAAAACAAAATTTTATTGTCTAATGTTCATATTATTATTATTATTAAAGAGGAAAGATCAAGGTATTTTGGGGGTATTTTTTTTACATTTTTTAATCGTTCCTAGCACATCTGAAATTTTCGTTAAAAATATTGTTTTTTTTTTTTGGTCAAAAAAAGGGGCAGATAATCATTTTCAATCATTTTTTCGATTTGATAAAAAAGATTAAAATCTTACTTTGATATTCTTTTAAAAGTCAATTATCATTTTTTCAAAACTGATTTTAATAAAAACAGATATTATACTGTTTATTTAAAATATTTTGAACCAAGCTTAACTTACCTTCTGCGCCGAAAAAATGTAATTTGAAAATAAAACAAAGCAGGTCATAACCTTTCGCGTCGCTTGACGATTGACGAAAGGCACATTCATGACGTTTAGATAACTTACAGGAGGAGAATTCTTTCTACGGATGGAAGGAAGTGAAATTATTTAAGTGAACAAATTATTTACGTTGTTACTTTTAAGGAAAACTTTCAGCGCTCTAATTTTTTATTTTTATTTTTATTTTTTTGTACTTAGCTTTCATTTTTACGTTTACGATGCTTTATGGAAAATATAAAGAAATTAAAAAATAAGACTGTTAGTGAGATTAAATTTCATAAGAAAAAGGTATCTAATTAATTTAGGTACCTTTCTTATGAAATTTTATCAGAAGTGTACATAAAATACTATAATTTTATGTACATTTATTACATTTTACTGTGTTATTTGTATTTCCATTCATTTTATTATTAATTTTGATATTTCATTTATGGAAAAATGTCATAACTGAGATTAATATAAAAATAAGATCATATAAATTAAAGTTTAGCAGTAGTTAAATTTCATAAGATGATACTGTTACTTGTAGGTACACTTCTCAGTTGAAATTGAAAACTCAAATTAACTTCTCCATACGTGTTTCACATAAAGTAAAGGGCTTAACAGCGAGAACAATGCTGAACTCAAATAATGCAACTAAATTGTATTCTGGTTGGTCTTCCTTACTTGATAATTACTGTCCGACTATAAACACAAAAATTACATTTCTTAATTACCATGGCTAATCTGATTGGTCCAAATTATACAATTTTCAAAGCACTAGACAATCTCACACGGACATTTTGAAAGGTTGATGTAGCTTTTAACTAATGTTAAAATATTTTTTTAAATTCAATTTAAACATTTTTTAAAAATCTTTTTAAAATTAAAGAAATAAGAAATAATTGTATTAAAAATTCAATTTTCATTGAAAAAATTTTTTTGCTTTCAAAAATATTGTCCATATTCATAAAAACAAATTAAAACAAATAAAAGCATTTGAAACTAAATAATATATTTGTTTTATTGAGTTTTGTATGTTACAATTTACAGCTGATTTTCAGGTACGTTGGCCAAAAAAAAAAAAAAAAAAAACATGATTTGCATTCTTCAAAGCCTTGTGCTTTTAACTATTGTAATCACTAAAACCGATGGTCTCGAATTTCTAGAGTTTTTCATAAAATTAGTTATGGGGGTGTTAATAAATATAAAAAAAATATTTCTGCCATGACTTTAATAAAAAAAAAAATATTTATAATAATTTCGATCATCTGTGAATAGTTTCTGAAAGTTTCATTAACATCTGACAATTATTTTTATTTTTTGCAAGATTTTCCAAATTAATGTGTGTAAATACAAAAAATGCACTAAAAATTATCTATGTTATTTACTACCCTTGTTTGCGACAAAGAGAAACAAGGTTTTTTAAATCAAAATTTAGAATATTCTAAAAAGATGGAAAAATTTAAAAAAAAAATAATTAAAAAAAAAAATTTAGTCTATCCTCTTCATAAAAACATAATCATTTTGACGATAAAATTTTGTTTTCATAAACTTTGGCGTGTTTTTCATCAGACTATGCTCTATGTTTTAGCGATTCCATGGAGTGACTTAGGTTAAAAAACCCAGGTTGTACGTGTGTGTGTGTGTGTGTGTGTGTGTGTGTGTGTGTGTGTGTGTGTGTGTGTGTTCCTTTATATATGGGATCGGATTTCTTACATTTTTCAGCCGATAAAACAAACATCCACTTTGGGTTTGACCAATTCGTAAAAAAAAAAAAACTAATTAAGACATGCGTGTCCGTCAACCTTAAACAATAATCTTTGTCAATTTTATTTTTCAGTCTTTATGATGGTCAATACTTGATCTATCTCTTACTGTTACATCCCCGGGCAACGCCGGGCTCTACTGCTAGTTATTAATAAAAGGAAAAAACCAACACTTAATATCAACTGTGAACACAGCCACAATGTGCTAATCGTGTTTGGAAAATAAAACATTCATATAACACTAGATACATATATTCAAAAAAACATATATTCATCCTTGTAATAAAAAAAACTCATATAAAAATTCATCATTATATAATTAATGTCCTGATAATGAATACATGAAAAATTATATAAAAAAATATATTGGATATATAAAAGAATACATGATTCAGTCAATTCTTATATAAAAATACATGTCCTGAAAAAGAATACATGAAAAATTATATAAAAAGAATACATGAAAAATTATATAAAAAGAATATATGAAAAATTATATAAAAAAACTTAACTGCAGTGCCTTGTCAGTTGTTTTTAATGAAACTTTCATAAGAGGGATTGCTACCAAAATACACACACACACACGCACATATAAAGATTAGTACAAATATAAAATTTGTCACTTGAATGTTCTGTCTATATTTCTGAGATGAGGTATGTACACTATTTACATTATTCAGACTATTGTCCACATCTTTGTCACAATGTTTATCACGGGGGAATTAACAGGAGATAACTGACATCCGTTAGACATGGCACATGGAACTAGAACAGTCTACCCCAGTGAGCGAAATAAAGGGTTCAGTTCAACATTCTAACAACCTTAAGAAGGCTGGAGCGTACAACGGCCGAAACGTTGTGATAAACAACGCGACAAAGATGAGGACAATAGTCCAAATAATGTAAATAGCTGATTCATGTTATATTTGTCATCCTAACTCCAAAGTTTTGTACATGCATCCTCCATCAATCACTCTATCCACTCGTCAGGAGATAAAAATTTTTAAATAATCAAATTCTTTTTGGTGTGGCCTTGTTCCCAACAACTGTCATACATGATGTCACCGTAGACTATTTTAAACTTCCAGCTTTCCAAAGAATACCAGGATGTAGACAATGGAATTCTGCCTGCCACATTGATACCAGATTGGTTCTTGAAAATGATTGACGCTGTCAAAAGTACTTGAACAAAATAAAAACATAAACATGAACTGCAGAGTGTTTATTCACAATTTTGAGCTCAATACTCAACATCTTATTTGGAAATGGGGAAAATTCCAATAAAAAATTAAAAAGACAGACTAGGTTTGAATCCAGCCAGAGTGTGCATATTTTTCATTAGTTAAATTTCTTGAATATTCAAGCCAGTAAACAAAAATAAATAAATACACTGTTTAATAAATAAATGGAGCGTCTACTCAAATACAAGTATTCGCTGAAAGTAACGTTTAAGCAATAAAAATATTTATTCACACACACACACACACACACACGTGTATGTATGTATGTATTCTGTATATTTTGGCAGCATTTAAACATATCTGATTAAACAATTTAGGCATACTGTGTTTATTAATTTTTAATAAAATCCTTTCGTAATCACATATAAGCTTTCTTGTTTCATGATTAAAGACAGCAAGAAAGGTACTGTGGTTATGTTTATTCGTTCCCGAAGTACTTTCATTATTTTCCAATAGCATCATCAGGGTTTTGATAGCTAAGACATAATTATGTTTGCCCAAAAAAAGGTTTTGTCTTTGTGGTTAAACTTTACCAATTCAGGTCACGTGCAAAGTCACAAAGGCTGATTTTAAAAAATTTTATGTTGCAAGAGAAATTCTTTGTGGTTGAACTTTTCACAATTGTGAATATACTTGTGAACATAATATCAATTTCATAATTTAAAAAAATTTAATGTAAGGGAGGTTATAATTTACTTTTTTAGTTGTCTTTAGTTTATTGTAGATGTCTTTGTTTTTTCTATTATTAAGGGTGTTTAACTTGTTATTAGCTAATTCAATTTGTTTTTTTAACAAGGCTACATTTAAATTTCCAAGTGTTGATATTCTGGTAAGCTGCTGGATCGTGTAATTTAAATTCCATATATTTTGGCAGTATATTTTCATTTAAACATGTCTGATTAAACAATTTAGACATGTGTTTCTTTATTTTCAATAAAATCCTTTCGTAATCATGTATAAGCTTTATATATTTGGGCAGCATATCTTCATTCAAGCATGTTTCTTTGAATAATCTATGACATATTATGTGTATTTATTTTTATTTTAAACCTCTCAAATTCATGGATCAATTTCTTAATCTGTCTATATTTCTGAGCTTAGGTATTGTAATTATTTACACTATTTATATTGATTGGACTGTTATCCTCATCTTTGTTGCCATATAAAGTTTTGGCCATTGTACACTCTAGCCCTCTTCAGATGATTGGAATTTCAAACTGAACTCTTTATTTTGTTCCCCAGAGTAGATTGTTCTAGTTCCAAATTCCATGCCTCTTCGCGATGTCTTGGTTATCTCCCTTTAATTCAATTCTCCAAGTTTTTGTTCACCTCTGCAGTAGCCAGATATTGAACTCTCAACTCTTTGGATCAAGTCACTGGATCCAACCAATACTTTTATGCACTGGGCCATGTGTCACCTGAAGAAGGCTGGAGCATACAATGGCTGAAATGTGAATATAGCAACAAAGAGGAGGACAACAATTTCTTAATGCTTTTATTAAAGAAGGTGCTGTAGTTTTGTTCATTTCTTTTATTTTCCCAAGTACTTTTATGATGGGAACATTATCAAGGATGCTTATATTACACATTTCGGATTCAAGTTCTATTACACAACATTTAAAAGAACATTCCTGTCCACATTGATGTTTTAGAGAAATATTAATTGACAATACAAGTTTACTCTACCACAAAAATAAAAAACAAAAAATTCAAATTCTTGGAGCTCTCTATATAAGAAAAATGCAACCAACATTAAATAAAATTAATTATGAGTACAGCAACAATGTTTTAAAATGTCTATAAAAGCAATGTTTTGGAATACTCATATTGTAAAAAAAAATTTTGTCTTAAATTGTAAGGGGAGTATTTTTTTTTTTTTTTTCGAAATTGCAGGTTGAGTATTTTAAGATATTAATACTAAAAAAAAAAAAAGAGAAATTAAGTTACCTCCCTTACATGCATATTTTCAACAGTTAATTTTTAAATTGACCATAACAGAGCGTGTTCATACATGTTCATAATTATAACACAGCACATTTTATGTGCATTTACAAAAAAAATTTGCAACTATCAATTACATTAATTTTTGTCTTAGTAATTCACATTCTTGGATGTCATTGAAAGTAGTTGGGAAGATAAAAGAAATTACCAAAACTGTAGCGCCTTCTTGATCTGTGAATTTAAGAGGATTAAATTAAAAATAAATACACATACTGTGTCTAGATTATTTAACCAAATATGCTTGAATATATATATATATATATATATATATATATATATATATATATATATCTCAAATGAAAAACTAAATACATCATTAAAGAATTGGGTAATAATTTATTTCAGGCAGACAACTGCCTCATCAGACCAGAGTTATATATATATATATATATATATATATATATATATATATATATAAAAGAAGGTAATGGTCAGAGTTGAATTAGGCCAGGAAACAGTTGTATTAAAAAGTGCTCAATACACATATAAAAAGATAAAAATTTAATATGTAGAAATTTTAAGTATAGAAAAATTAGATCAGCTGATTCTGCTACATTGGCTTCAACCTTTTTGCATCTTCAGGCAACTTTGGTGAATTGATTTGCTAATTTTTTATTTTTTAAAAATAAATTTATGAATGCTATATTTAAAAAAAAAAAAAAAATGAATAAGGGCACAATGTGTGGAGGAGGGGAAAATCAAGTGCATTGGAAATATATAAAATAAAATATACATACGCTCTTTTCATCCCACTTCATATGAACTCAAAAGGAACTTTTTAGTATGTATACAATGGGTTATAATTTTCAATCTCTGGTTCAAAAGGTTTTTTTGGGTCTGGAAATGTTATTATAGCTAATTTTTCTTGTTGACAAAGGTTGCAGATGTTGCTATGATTGTTTTTTGGAAAAATTTGTCTTAATATAAGCTTTTTCCTGAATTTGTATCTTACCCCCCTTCTTGATTTTTTTTTTTTTTTTTTTTTTTTTTTCAACCAGATCACTGAGTAACCAGAGAGCCTGTGAGAAATGCTCTCACCAACCATCAAGATCAACTCGCAAAATCAAGACTCGGGGTGTTCACAAATGTCTTTGCAGTGATGAGAGCTGTGATGAAATCATTTCCTGCAGTTCACAATCACTTGCCCAAGAGATTTGTCAAGATGCTGGCCTCACTGATGAAGAACTGACCAATGAGGATTCTTCGAATATCATTGCTGAAATTAAATATGAGAAAAAAATGTTGGAAGAACAAATGAAGGTTAGTATATCGTCTCTAACTTGGTGTCTGGGCTTAGGTTTTATTCCATCATGCCATAGTTGTACATGTGGTTAGATGAGGGCAGAGACCATAATCAGGTCACATCATTTATGTATACAAATGATTACATCCCATTCATCCACTGCCATATGTAACACTAAGTTATAAAACCTAAGTTATATAATCAAATGTATACATAAATCCTGTGACCAGATTAGTCTGTCAGTCAACTTTTCAAGATGTGAAGCCACCTGCACTTGTCTTATTTAAGGACTTGATTTTTCTACATTTAGCTACATATTTCAAATTTAATCTGGAAAGAACATAAAAGTTTTGTAATGACAACAGGAGTCATCTGGATTGTTCATAATAGCTTTGAATTTTGTCACAATTTGACTGTGCTACAAGCAATACTTGTATTTTCTTCCAATCAATAGAACTTTATTTCGAATATCTTTTAAATCATCTGAGCATTGCTACCAAAAAGAATTTGTTTAAAATGCTTGATTTGTATTTCTGATGGTTTCTCTTCTATAATATGCTTCCTTAACAACATTATTTGTGTTGGAAAATATTATAGGAAAACTTGTCAAAAGGATCATTTTTCCAATTGACACTGCTATTATTTTAACTACCTTCACTCCTTGGCAATGTTCATTATTTTGAAAAGCAAGGATTAGAATTATAATAAAGCACAAACATATGATGAAAAGTTCAGAATTGACTGGGAAGTATTTGTACAAATGACAAACATGGCGATAGAAGTCCAGTTGGCTCATCAGAAAGAGTGGTGAAGGGATGCAGCTTTTTGGATTGGTCTTGAATAGTGGACCGACGTTCGTTTTTGACAGCCCTTTTTAGTAGTTCTTTGGTGAAAGAGGTGCTGGAGCTCCCTAATGTCGACCTCACAGATGGTGGGCAGAAATCTCACTGTCAAAATAGGCAAGATTCTCCAAATTTATGGAGTTTTGGGAGGCTCTGATGGATTGGGGACTTTTCCCTCCAAAATTGTTGTACAAATTTCCTGGCCCCTCTATTGGTCAGAAAACACAATTCTTATCTCTGATAAGAATCAGGGCCCTGGGAGCCGGATTCGAAGCTACTGAAAACAGGTTGAAGTGAACAAGCTGTGAGGTTTCTCCCAGACTTTATGGCACCATGGAAAGAATAATGGTGGTGGAATTCCTTTTTATTTTCTAGCTCTCTCCTTAGTCAGAAAATATATTCTTATCTCTGATAAGAATCAAGACCTTGGGAGCCGGTTTTGAAATTAAAAAGAGGTTAGAGTGAGGATAGAAAAAATAGCGAGAATGTGAACTTGTGAAATTGTTGTTCTCAAATTGAATTCCAACAATATGTAATACATTATTATTATAATGTTTACTTGTATTTTAAATAGATACACCATTTTTGTTTTAAACCGTGCTTATTACACTTATCAACCTGTATATTTAAGTTTTAAGGAAGGAAATGCACTTTCCAGCAAGAATCAAACCTCCATCCCTCTCTAAAGGAGAAACCATCATTTGATCCAACAGGCTTTATCTACTTACCTATTTCAAATATGAGTATCTACTATAATAATGTTTGAAGTAATAACATTGTTGGATTAAAAGTTAAAATCTATTAATACTTAAGAAATACACACACATTTCATTGATAAAAACCAAGCATTAAGTTTATCTTTTCAACTTGTGTTTAATAAACATCACCAAACCTGCTTGCATATGTCTTTAACCACTAGACTAAGAAATACATGTTATTTTGGCAGTAAATCTGTACCTTTCATTTCTAGAACATCCAACATGGCTACAAATGTTTCCAAGATAGACTGAAAGAAGGTGTCAGTTTCCCTGCCAGAACTTCTGTCAATGATGAAGCAGTTTGTGCAAATATTTTGAAAACTTCCAAGAAAAACTTCCGATCTGTTATTGGAGGTCACAAAGGTAATGTAAAATGGTCTTCCTTTATCTAGAGTGAGTGGCTTACATGGAAAATCTAAAATAATATATGCAAGGCAAACCAACAGTAAAATAACAAAAAGTTGATAAACTAAGAATTGGGGTTGACACAGAAGAGTGAATTTGGATGAACAAACACAGCATTCTGACTCTAAGACAAGACAGACCAGGAATGAGTCATATAAAACCAAGAACTGGCCTATTTTATTGGCTAGGAAGAAGAAATCCCAGCATGCATTTGTGTGCTTCTGCCTATAAATTGGGGTGGGGAAATTGTTTTGCTGTCATTCACATAGAGCAATTTTATTGTACTATTTTGAATCTCAGTCCTTATAAAGTCATAATTTATGTCTACATGTTTTGAACATTGATGGTAGACCAGGTTCTTAGCAAGAGCTCTGGTACCTTGAATATCACAATAGATAGTGGTTTTTAGTTGCATTAATCATGGTGTTTAATAATTGAATAAATAAATTTACTTCTTGTATTGCAGCCACCAATGTCATCTATTCAGCTTTCGATGTTGACAGTGCTACTGTATGTTGCTTTCTCGTTTTCCATGAAATCATTGAACTGTTTAGTGATAATTGGAAATCCTAACCCAGTAATACTACAGCAGTCTTTTGAATTTCACCAATCAGTGTCACAAAAGCCTCTTGAAATTAGGAGCTTACGAAATTTATTAAACAGTGTGTTTTTGTGCCTGACATGAATTAACCCATTTTACCCAATCAAGGGTCATTAATTGAATGTGTTTTGCATTTGACGTGTTTTTGAAAGGCTTTTATTTGATACTTGCCTAGAAGCCATCCTTTGGACAAGACTTTAGGCTAGTTCCTGTGGAGGGCTTTTAGCATTCAGCTTTTTACTTTTAGCTTCCTATGTATGTAAAAGTTATAAGAATTTAGAAATAATAAAATTATTTTATCTTTAGTCAACATCTTAATTCAGCATAATCTTTCTTTGTATGCATAACTATCACTGTAGTTTGTTCATTTTTATTTTCTGCGCAACTTTTATTTTCTTTTAAAATCACCATTTTTTTATGATCCCTTCACATAAAATCATTCTTAAAAGACATTAGGGAACCTGAACTATGTAATTATTCAAATACAGGAATCACTTTTTCTGACTGTACCAGAGTGATACGTCTGATTGCAACAGACTTGGCTCTGCTCATAACAAGTGCAAGCATGTTCTCAAGGAAGGAAGTTACTATTTACTGATAGAATGAAACAACATATAGCATCTTGCAAGTTCAGTTCTAGAGATTATTGGCAGCTCTGCAAATGTGTGCTGAATAGAATAGAAGAGGGATTGAGGATTTGCTGTTGTTCAAACAGCAAATCCTCAATCCCTCTTCTGAAATGGAAGTATTAATTGAATTCGAAGCCCTAACATCTACAACAGATAAGGCTAAATGCTTTGCTTGTAAATTCTCTTCCAACTCAAGACTCAACTCATCTGGAGTGCCCACACTTGACCCACCCCCCTCAAGTGAGGCTCTACTGAGTAATATGTACATAAGCATGTCGATGGTGTCGGACATCATTTCTAAGTTAGATTCCCATAAGGCAAGTAGAGGTGACAAGATACCAGCTGTCATTCTAAAGAAATGTGTTCCCAAGTTGGCTCCAGTTCTCTCCAAACTATACAACTATTGTTTCACAGCTTCCTGCTTTCCAGCTTTTTGGAAGTCCCCCTCTGTAGTTGCTGTCTTTAAGAACTCTGGAGAACCTTCTGATCCCTCTAACTACCACCTTATCAGTCTCCTACCAATTCTCAGCAAAGTTTTGAAGTCTTTAATCAGTGCCGAAGTGGTTAAGCATCCTACCCCTCATGATCTACTCTCCGCCAAACAATATGGATTCCATTTTACTCGGTCTACTGCTGATATGCTAACAGCCATAACTGAATATATATATATATATATATATATATATATATATATATATATATAAATAAATTATTTAAAATATGATTCCATTGCTCCATAAGAGTTCTCATGTTTCAAAACAAGAGCCGAAAACTTCAATATAATTATTTGAATTAAATTAAAAAAAAATTATATTTAGGCTCTACTTTTGTATCGAAAGCACTGTTTTTTTAAATGATAACAAAAATACTAAAGAACTTTGGATTATTTACCTAAAAAGTTCTTTCCTATTTTCTATATATTTTCACACATACATACACACACACACACACACACACACACACACACACATATATATATATATATATATATATATATATATATATATATATATATATATATATATAAAGCTCTCAATAATAATAGCAAAGCTCAAGCCTGGCAGTGCTGACAAAGTTAACCTGGCTGCTGCTGTTGAAAAGGACCACCAATGACTGGGGCAGGAAATGGCTTATAAATTTTAATGCCTTCAAAACTAAACTACTCTCACTTAACCACCATAGATAAATGTACCTGCCCCCCATCAGCATGGCTGATGCTCACCTCCATGAGCGTGTCTCTCTGCGCCGCCTTCGCCTCACATTTTCAATTGAAGTAGATTAACTACATTGAATCAATAGCTGCATCTACTGCAGGGAAAGTTAGGTCACTGTGTCATGCCAGAAGGTATTTCTCGTCAGAGTTCATCTTACACATCTACAAATCTACCATTTGTTCTTGTATTGAATACTGTTGCCATATCTGGTCTGGTGCCCCTGCCGTTTATTTTGAGGTTCTTGACAAAATTCAAAGACGGATCTGTAATATAATCGGTCATGAATTGGCTTCTCGACTTCGGACACTTTCTCACAGGCATGTTGTGGCTTCCTTCTGTCCTTTCTACAAATATTTTCATGGCTACTGCTCTGACAAGTTTTTTTTTCCCTGGTACATGAATTTAAATGTGCTACTAGGTAGATATCTAAGTCCCACTCATTTGCTGTTGAAATTAATTGTAACCGCCACTTCTACTTCAACAATTTCTTTCCTTGTATTTCCCGACATTGGAACTCCTTTTCGTTTACTTGCTTCCCTAATAACTACAATCTTCAAAAATTATATGCAACATCAAAATCGCCATCTTCTGTTGTCCTGATCACTGTCCTCAGATTGACATCCAAACACTCTGAAATGTTTGTATTGGTGCTTCAGGTGCGAATGCCAAGCAATACAGCATGCCGTCTCTAAATTTCTTCTAGGGTGAAATGTATCATGGTGCTCTTTTTGACACAGATGGTGCCCAACTGACCTTACTGTACTGTGCAGTTAACAAAATCAAAAACAAACAACATGCATGCACAAAATTAAAACTATAAAATGACAACAATTTACCCATTGCACTAGATTTGTCTGTGTGTATATAAAATCTACACATTCAATTAAAAATAAAAAACATTGTTAATAATGGCTAAAAGAATAGTTAAAAGCTACACATACAAAACATTCGGACAATTTTTAAACACTTTATTTCCAGAAATGAAAAATCTTATATGAACACATGAAAAATTAAAAAGACTTAACGACAGTTCCTTATCAGTTGTGTTTAGTATAAAAGAGAAACTGCTGTCCACATACACAATTATACATATATATTAGATGTGTGATCAATTAAATATTTTGCCCCCTCCAATGGTATTTTCCTTGCCAATATATACTCTATATTGTAGGGAAAATAGTTTGAGAGAGAGATTGTAATATCAACAAATAATTGTAAATTATAAGGTCCAAAGATCTCTCTTTGGTAGCCACAGTTTTTGTCAATAAGATAACCTCATATTGATGCAACACAATTGTAGGTCAGAGGCCAAAACCTTTATCTTCATTCTTATGGGGAAGATGGTCTCTTTCACTAAGATAATGGCAAGCTTTTAAATGGCTGCAGTACAGGACAACACACTAACAGCTTTCAGACCCCATCCCTAATTGCTGGCATCCATTTTTAAAAAACATAACCTAATATAATAAATTGTTTATTTATATATATATATATATATATATATATATATATATATATTATATATATATATATATATATATTCATGAATTATTCATATAAAAAACAAATACAAAGGTTAATGATTTAATTGGCGAGAAATCCATCGTCGCGAACAATTCAAATAATATACAAAAACCCCGAACCTGTTATGAATGAAAAAATCCTTGTTTTTATAAATTTCTGTTGCATTTGTTCTTATTTTTTACTACAAGCTTTCGTCTGTTCCTACAGTTCCTAGGTATGGAATAGATGTTGTTCTTGTTTATTAATAACAATTTATTAATAAAATAATTCACAAACAAATGATGTAAATGTTCCAAGTGAATATTAAAAAGGAAAAAAAATGTTACTCCAATTAAACCTGATGAGCGAATAAAATGTTCTTTTTGCTTACACACACCTAGTTTGTGTATCTTAATATAAACTGCCTCAAGAATCTTTAAATGATAACCAGATTGGGCCCTGTGTAGAATAATGAAAAAAAAAATCATTATCATACTTGTCAGTACAGTCAGTTGTCTAACAGGTGTTGACCTATTGCTAAGTCATGTACAGACTGGGTTATTCTGGAAGAATGACTGAAATTACCTGATCTTATTGTAGCAGGAACATGTTGACCAATTCAGGTCTTTAGACTGATTCCTCCTAATTATTCAGCATCACACTGACATTTAAACTTATACACAACAGAACTATTTTGTAAGATGATCTTTGATGATTGAGAGGAACACTGAATGGGTCTTAAAAACAACTTAAGTCAAAAAACCTGATGTAATACATGCAGAAACATTGTCAGTGAGTATTTGACTCTTCCTACCTTGCCACGGTAGTTTTGAATAAATGGAACAGAGAGAGGGACCAAAAACTACCGGTTCTTTCAAACATTTGATCTTACGTTCAACAATGATGATGTTAGTTGGAAAACCATTGTCAATAAAAATACAATTAATTTTTACAGGATTTAGGAACAAAAGAATTCCAATTAGTGTACAGATGAGTGAACGTAGGTTTGCAATAAACACTTGTAATAAACAATCTTTATGCCCAACTTGAACATCCACAATGAACAGTAAAAAAATTGGTTTTAGTTGTGTTTCTAGATTTTCTCTCTGCATTTACTATTTTTGTTTTTTTTTGTGAACATCGTCTTTTGCCTCATCTCATTTATACCAATGGTTTCCTTCTGAAGAAGTGTTGGTTTTATGGATCCTAAAAGAAAATGTCCCTGTGCCTTTTTTAAGTCAATATATTTGTTCTGTGATATCAAGTCTTTGTTCAAATATATATATATATATATACACACACACAGGAATTTTTTTTTAAATACAGGGATCATTGAATTGTAGTAATCTTTTTCATTTGTAATTACTAAATACAGTTTTAATTTAATAACATACCTTGTTTGCTACAAATTAAGGCAACACTTTAAAAGATTTAAAAGTTTATAAATTGTTCTAATTAAAAAATTTTAAAATTTTAATTAGATCAAATTACAAACTTCTAAATCTTTTAAAATATTGTCTTAATTTAATTTGTGGCAACCAAGTTATGAATGAAAACATTTCTTTTAAAAATTAATTATTCAGCAATTTTTTGTTTTATGAAGACTTGTGTCTAAATTATCTATTTTATTCATAATGGCAACTAAAAGCATTTCAAATAAAAAAAAAAAAAAATCTTAGTTTTATTGATTTTTATTTATTTTACTATTCAGTGCTGATTTTTTGCAATCATAGTTTCTGTTTGATGCCCAAATTTTAATGATTTAAAATGTCTGGCAATTTTTGATTATAACAAATTTAAATATTTTGTGCAACAAAAAAGAATTTCTCAAAATTTCATAAAATTAAATGACAGTTTTGTTTCCAATTTCAATATGAGCCTCTAATTCTGTCATTGCTATTAAATTTCTAATTCAGACTTCAGCCCTGTACAAGCAGAAAACCCCGACTCTGCAAGCAGATCTCCCAAAACTCTTGCCTCCACACCACGTAAAGATTCCAGTCACTCTGTAGGTAAAAGAGGTGAGTAAAAAGTTTAGGTTTGTACCTTGACCTCGGATTTTTTGACCTGTAAATTTCTCACTGCAAGAGGTTGCTGAAAAGTTCTTGGTTCTGATCTTTTGAAAGAAGGTTTGGCCAAGAACTGTTCGGTATCACCATCCCCATACATGTATTACCATGTAAAACAAAAAATTAATGCCATTGAAAAAATATATTGAAGTTTTAGTTAACTATATGTAGTGATAAATCTGAAAAAAAGAAAACCCCAAAAAACCCCGGGGAGAAGAGCAAGAATAATGAAATAAATAAAGAGGTGAATCAAAAAAATAAAAAAGAAAGAAAAAAAGAGAGAGTTTTTGATCTTTACTCTTTGGAAACAATCGAGGACAAATGTGTAAATCATGTGGGACCAATAAATTAAGAACAGTCAAGGAATCAGCAAAGGAAAAAAAGTAATCACACACCTATTATATTAAGACCTAGCAGCCATTCCTTCTGCTTATAGAGGGAAGGCTGCATAGACATAATGTATAACGTCTCTAATACCACTTTAAAATCAAGTGCTAATTGGAGTGCATTCTGCTGTTTATGGTAAAAGAATCAGCAGAGTGCACTCTGATTATCACTTGATTTTCCATATATCTTACTTATTATAAAACGCAGATTGTGTGTGTGTCTGTAACGTTTATATATTGGATCGGATTTCCTACATTTTTCAACCGATTTCAACAAAACTTCACAGGACTACATAAAATTACCTTGTGGTTCTAACAGCGCCAAAAATGGGAAAAATATAATTGTTTTTGCACAAAATCAATTTGAAAACACGATTAAGATACATCGGGGAAAATGGAAGGGGGACAACTCACATCGGGTTGTTTGTGTGTGTGTGGGTTCCTTTAAATATGGGAGCAGATTTCCTATATTTTTTCAACCGATAAAACAAAACTTCACTTTTTCTTTTTTTCTTTTTTTTTTTTTTGGCAGGTAGTGTTTCTTATTCTCTTGCACACTTTTTTTCTTTTATTTTTAACATTCAGAATGCTTTAAAAAATTCCATTTACAAGACAATTATTTATAATAAAATTCTATTCAATTGGGAGACTCATAACGATTGAAAACAATGTTTTTGTTTGAGTTTGGGTTTGACCAATTCGTAAAAAATAAAAAAAAAAAAAACTAATTAAGACATGCGTGTCCGTCAACCTTAAACAATAATCTAACGATCTCTACTGATTGTACGAATACAAACATCGGAATAAATTCTTTATCTTTTAGGAAAGATAATGAAATCTAAACATACACAAGTCCTAACTAAAAATAATAACCGAACGGAAACTACTTTAAATACACACGGTGTCCAATTTTTTACTGTATTCAATAAGTAAAAATCATAAATTGTAAAAAGATTATTATTACAGAAAGGCTACTAAATGAATAAGATTTGTTAGATCATAATTAATAAACCCAAATAAAGTTAATATTTTTTGTATTAGAAATGTATTAGAATATGCAATTTTTTTTACTGTATTCAATAAGTAAAAATCATAAATTGTAAAACTATAAGATTACAGAAAGGCTACCTACATTTTTCAACTGATTTCAACAAAACTTCACTTTTTTTTTTCTTTTTTCTTTTTTTTTGGCATGTAGTGTTTCTTATTGTCTTGCACACTTTTTTCTTTATTTTTACATTCAGAATGCTTTAAAAATTCCATTTACAAGACAATTGTTTATAAAATTATTCTATTCAATCGGGAGACTTATAACGATTGAAAACAATGTTTTTGTTTGAGTTTGGGTTTGACCAATTCGTAAAAAAAAAAAAAAAAAACTAATTAAGACATGCGTGTCCGTCAACCTTAAACAATAATCTTTGTCAATTTTATTTTTTCAGTCTTTATGATGGTGGATACTTGATCTATCTCTTATTGTTATATCCCGGGCAACACCGGGCTCTACTACTAGTATATATATATATATATATATATATATATATATATATATATATATATATGTATGTATCTATGTGTAAGTACGTCCAGGGTATGGCGATAAACTACATCTGTGTCCTGAGTAAGACAATAAACTACGTCCAGCAGCAAGGCCTCTGATCAGGTTTGGAGGAGTGTGGAACCACCTCTTAATTGCTGGTGTTCCCATGTCTGCCCTGACTTGGGGGGGGGGGGGTAGCACCTGTTAGGGTCCCAGCTATGAGCAAATAGTTGACCCCACAACCTGACTCAAAACATTATGATAGTGTAAAAATAGATTTTAATGCCAGAAATACTTTAAAAAAAAAAAAAATTAGTATCAGCAATAACTATTTGAAAAAAGAAAATATTAACAAAAATATAAATCTTGTCAGCATTAAATAACCTATTGAGATTAATATGCCACAAAACAAACTATACATTTTTTAAAAAAAAATATTACCAGTTATACATTTTTGGAAAAATAAGGAAATTTTGTTGACATTAAATAACCCATTGTGGTTGATAATTCAGTAAAACAAACAAGCAAACAAACTATGTATAAGTATTGGGACTGCTGCTATGGTAATAAAGCTGAAGTAAACAGTGAAGCCTCTTGGTACATCGAACTTGCACTGTTGTATATACACACTAAGTTATAGTGTTCTTGGTCATTTTCATTTTTTTTAGCAGTGCTTGGAAGGAAAGTGTGTAATGTGTGATCATCTCATTCCCTACAGAGGTTCAAACACTAACAACTTGTGCAGCAGTTCTTGGCTATGCACAACATTCTCCAAGTCTGAAAAGCACCATATTCCCCAGAGCTTGCCAGTTGCAACTTTTTCCTCTTTCCAAAAATCAAATCTGACTTGAAAGGACAAAATTTCAAGATGTTAAGGAAATCCAAGAGAATGCAATGAGGCAGCTGCTTGCTATCTCAAAAAATGAGTTCCAGAAATGCTCTCATGAATGGAAATGACAAAGTGTGTGGCTTCAGAAGAGGGGGGGACTACTTCAAAGGAGATTAAATGCTGAATTGATATGTGTTGTCATTTACTTTTTATAGCTCCAGTTCCAATACTTTTTGATTATACATTTCATTATATATATATATATATATATATATATATATATATATTATTATTTTTTCTCTGGGCTGACATGATTTTTATTGCAAAGTGTTGAAAAAAAATCACAATCTAACCTTCCTGAAATCTGAATAAACTTGAGAATTTTTTTTGATGGCTTCTTGGTTAAGATGAGGATTTTTCAGCATCCTCTCACATGTGTGTTTATATAATATGTTTGTGTTATGGTATAAACTTTTACCAGATTAATCAAGACAGTAAGAATTTTTAAGCAGTATTTTTTCCCCCATGGTGCTGCTAAACTGTTCTTGATCCTACCCAGGAACCCCACCCCTAATTCTGATGTTTAGTTATATGGGTCAGATTTTACAAAATAGATCATTCCAGCAGCCCCCCAACCCCAGACCTGTATTTCTTAAAAATATCCAACAGAAACATAAAACCCATTGACCTTATTTCACTTTGACTGTCATTGATAATTTAAATGGTTTCTTTTGAACCTTATCTGTCAGATGCAATGGATGTAATTCTCTGCTTTTTAAAATTAGTTACAGACTAAAGAATTGACTTTTTAGATGAAGCATTTTCACTATTATTATTTTATTACTAGTTTTATTCCATCTTATTATTGTTGCTTTTTACATGAAGCATTTTCACTATTATTAATTTATTACTAATTTTAATCCATCTTATTCTTATTGATTTTTAGATGAAGCCTTTTCACTATTATTATTTTATTACTAGTTATATCTCCATCTTATTATTGTTGCCCTTTAAATGTACAATTTTTGTTTTTCTTAATCCAGGCCATTCTATATCTGCCCTTCCACGATTTGATATATCACAACTGACTGGTGAAGACGAAAACAGGTACACATCTTTTTTTTCTTTCTAGAATGTTTCACCCTGTTGATCCTAAGTGCCCAATATAGATTGTAGCTTAATATTCTCTAAACTTATTTTACAACTGTTCTGTGTTAACAAATTAGTTTTAACAAATTTTTTACTTCAGTCTGTCTTGTGCATTGAAAATTAGGAAGAAAGGTATTGTCTGTGGTCAGGAATGCAAGCATGACCAATAGAAAGTATTTTCACTCATATACATATAATGTTAATACTTTATCAGATATTTTTCATAAAATATCTAGTTTGTCTTCCAATCTAAAAAGTTGCAATGTTTATTTATATATATATATATATATATAATTATCTCATTATGTAAACATTATTTTTAGTATCTACCTATATTTAAGTAGATATTCCGTTTAATAATTAAATTAAAATATTTATTCAATTTAAATAAAGTGTCTACTCAGATATGGGTAACCACTAAAATAATGTTTATTACTCTATTAATAAATAAAAATCTATCACTTTAGAAATTATATGAAAATTGATTCTAGAAATAAAAAAATTAACTCATTAACTGTTGTTTTCTAAATGTTGCAGTAACTTTAATGAATGGAAACTTTTTTTCCTATTTGCAGTAGAACAATGGAACTGCAATGAATGTCTTGCAACAGAGTTTATGGCATCTTCCTATATTAGGATCCTAGTGTCCATAAAATAAAAAATGAGGGTCATTCTAAACTAGGAGTCAATCAAATCTGTATTTACATGCAGTGTTCAAATTTGAGGCTTTACTCTCAACGCCCAGGACAGCTCTATGTGGGAGACCAAAAGAAGGGTGGCTACAAGCCACTGCTTTTACCATTGCCAGATGCAAGTCGTGGTCACTAAGAGGGAAAGACACGGCATTGATGTTTTTGAGATGTGGTCATTTTGCAGAGTCCTTAGAGTGCCGTGGAAAGTGAGATGCCCTAATAACTGGTTGCTAGATATCCTCAGAACAAGGGGATGTATTGAGAGAGCAGATGTCACTAAGATGTCTCTGTTACTTCAGGCATATTATGTGATGAGGCAGCTTTGATAAGGACATTTTTCTGGGCTCAGTGGAGGTCAAGGATGGCCACCCATGTCTTGGTTTGATAATATTAAGGAGTGGACTGGAAAGATGGTGACTGAGGCCATAAGAGTAGCATCAGGCAGAAAGAGATGGAAGGGAGTGGTAAGCTCAGCAACACAAAATGTTCTAACTGAATAAATGATGATGTTCAAATTCTATCTTTTACATAACACATCATATATAGTCAGTATTGACCCCCCCCATATGACACAATTATTGATGCATTGCATTATATGCAAATTAATCTTAAATCGGGATGTAATTTCTAAAATAATGGATATTTATTTATTAATCCGATAGATTTCTATCACGTTATTTTTAGTGAATACCCATAAATGGATTGATACTCAAATATGGGGATCCACTAAAAATAACGTTTAAAGTGATAAAAATCTGTCGGATTAATAAATAAATATCCATTACTTCTTTAGTAATTGCTTTGTCTGTGTTTTGGATATGAATTTTCAAGAGTCTAGAATGAGAAGTTAAAGGCAGTATTCAGCTTTACACTATTTTCCTTATTCGAACTATTGTCCTCATCTTTGTTGCCATATTTATTACAACGTTTCAGCTGTTGAACGCTCCGGCCTTCTTCAGGTGGTTGGAATGTCGAACTGAACCCTTTATTTCGCTCACTGGGGTAGACTGTTCCACGTGCCATGTTTAATGGATGTCAGTTGTCAGTTATCTCCTGTTAATTCCCCTCTCCAAGTTCTCCACTGCCTTAACCGGGTATTGAACTCACACTCTTTTGGGTCCTGTCACTAATGCCTTTATCCACTGTGCCATGTGTCAGTTCGACATTCCAACCACCTGAAGAAGGCTGGAGTGTACAATGGCCAAAATGTTGTAATAAATATAGCGACAAAGATGAGGACAATAGTCCAAATAATGTACATAATACCTCATCTCAGAAATATAGACAGTATTCAGCTTTAATTGATTGGTGACGCCCTTTGTGGCCGAATCAGTTAAATGCATGTCAGATCTAATGACGGTAAAGGAAGATATAGGTCCAAATCCTGCTAGAGGGCACATGTTTCTCTTTGATAAGCTTTCTCAAATATTCAGGCCAGTAGACAAAAATAAATAAATAAATATAATGTTTAAAATAAACGGAACATCTACTCAAATATGGGCATCGACTAAAAGTAATGTTTAAGGTGATAAAATTGGGATGTGTAAAATTAGGGCCTTTCCATATTTCGATTGTCAGTGGAAATATGTTATGAATAGAATGTTGTATTCTGGAAATGGTAGAAATTCTTTCTCTTTGCAGATCCGTCGATGAAGATAGTCCCATTGTTGGTCTTATTTCTGATCTCAATAAACCTAAAGTAGAAGAAAAGAAAGGTGAGTTTTTCTTTTATTCTGATTGGAAAAATAATCTTTCTTCTTTTTTTTTTTTTTTTTTTTTTTGCTTGCCTGTCAATTATCACTTCTCGTTTTGTCCTGGGTATGACAATAAACTATGTCCAACAACAAGGCCTCTTATCAAGAGGTTTTGAGGAGCTTAACTGCTGCTGTTCCCAGGTCCATCCTGACCCAGGGTGGGTAGTGCCTGTTAGTGTTCCAGCTATGGGTAAAAAATTAACCCCCAAACTGGTGTCAAAACACTATGAATGTGTAAAAATAGGTTTTAATACCAGAAATACTTTGTTAAAAAAAAGAAAAAAAAAAAAGAAGTTATTAGCAGCCATAAGTTTTTGAAGAAAAAAATTATTACCAGCAATACATTTTTGAAAAAAAAAAAAAAATTACCAGCAATACATTTTTGAAAAAAATATTACCAGCTATACTTTTAAAAAAAAAAAAAAAATATATATATATTACAAGTGATACATTTTTGAAGAAAAAATATTACCAGAAATAGATTTTTGAAGGAAAAAAATTTTACCAGCAATACATTTGAAAAAAAAAAAAAATTACCAGCAATAAAAATTTTATTGGCATTAAATAGTCCATTGTGGTTGATATGCCATAAAACAAAACAAAACAAAACAAACAAAAATCACTTCTCATTAAAACCCTTTCTCAAACATTCTCTAAGAACTGATAAGGATTTTGTGGACTAAAACTGACACAGTTCTGAACATTGCTTAATTTAAACAGAGGAGATTTTTTTTTTTTTTTTTAAGCCACTGGACTGAACCCACCTGATTATTTTGTCAGAAAGAAATGCCAATAAAAGGGGTGTCCACACTTTTTATGAACCTTTCAGGAGATGACCTTTAACTCCAAAATTCCACTTATTACACACAACTCAGTTGTCCTAAACTTTCAACCATTGGAGAATACGCAAATGATTCTTGTTCAATAACTGAAAATGGAGATTTATTATTTTTAAAACTTGGTTGCATTGATAACTGAATTTATTTCTGAAAATATGACTTAAACATTCTAAAGTTACTGATGTTGCCAGTATTGAGATGTTAAATATTTCTATTCGCCATTCCATTATTCAAATCATGGATTTCCCTACTCATTTCCCTAATGAAAACAAGCAACAGTCCTCTCTACTTGATTTATTTCTTGCCACCTCTCCTTGCTTTTGCCGAGCTTCGCAACACTGCCCTCTTGGTAACTCTGACCACTCTGTGGTAACTATTTATATTTCATTCCAATCATCTATTAAACAGGAACTCCATATCCATAAGACCCTCTTTCCGTTACCAGCATGCTGATTGGGACTCGCTTTATGATCTTCTTCATGACGCCCCTTGGACTGACATTTTTAACCTCCCAGTTGAGAATTTCATCACTAAGGTTTCTTCTTGGATCAAAGCCGGCATGCATGCTTTCCTTCCTTCTTGGAAATACCAGGTGGAACCTCAATCCTCTTCATGGTTCAAACCAGCATGCTTTGCTGCCATAGCCCACAGGAACCACTATTTTCAGCTATACCAATATGACAGCTCCTGTCATTTAACAGTATATTAAATAAGTGTAAAATCTCTATTCATCTCCTATTCCATAAATTTGAATTGTTAACATCCTCTGCTGAAAAAGCTGAATGCTTCACCTGTAAATTATCCTTAAACTCCACTCTTGACTCATCCCTGACTAACTTCCCACTTAGAACTGCAGCCCTGTTGAGTGTTATGCATATAACCCCTTCTATATTTTCTGCTGTCATCTCTAACCTAGATCCCCACAAAGCATGTAGTTCCAATGATATCCCTGTAATAGTCAAGAAGTGTGTCCCAAACTGGATCCTGTTCTCTCTAAATTGTATAATAAATGCCTTGCTGCCTCCTGGCCTCCTACCTCATCACAGGGCCTTTTTTCAGACAAGCAATATGGTTTGGTTGTTTTTATTTACAGCATATCAACAACTCAATGTGTTATTTAATGTCAACAACATTTTTATTTCTTGTAATATTTTTTTCCAAAAATGTGTGGCTGTAATTTTTTTTTTCAAAAATATATTGCTGGTAATAATTTTTCCAGAAATGTATTGCTGGTATTAAAACCTACTCAAGCAGAAGTAGCAATGTAGCTGCTATAACCATTATCAGTTTTGCCAGGAAAATATGCTTCATTATACATCTAAGTCAAATTTTCATAAGAGAATTTGTAAATTTAAGGAGAACTTATTGAGGTTTACTCCCTGTCCATGTTGATGCCAAGCCCTGTTTACAGGTCACATGAATATGATGCATTTCCTTAAAAACCTAGTTGTGTGAACTGCTAAACTGATGTTTTATTCTGTTAGCATGGTGTTTCAACCAATCTATTGTAGAGACCTTCGTCAGGTGCACAATACACAAGGAAAGAGAAGACACGTTTTGTCGCTTACAACCACATCATGTTGCAATACTGGTTCCGTTCCCGTATGCTTACCAAGATTAAGCAACATCAATTCTGTGTGACTGCTTGGGAATACCATGTGCCGTAAATTTGGATGTGCAGGTGGTGTAATGGATAATGGCTTGGGATCATTAATCAGAGAGCCAAGTTCCAATTCCCATTGGGTTTGTTATATTCACTTACATGCAAACACTCAAGGAAAAGGTATGAATCCACCTCTTACCCAGCCTGGGTATGATGATAAACTACATCCATGTCCAGGGTAAGACAATAAACTACATCCAACAGCAAGGCCTCTGATCAGGAGGCTTTGAGGAGTGTGGAACCGCCTCTTAATTGCTGGTGTTCCTGGGTCCACCCTGACCTGGGGTGGTAGCACCTGTTGGGGTCCCAGCTATGGGCAAATAGTTGACCCCAAAACTGAGGTAAAAAATCATTATGAAAGTGAAAAAATAGGTTTTAATACCAGAAATACTTTGTAAAAAAATATTACCAAAAATAAATATTTGAAGAAAAACATATTACCAGCAGTAAGTTTTTGAGAAATAAAAAATATTAGCAGCAATACAATTTTGAGGAAAAAAAAAAAAAGAAAAAAGTTGTCAGCATTAAATGACCCATTGTGGTTGTTGATATGCTGTAAAACAAACCAAACCAGCTATGGATTAAATAGTAAAATTTGTATCATTAAATCATTTGTATCTCAAATAAAACTTCTTACAATCTAAAAAAAAAATGTATTTCCAGGCTTTGCAAAGGGTTGATAAGCTGTAGAAAATGAATCAATCAATCAATTGATCGATAAGACATGTTTTGCCATCTCCAATAAGATGCTAATCTATCCAAGTATAATTGTGTTGGATAGAAATTGCAATATATTTTTGGAGGTCAGAATTCAACTTTCTATGGCTGGGAATCTGGCTACCCTAATATGCTTTGTCCTTCTTGTTATTAAGACCTCAGCACCTCTGAAAAAAACTGCCTTGTACTCAGTAATAAGTTAGAATTGTTTTCTGTCTTTCAGTTGATGAAGCAAATAATCCCAGAGCAGCTCTTCCGACAAAGCCGTCGTCTTCTGCAATGTCACCAACCTCAAAAGTAGCAGCCGAAGCACAAGTACCAAGTTCTCTTGTTGCCTCTCCACCAATTCCTGATATTTTTCATACTGTTTCAAGTCCTACACCCACCTCTTCACCTCCTCCTTCAGCTTTTGCTCCAATTTCAGTTCCACTTCCCACTTCAGCCATTAATCAAGTTTCAACCCCTCCTCTATCCTCTAACTTTGCACAAATTTCAGCCCCTCTGCTTGTCTCTGATCCTCTTTCCACTTCAGCCATTAATCACATTTCAGCCCCTCCTTTATCCTCTGACCTTGCACCCATTTCAGCCCCTCTACTCGTCTCTGCCTTACCTTCAGCTCCTATTTCCACTTCAGTCCTTGCTCAAATTTCAGCTCCTGCTACTATTTCAACTTCTCCTCTTCCTGCTGTTTCAGCTCTTCCACCCATTTCAGCCTCTTTCCCCAAATCATCCACTTCTGCTTCGATTTCAGCCCCACTTTCTCACCTCTCTTCTCCTGGCCCATCTTACCCAGCAAAGAAATCTCCCCTTCAGGCTTTTGATGCCACCGCAACACCCCTCAGTTCAAAACCTGACTCTGTTCTCCTTATTACGCCAGCCATGCAACCTCTTCCAGTTGTCTCCCTTGATGATGCTTGGGGTTGCACAAAAAACTCGGGTAAGTCAATTTTGTATCAACAGAACCTTCTTTTTTTTTTTTTTTGTTTATTTCACTATGTTTGTTTCTCTTCAAAAGCAACTCTTCACCCACAGCTGATTTCGACAGCATTAATGTTGAACTGTTTGGGCTGCATCACTAGTGGGTATCAATTCAAGGGATACCCTACAACTTAACACTTTTCTGTTGCAACAAATAAAAAAGTATTTAATGAGCATTCTTAACTATGGAGCAATGGTTAACAAGCCTAATCTAGCAGAGCATTACTAGTATAGTGAGTTTGAACCACACTGAATACTCCATATTTGTGACCCTGTGCCAGACAAGCTAAGTGCATTAAAGATTGACTCAGTAGCTGTATGAAGAGAATGAGAAATTAATTTTAATATTTTTTTTTTTTTATTCGTATCACTCTATGTAAGGCAGTAAAGCCACTAAGACAAAAGGGATTACTGGGTGTGAAAGAATTAGGAACAGAACCATTGCTAATGAGTGAGTAGAGAAAAGAGAATAATAGATAGTTATTGACCAGATGTAGAAACAAACAGAGTTGATGGGAGGATGTGTTTTCACTGGTTGACGTGAAAAGCTGATCTTCTGGTCTGACAGAGCAAAAGTTGTTGTTACCTACCTACCTTGACTGTCCAAGAGAATCCCTGAAATAAACAACAAAATATATTAAAAACTAGGTTCAAGTTATCATTTCTCATTGTGATGTTTATTTTCACCTTTCCTTTAAGCAGGCAACAGGCTTTTCCCACTTTTTGTATACACTGAACGAGAATAGAGATGCAATGTGTGATTTCATTGTCTAGTCAGTAAAAAAAAAAACAGAGAGATCTCTGTTATATATTTACAAATTAAACAAAGCACTTTGTGTTTTTAGTATTGCCAGTCATGCAATGATGAACTTATGTGTGTGATCTTAGGGTCAAGGTGATTATGCACAGGGATTGGCAAAATCATTGACACTAAACTGGAAATCAATTTGTATACAAGCTGAACAAAAAAAAAACAAAAAAATAGTGCTCAATTTATGCATTGACAACAAAAAGTGTGTGTGATCTTTTGCAGAAGCCTCCTCTTATCAAAGCAAATCTTCAAATGCCAAAGTGTCGGAGCAGCAAAAAGACACCCAGCATGAAATATTTCAGAAAAAAGATCCAGAAAAGGTATGGAAATTTTGTAATGTCCATTTCTTTCTTTTTATTTAAAAAAAAAAATGAACATCTTTGTTATGGACACATCGAAACAATTTGGTCTGTGTACCTTCCTCAGATACGTTTGGTTGTATTTTTCTAAGCTTAGCTCCAAAGAAAAACATGTAAGAAGATTGTGGGGGGAAGGATCTCTCTCTCTCTCTCTCTCTCTCTCTATACCTTTTGCATTCACATTTACTGATACTAATTAACCCATAGCTAGAGGGAGATGTGGATTCATGCCTTTCCCCAAGCGTATTTGCATGTAAGTGAATATAACGAACATGACTAGAATTGGAATTCATCTCTTTGATTTCCAATTCCGAGTGTTATCCGTTACACTACCTGGTATTCCCAAGTGGTCACCCATTGAGGTACTGACCAGGCTCGATGTTGCTTAACATTGGAGATTGTATAGAAACCAGTGTTTCACTGCGATATGGCCATAAGCTAAGAGGAAGACATGATGTTATAAATGTCAATGAAAAGCTGAGTTGGTCGCTTGTTGGCAACAGTGATATGTAATTAACTATTCAGGAAATTCATTAAAAAAGGATATGTGTGGGTTGGTAAATTTAGTATCCAGTGTTCTGAGGCCTCCCGTCAGTTATAATAATGAAAGTTGTTCAGATAGAATTGCCAGGAGATTTATGCCAGGCAATACCAGGTTATTTTACAATTTGCATTGTAAACTCTTGGAGGCTAATTTTAATGTTTTGGTTGACATTTGTCTTTCAGAATGACGTCCACTTGGACACTGCTTCCAGTTGTAGCATTCCTGGTTTGGAATCGTCAGTCAAAGAAGAAGAAAAAGAAGTTCAGAATGCAGTTTTAAATGAAGATATTTCAAGTCAAATAGAAACAGAAATTGAGGTCAGTTGGGAATTTCTTTTGCTTCAACACTTTCATATTTCTCACGGAGCCCAACAAAATAATTACGGGTTTTTAGTTTTTTTCTCTACAGAAAAAGAAGGAAAAAAGTCCATGCCCTTATTTTGTATTCAATCCGATGAGAGTTGAATCTTCGTAAACATTTCTTTTTAAAAAATTTTTTCTAACCAACAAAAACAAGAAAAGGAGATATGAGTGGGCCTAACAGTTAATGGATTGAAAAAAGGAATTGTCGAACCCGAGTCTGCAATTACTTTGTACTCATACTGTTGGCAAACTGGTTCTTCCGTTAGCTTTGAGTAAATAACTGGGCATTTATAGATGTTCAAACCTGGCCATCTTGTGAGACATCTTGGCCTTGTAAAAATTGACTTGTAGTTTATCATGCATTGTTGTTACATCCATACACCCAGATAATCCCGAAATGTTATTTTTTAAATGTCTCTTTACATATCAATTTTTTGTAAATTCAAATTTCCTCCTAATACTGTCCTATCGCCAGTCATCTTATATTTAGTCATCATACATACAGAAAGAAGAGGCTACACATCTTCATAGAAGATTTTAATAGCACAGCCTCACAGATGCACACATACACTATGAAAAAAAAAACTTGCACTAATGTTAAGTGCATATAAAAAAGAAATATCAAGAAGTATAAGCAGTCAGTTACTGATACCCTCTGAAGAGTGGACAAAGTAATTCCCAGAAGGTTCGTCTGGGAAAATCTTGTCAAGATGCTGAAGATAACATCAATCAGCTAAGTGACAAACCTTTTACCTGTATTAATTCTATACGTACATACATATATATTGAATGATCATAGTTCAATTTCAGAACATTTAAAGGAACACTCATGTCCACATTCACAGTTTAGACAGATATTAGTCAAAAACACATCAGTGTCTCAAGATGATAATAAACAAAAACTTAAAATTCTGGAAGTCTTGATCAATTTTCTACAGCCACCAAGAAATTTAATTTGCGGGCTTGAAAGAATTGCGGTCAAAAATAAATGAAGTCAACTACGAGAATAGGAACAAAATTTTGAAATGTTTGTAGCAGCAAAGTGTTTTCTAAAAAATACTAAATTAAAATACTGCAATTAAAAAAGTTACCTCCCTTGCATAGAGGTGAAAAATATTTTGAATTTACAGTGTTAACACATCCATAGATATACAACCCCTGAAGAAAGTACTTGGGAAAATAAAATTATTTGAATGAAAAGTTTTGAATTTTTCTTAATCAATTTTCTACAGCCACCAAGAAATTAATTTGTGGACTTGAAAGGGTTAAAACTAAAATAAATAGACATAATGCATCTAAATTATTTAACGAAACATGCTGCCTAAATAAACACACACACACATATATATATATATATATATATATATATATATATATATATATATATATATGAGGAATAAAAGTTTATTGTGAAAAATGAATGGAAGGGATGACTGATATTCTTTAAAAGTTACCACCAGACTATAAACACAGACTAGGTTTATAATTGCTCTGAATCAGCTGTTGCACAAAGTAAGCCAAGGCCAGGAACATTCCCCCATGGGTGTGTGTGTGTGTATGCTACACATGCATTGTTTTTGCATCCGTTATCATGTAGTCTCCTCACCAATATAACATCCTTTTTGTATGTATGTCTTAATAAATAAAAAATCCATCACTTTAGAAAAAAAAAATATATATGTGTGTGTGTGTGTGTGTGTGTGTGTCTAAGGAAGTGCTGTTTTTTTTTATTAATCTGACAATTTTTTTTTATTTAAATGTTATTTCTAGTTGATATCCATATACAGGTAGATACTCCATTTATTTATTAAACGGTATATTTGTTTGTTTTCATTTAATGGCCTGAACATTCGAGAAAATGTTGTCTCAGTCAAAGAGTGCATTGACGATCAAGTATAGTTGAATAGTGCTTTATAAATGACGGTTTCTTCTGCCAAGGTGGACGCAAGTTTGAATCCTGCCAGAGATTGCATATTAATTCTTTAATAAGATTTCTTGAATTTTCAGTCTGATCAAAAGCCATAGTAGCAGTGACAGCGGTGGAATGATCTACTTCTAAGCAAAGGTGATAGGATCAAGGTATTACTTTCTTAGTTATTTGACATAGCTCTCCCAACCCACCAAAAAAAAACTGTTTCACTGTACTGCCCCTCCAACACCTAACACTATCCATCTCTCAGACAGCCACATAAATGCCTTAACAGCAATCAAAACTCAGTCCTGTTCATCAGCAGGTTTATTGAATGTCAAAAACGGTGAAACACTGATGCTCTTGTTTTGGGGGTAGAGTTAGGAAGATAAGAAAGTAGGAACCACGTACTTTGATCCTGAGCTTTACTGTGCTACTTCTGGTAATTACTAAGGGCTAAACAGTGACTAATCTAAAATGTACCTAAACTAAAGCGGGGGGTGACATACAAGAAGGAAATAAAGCAATAGAGGTTCTGTACCGTAGGACAGAGAGAATTCTTGCACTCTGCATATCAATGTCATCAAGTTTTATCAACCTGAATATCTACTCAACTCCAGAGACTAAAGGTCAGTTCTCTGAGGCATTGGATTAATTCATTTCCAGGATCTCCAGCATTGATGGGTTTTGTATCTGTTGGAAGATTTCAAGACTAGAGTGGAAACTGACCTGTAGCTTTGGCAGGATAAAAGAGAATGGAGAGAGAGAGACTGTGAAAACTATGCTGCCTCCAGGGTTTATTTGTTCAGTTGTAAGGAGTTCTGCAAAAGCTCCTGGGGGCATATGCAGTCTCATACTTGCTAGACTTTGTCATCATTAAGAGACTTCAGTGTTGGGATTTCACACCATTGCCTTAGAAATGAGATATATATATATATATATAATCTGATTGAATAAATTACAGACATTATGTCTCCTAATTTTTGACAAAATCCGTTCATACTCACGAATAACCTTCTGTGTATTAATGTTAAAGGGTGAGAGAAATGTGCAATAGCCGTTTAAATTTCTTTTATTTCATTTCCCAAGTACTTCCAATCTTTTTCCAAGATCATCTTCAGGGGTGCAGTAGTATAAAACTATATGTTGTTCATTATTATAAGTATTTATATAAAGATGTGCATAGTTAGGTTCTATTGTATATAAAAAATGATAATCTATATTCTTATGACAATGCTCAGTTTTTGTAGATAACATTTCATGGCATCCACATTCCCCCAAATTTGAATACCATTTCATTTTCTTATTTTCAGTATTATTGCTTGAAAATTATATAGACTAACCCTAACCCTCCAGTCAGTAGTCGTTGGCAAATACGATGATACTGGAGAGACTTGAAAGTTTTCAAAAAGCAGGTTTAACATTCATCATAGCTTCTTTTTTAGAAGAGACAAATGATTTAGTAAACAAACTGGCTGTTTTGAATATTTGCTTGGCTCCTCTCCTCCCCCTTTCTTATTATTTTTTGTGTGGTCCTATTGCCCCTACCATCAACCATTAGGCCTAATCAACTAATGACAGCTGTGAAATTTCACTCGGCCAAACACTTTGTCACCGACCCTTCTTGCCGCAAGTGGAGATGTTCTTTTTGCTACAGTGGATTTGATTTTGGAGATCAAGACGAAATCAATTCACATAATGTGTTATGACTTAGTAAATGACAAAGTCTCTTATCTACAGTCGAAATGACCTCTGGTGGGATTCTGATTTTCTCATGATTACTCACAAAAAAACAAACAATTGTTCTTAGGTTTTCATAGATTCCTTTTGTCTTTTCTTTAAAAACTTTCATAATTGTTCTGATGAGCTTTCCTCTATGGTACCGAGTTTTTATAAATTTAAGTGCAGTACTAGATTGGCAGCTAGGTCTCATTATCCTGTTAAGATGGCTACATGTAACTGTAAGTTCTATGTTAACGGTTTCTTCTATTGCACTTCTCGCTTGGGGAACTCTGTTCTTCAAAAATTTAAATACAGTGTCAGTCGTTATCTACTGTCTTCTTGATTCTATTTTTGTTCTCTCCCCTTAATAATGTTTCATTTTTCCTCATATTCTCTAACACTCAGTAACTTATCTTAGTGACTTTATTGCCTTGTTTGGGGTGAAATGAATAAAAAAAATTGGCCACATACATGAGAATCTGAAATGAAACATTGAACAAGCCAAATTTAGAGAATCTTGGAAATTATTATTAGATATTAGATAGATTTAGATAAATAACCCCAGCCCATCAATATTGGGATACCTCCTCAGTATAAGCAGGCTGAATCTGCTGGATGTCAAGTATTTGGGACAATTCAGTCTTGTGATGATACCTCAAGTTGATGTCACCCCCACCTTTATCAGACACTAAATTGAGAAGAATTGGGTAATTGAGGAAATTTTTTCCCCTTTCTTAGGACATTTCCATTTACAGACTCAAAATCAAGTGGAAGAATTGGAAACCAACTTTGGCTGCAGGCCTGAAACCAACATTCCTTGACTGAAGGTTGCGGATAATGCAAATACTTTCTAACCCACCAATCGACTGTAGTTAGATTGGCCACAGAATTGAGAGTTAAACTGATAATTATAACCCTTGATAAATAAATTCTATATTTGTCTGTATTTCTTTGATGAGGTATTGTAACTAGTTGTATTGTCCGGACTGTTGTTCTCATCTTTATTGCCATATTCATGATGTTTTGACCTTCTTCAGGAGATATTTATTGGAATTTTGAACCAGACCCTTTATTTAGTCCACAGAGGGTATTGATCTAATTGGAATTAACTAAAACTGAGATATCCAAAGGCATTAGAATAATTTATCCCCATGGACTAAATAAATATCACCTGAAGAAGGCCAGAGCATACAACAGCAGAAGCATCAAGAATATTGCAATAAAGATGAGGACAACGGTCCAAACAATGTACTGTAAATAAATTCTATATTATTTGTTTTCTGTTCTGAAAATTGCTTCCATCTGTTTTTATAACTTTGCCCTAATTAGCTTTTTCTCATTATTTCATGTCTCCTTCAAATCTAATTTAAAGATTGTCATCACATCCCAAAATAAGACCTGATTTTGTGGGAGGGGGGGGTCACCATTACCCTCTTCCTGATTAGTCTTTCTCTATAAATGTTATTAAATTAAGAGGCCATGCTTTTTCTCTATTGTGTTTGGACAGATAGAAAAAGTCTAAAACTATTTCTCAAATTTTATTTATGAGAAAAATATGAGATTATTTCCAAAATTGAAGAAAAAAAAGAAAGTAAGCTTGCATTTTGAAATTTTTTCATGGTTTTTCAGACACTGTATATGAAGTCAAAACGATCAAGAGATGAAAAATAATAGTTCATATATAACTAAAAAGTGATTTTCTCATTGCAGAGTGACATTCTTCCAGGTTCTGATCACAGTAGCCCTGTGTTGGAATTGGAATCTCAGAAAGAATCTGAGAAACCAGCTTCAATAGAAGACAAACCAAAACTTGGAGAATCTGAGGTTGGTTCCCAAGATTTTTACTGTTGATCCCAATCTGCTTGGAATTAATATTTATTGTGTGTGAATATTTCTTAAATATTATTTTTTTAGATAGATCCTCATATTTAAGTAAATGCTCTGTTTATTTAATTACATTTACTGGCCTGAGTATTAGAGAAATCTTGTCAGAAAATGTGTTCTCTGAATATTTTGCATGCCTGAAGGAATTGGAGTGGTTGGGGGCTCAGAAGAGGAGAACCATTCCATAAACCCAACCCCAAGACAACAGAATTATCTTGGTCCCGTTAATTCTGATATGTTCAGATTTCTTTTCCAGTTTCACCAATCTTGGAACTACTTGTTACAAGCATAAAAATGTTGCAATAAGATGGGTTTACTGTATGCGAATAATATTTATGCTGAGGCATTGGAGATTGCAAAAAAGAAGAGCCCTTTTAGATTTGGACCTAAACCCCAGGCCATTCAAACTTGCTAACCAGAGCCATGATTGAAACTTACTGGTGTTGTACTTTCACGATGAACATGCTTGGGGTCAGGACACCAACAGCCTGTTCCGTAGAGCTTTGACACAATTCTTTTCCCTAAACAACGTTAGTTCAACAGCTCTATAAAGGGAGGGGTACATAAGAACAGTGATAAACCAGTAGAATCAATGATTCTGTGGCTGAATTAGCTTCCCCCCACCCCAAGCATTGACCCAATTTAAGAGCTATTGGGGGGGGGGGTCTCCCACACTTTTCCCTTTTATCTTTCTAAAGTTAAGGCACACCCTCAAATCTTTCAAATGCTGCTGCTGTAAATTTTTCTTTTTATGTCCAGGTCCACATGGCAGACATCTTCCCTGGTATATTTCGGTTTGCAGTCTGTTTTAGTATGGAAGTTCATCTTCTGTACTTTCTAAAGTGGAGCTCCACTGTCTCTTGATTGCTAACAGGTAGAGGGAAGAGCTGTAGAGGGTGAAGTACTTTTACTTGAGAGGATATTGGAGTGGGAGGAGAAGTTTGGGGGTGAGAATACTGATTTTGTTCTAACAAAGGATAAAGTATTATAATTACCTTTGGGGGAAGACATCTTGCTGGAGGAGGTGGCTTCTTCCATTGGCGTATACTTGACAATTGATGCCTCAAGTTTTCTTCAATACATAGTTTTTTTTCTCCCCCCCCCCCCTTACTGGGACTTGCATGGGGTATTGTTTGTTTTAGGTTTGCATCATATGTTCTGAAATCTCTTGTTGTCAAAACAGAAGCCAAATGAGGAAGCAGAGGCTGCTTTCTTCCTGTCTCCCTCCCCCTTTCAATCACTTGCCATCTGTTGTTTTTTTGGTGGTAAAAAGGAAATAGTTTGCCTACTTTGTTGGAACTATTTTTCTTGACAGATACACAGCAGAAAAGTGTTCAGTTTCTCCACAGAAGTAACAAAGCTGACCTTTTTCCTGGAAACAATGACCACCACCTTCCCCAATTTGGGATAGCATAAAATTTTTCCCAATTAAGCATTAATTGTTACTTTCATTGCTTCAGCTTCTTGTAGGGGGTTTATTTTAACCAACTCTCCAGACTGCATGAGGAATGTGCCCACTTGTGCTGAAATAAAACCTACCACATTAAAAATGACCACCACGTCGCTCCTAATACATCACTCTTAGGATGCTCCCTCTCTCTTTTGTAGAGCCCTTCTTGTTAGCACCATACAATCTTCTGGTAACAAAATGTCTCACAAAGGGTTAAAAGATTTTCCCCTTAACAATCTGATGAATGTTGATGCCCAAGTTTGCCAAAATTTTTATTAGACGACGTATTATGTATACTATTTACATCATTTGTTCTAGTGTCCCCATCTTTGTCACCATATTTATTATGTTTCAGCCATTGTACGCTCTGGCCTTCTTCAGGTGGTTGGAATGTTGAAGTTTATTTCACTCACTGGGGTAGACTAGTTCCATGTTTAATGGATGTCAGTTATCAGTTATCTCCTGTTAATTTCCCTCTGAAAGTTCTCCACTGCCTTAACCGAGTATTGAACTCACACTCTTTAGGTCCTGTCACTGAATCTAACTAACACCTTTATCCACTGTGCCCTGTGTATGAATTTCTGGGTATTATAAACCTAATGTCTTCAGCTCATTTTTTTACCAGAACTCATATTGCAATTTTTGTTATTATTGCTTTTCTCTGGCACTCCTTATTACTGGTTCCCATATTGTATTCATTTGTATGCTTGAACACCAGAAAGCTGTGGGGAAGTCTAAAAATCAGGTGTGGCTGACCACATCTGGAGAGAGAAGGGAGACCACCACCCTCTGTGGGATCAGGTTGAGATCCTAGACAAGGAGCACCATTGGAAAATTCATAAACTTAAGGAATCAGCACATATGCTAGGCCATAAAAAAATGAATACAATATGGGAACCAGTTAACAACAAAAATGACAAAATGAGCTCTGGTAAAAAAAAAAAAAAAATGGTTAGGTTTATAATACCCAGAAATTCATAAACAGATGTCCTCAAGGACACATGGCACAGTGGATAAAGGTGTTAGTTAGATCCAGTGACAGGACCCAAAGAGTGTGAGTTCAATACCCGCTTAAGGCAGTGGGGAACTTGGAGAGGGAAATTAACAGGACATAACTGACATCCATTAAACAATGGCACGTGGAACTAGAACAGTCTACCCCAGTGAGCGAAATAAAGGGTTCAGTTCAACATTCCAACCACCTGAAGAAGACCGAAACATTGTAATAAATATGGCAACAAAAATGAGGGCAATAGTGCGAATAATGTATTTTTATTTTTTATTGACTACAAAGACAGGCACATTCAGTTCAGGTACGTTGTTAAAAGATGAGCCTTTTTTCTTTTTAATGAATTCTTCTACATCAATGATTCACATGGGTAGGGAATTTTGTGAGGGAAGATGATAATCCATAGTATTTCTGTCCTGTCTTTGAGATCCTTAACCTTTTCCAGGGTGTAAATAGGCTTTTCACAGCCTTGCTAATATGCTCCTTATCCATTTGGACAGGGTAAGGACAGTAGAACCTCAACGCAAGAAAATGCTAACAAAAGTGGAGGCAAGCCTTGCAAAGAGGAATTAGATAAAATGCTGGCTCTTTCAGAACGTTGTCTGCAAGAGAATTCTGCATAACAATCATTTTACAATAAACAGAAAAGACAATGCAATCTGCTTTGAATGACTGCAAAAAACATCTCCCTCCCCGAATGTATTGACAAATCCACTAGATGCATTCTGGGATTTCTTCCTAACCAATAAAAATAGACCATTTTTCAGTCTCATACCCCACATTTTTTTTCTTTCTTGTTTTTAAATCTACAATCACTTGACTGTATCCCTTTTGCATGTGAACACAATTCTTACTTTGTGCAGTTTGTTATATATATTAGTGTTTTTGCTGTTCTTTTTCATTCTTTTCTTGTTTCAGAACTTTGTCAATTCCATGACAAGCTTAAACAAAATTTTTTTTTTACTGAAATTCTTAAGTCACCTGCTTATCACTTCCACTATTGTGGACATACATAGACATCTTTACAAAATTGACATTACCTTGCTGACAATATACACACACAATTTTTTTCCCAATTTCATGTATAAAAATTTATATATTTATATAAAAAATACTGAAATAGCATTAGTTAAATTATATCACAAACCTATTTCCAAACCAGCATAAGCATATATTAACGTACAATATGACCCATTTGTGATTATATTACCGCTTAGCTTAATTTCTTATTGAAACCAAAATTAATCAACACTTCATTGTAGCATGGAATGAAAGATAAATTATTCTAAAGAATTCAACTAATGAGTCATTGATGAAAATTACATCAAACTTATGTTGTCTGGATTGTGTGTGTGAGACCACACTTCATGTTCAGTAATTTCTGACTACCTGATATGCTTCATCTGTATCACTGCATTCATGGAATCTAATGCTGGAACACCACAGACACTTATGTGCCCCCCCAAAAAGACTGAATCCATGAAACGTCATACAGACAATTTGAAGAAATAATTTTTACTGATTCATACATAAAAACATATTTAGTATTAACAATGATGGAAATTATTATGAGCCACATGGAAAAGGTCATTTCTAAAGAAAGTGTAAAAATCTACAGGAAAAATGAAAAAAAAACCTTGAAATGACAACAACTTAAAAATTTTCTATTTTTTTGCAGTTTGAAGAAATTCATTCAGAGAGTCTCTCGCAGTCTCACATGTCTGACAGGTAAGCAATCATCTTGTCAAAAATAAACTTATTGATGAATTTACAGGTCCAAAAATCCTCATTTGAATCTCTATTTTCTTTGGGAGGAAATAAAATTAGGCCTTAATGCGCCCAACAATTTCCTTTCAATCTCTGCAATGCATGTCTTCATCATCTGGTAAATTCTCAAAGATCCGTTTAAGGCTAATGTATGTACTTCTTTTCCACTCCCCATAATTAAGTTTTCCCTTTGTCAGATTTTATGCCATTTAAGAATTGGAGATCTACAAAAGGAGGAGGAGGATGACTAAAATGTTTTTAGCTTGACCAACAACTTTTCTGCCAACCCCATTATTAATTATGAAACTAGTTGCCTTCAAAATATGAAATTATTATTATTTTTTTATTTTTTTTTTATTTTTCAGTGAAGTTGATGACAACATGTTTGAGAATTGGTAATGGGGAAAAGTCATGAAGAAAAAATTATTTAAACTTTTACAAAGAAACAAAATCTTGAATAAATATTCACTTTCTGTTTTCGTTCTTCTCTTTTTTCCTTTTAAAAAGTCTTGGGGGTGGTTACAGGAGTTCAATCCTTCCTGTATACTTGTGGCAGACAAAACTTTTTCTACAATTTTAAAATGCATATTTTCAAAATGTCCATTTTTATGCCAAAATTTGTTTCAAAACCGATAAGATGTTGTCTTCACACCCATCCTTTCCTCTAAATATCTGTCTTGATTCTGTACAACCTGTGGCTGTTGTCCCAGCAAGCCTTCAGTACATCCTTGACATTTCGGCCTTGAAGGTTGGCAACTGCCTCAGCAACTGTAAACACCAAACCAGGATGTGAACACTTCAACTGGTTAGACGGGACCTCCAGATTTAATGGTAAAAAGGAAAAGGGGAAAAAAAAAAAAAAAAAGGAATTAATGAAAGAGTCAATATGAGAATGCTAAAAAAGATTCAAACAGCAGCTACCCTCCCTCTTTAACTTCCACCCATACAAAGTGGGATTCAGTTTCTATTAACATTTTTCAAATCAGAAATTGGTTAAAAATGATAGTTTCAAAACATGGTTTTATCCAAACATTTTTTTTTACTACATTTTTTTTTAAGGTCAATAATTGTTTAAAATGAAAAAAAAAATAAAATAAAAACCTTGTCAAAACTTTTCATATTTCAGCAAAGACTTTAAAAAGCAAGAATTCTTCCTAAACTTCAATGCAGAGTTGAGTCAAACAGAAAAACATTTTGTGATAAAAAAGGGGGGGGGGGTAAAGATGCAAAATGATACCATTGATTTTGAAGAGATATCAAATTGCACTTCTTTTTGTAATAGGCTCCTTCCACCCCCCACCAGCTTAAATTATTTGAATTCTTCATTAAAGATAAACATGAACTTTCCTTATGTATAAATTTTCCACGATCACAGACAGAATCGTTAATCTTAAATGAAATCTAGGTTTTTAATGTAATTTTCAAAACTTAATAATTTTGTTAAACATTTTAATATAATAATAACGTAACGTAGTTATTTCCTTAAAATGTTTTTATGAATCTTTGTAGGTATTTTCCTTATAAAACCTGAAAAATAATTAAAAACAAAAAAAATGTTTACATAAAAAAAGTGGGTTGATTTTTTTTTTTTTTTGAGAATATATTGGCAAGTCTATTTTCAAATATTTTACAACTTTTCTAAGAAACTGTATGTTGCAAACTCACAGCTTAGTCGTGGCCAGTGAGATTCATTGTTAAAATGGAAGACAGACACTAGTTGATGTCATAATTGGAAGAGAGAGACGAAGATCAAACCAATAATTTTAACAAATTCATTTCCTTTAGGCCTCACACAATTTATAAGTAAAAGATTCTAAACAACTATGAATAAATAAATGCTATAATGTGCCTACCATACAATTTAGAAATAAAGAAAAAACAATTCTCCAAAAACATCATTTTATGAAACAACTAGCTTGTCTAAGCTTATTGTCACACAATAATTGCATCATCTTCAGTGCTTCACTATTGTAAACGAATTTAAATTGAACCAAAAAAATCCTTTAATAACATTAACTATCAATGATTATTTTTTTCATATTTTATTTATATTTTGTAATCTAAACCAGTTGTATGAATAAATGACAAACTGCTAAGATGACTGAATATAGTGAATCTAGCTCAAAAGTTGGGTCTGTTCCTCCAAAAGAAAATGACCCTAGAATCTAAAATTTGTGCTAAAGCCAGAGTAAAGCAATTTCCTGATGACTTTTATGCAGAAGAAAATGTTATTTTACAAATTCTGTCTCTATAGTGTTGACACAATCAAAGATCACATCAAATCAAAAACTCATTTGACAAAAGTCTTCAAAAAAAGTCGGATCAACTGAAACAGAAGATGATCACAACTTTGTTGAAAAGAAAAAAAGTCGGATCAACTGAAACAGAAGATGATCACAACTTTGTTGAAAAGAAAAGAGGTACGAGATGATTTTGTCCTTGATTTTTTAAAAATGTGCACTTTGGCCTCATTTTGTATCGGGGAATGTCAGATATTCATATTAAAATATTGTAAAGAAGATGGTGCTATTCCAAAGTGTCAATTGTGTTAGGCAACTTCATCTACCAAAATTGTTTGCTTGTCACTTTGCTGCTCTGAAAGCCAAGCTTGCTAATCAATCAGTCAGCATCATAACAGATGAAACAACTGTCGTGGCCACAGCATTTTGAATGTAACTGCAAGCATTCGTGAGGAGTCATTTCTCATTGATGTTGTAACCTTGCGAGAATGCAATCCTCACACTGTAACTCCGGTAAGAATTTCAAGCTGTAACTCATGTGGATATTGCATTTCTAACACATTCTACAACCTATTGCAAAAAAAGGCTCATAAGGAAGTGTTGTCAGCACATATCGTAAATTTTGCTGAAGTATGTCCACACTGGCCAGCATTTGATAATGTTACTCAGTTTACTACTTTCATCAAGTCAGCCTTTTTTAAAAAGCCTAGTTGGAAAAAGCGATATTTAAAATGGTTTGAAAGTTCCTTGCCTAAGAAACAAGTGAAACGAACCCCCCCTCCCCGTACCAATGGCAGCCAGATGGGATTCCTGGTTTAATGCGGACAAATATCACTCATCCTTTGTACAGTTTTATGAAGGATTCTTTAAGCAAGAAAAGAGCCATAGCCTTGTCGTAGATAGAATTTTAGAATTAGTAGATGATGCTTGACTGCATCATGCCTCTTACTATAATTTGTGCCTAAATCAGCATTTTATGAATGAGAACTGCATTCGTTTAATAACAGCTTTGACAAACTTAGAAGAAAGTAAGTCTCTACTTGTATGTGTTACATATAACATGATGGAGGATATAAAACAGTATTTGTATACTGGTACATCAAAATCAACATTTGGCCTAGAAACTGATCGTCTTTTGTCTGAACTAGAGAACACAGAGAGGGAGAGAGTTATTTCAAATTCCCAAGATTTTTTCAGCACATCTTTTTCAAAACTGAATAAATACCGAGATACCCACCCTGTGTAGAACTTTTACAATGTAGCTTGCCTGTTTGATCTTAGACAGTGACTATGTATAGGCCATGATTTAGACAGTTTTGCAGCCATCAAGGACTTGCAATGTCCTTCTACTGATCTTCTTAAAGATTTCCAGATGTATGTTAATTACCAAACCCTTTTTAATATCCCCATCGAATGCAAATAAGAGCAGATTTCCTCTTCTGGAACAGATTGCCAATAAGGTCATATGGATGCTTGTTAACAGCATAGATGCTAAATGTTCATTTTCTCAGTATAAACATTTACTCAATAAACAATGTGAAAGTCTTACCCCTGAGAACACCAAGCAACTCACAGCGTATTACAATGAAGATTTAGAGAAGAGATTTGAAGATTAGATATTTCCCAAATTAAGAAATTAGCAATTTTAAATTTGAGCAGTAATTCAACTTGGGATGAGTTGTTTTATTTAAATTTTGAATTAATATGTTTAATTTGTTTTTTTGATATTTCACAAAGATTCAGTTATTATGGTTTAATTACTGTTTTGTAAAATTTTAATCAAAATTTTTGACTTTATTCAGATATTTATTATTGAAATTCAAGTTATTTGCAGTTGATACTTTAAATGTGATTTTTATATTATGAATCAATAATTATAAATCAATCTAAATCCTTTTACTTAAAAAATCAAAAACAATTTGAATGTGTTCTTAAAGAAGGAAGCTCTGATTAAAAGTTCTACCTCAAAGATATGCACTGTAACATTCCATTGTTTTATTGTCTAGTCATATGTAAAAATAAAAAAATGTAACAATTTATTTTTGGACTTGGATTTTAACATTTAAAAAAAAAGATTTGTAGATATTTGCTATTTCTTTATAGGCAATAAAACTTTGCATTATGTTTTTTTTTTTTTCAGTTTTAATAATAATTATAGTAGATTGTGTTGCAATTTTCTTATAAAATACTATAAAAATGAAAAAAAATGAAATTCCCCAAAAGTAAAAAAAAAAAAAAAAAAAATTAATTTACTAAAAGTGCAAATGGAAAATTGGGGGACCTACTTACAAGAAAGAAATGGAAAATTTACTTACTATGCTTGGTATGAAATATGGAGCATCAGATTCCAACACCAATCTGGTCAGTGGGATCTTACGAGCAGTATCATGGACATCGAAAGCATTTTTATAAGTAACTTTAGGGGTTAAGCCAATGTAGAGGTTAGGAAATGTGTCCAGCCATTTTTGTGCATGTTCAAAATCCAACATATAACAGTGGAGGTGAATTAACCAATTCAATGGACATTCCTGAGAGAGAGAGAGAGAAAGAAAAAAAAAAAAAAAAAGAAAGTTTACTTGGAAATTAATATTTGAAAGAAAATTAATCAAAACTAGTGGGGAAAAAAAAAAGAAAGAAAAAGTGAGTCGTTCTGTCTTTGATTCTGCCTGTCTTGTTTGCCTAGAAGCAGTGGTTTCTTCAACAACCTTCCAAAAGGATGTTGATAAATCCTCATTTGTTGTTTAATGTATTCAACTTGAAGAAAGGTTAAGAAGAAACACTTATTTGAAAAGATTTTATCTGACAGTTGGCTTCAGATGTGTTGAAACCTTCAGTTTTGAATAAACTCACACATTTGACATTTTTAATCTTTTTTAACCTTCCCAAATATGCAACATTGTCCACAAGCCAAGGTTTGAGAGACTTCTAATAGTTTCTCTAACAAAAGTGTTACATAAGACACTGGACCAAATGCAAAATCTCATACAGACTAAATGTCACTTTGCTCATCACTGAAATCAAATTCAAATTCCAACATGGCGCTACAAAATCATGCAACAGCCAATCAACAATTAGGATACAGAAAGCATACAAATTATTATTATTATTATTATTATTTTTACTAAAACTATTTCACTTTAAGCAAGGATTGAAATCCCTGAATGCACAAGGGGCTACTGAGTGTGAAAGGAAAAAAAAAAACAAACGTTATTAAGGAGAATCAAAAAGACAGGTGATAATGATTAACATTGAATTTTTTAAAGACCAACGATGGCTTGAAAGCAAGATGCCAGAAGAGAGTTCCATAAGAGAGAAGAAACGGTTAGCATAGAACTTCCATCTAACCTATTATGAACTGATGAGACCTTGTTGTCAATCTGGTATTTAAATTCATGTTTAAGTTACCATAAAGGAAAAGTTAATCAGAACAATTACCATGAAAATATTGCCAACAAGCATGTTTTACTGTTGGGAATAATTTACAAGGTAACCAAAACAGCACTTGCAATTTTTGATTTATTATGAAAAAACGGTATACAGCAAATTTGACATGCAATCCTCAAAGTAATCCCCATCAGGATCCAGAACCTTTCGCTGTGCCTCCAGCTGGGAGTAAAAATCAGATGTCTTGGATGCAAAGAAGTCTGTGAGTGCCCGCCATAATCTGCCTCATTTGCAAAGGATTTCCCAAGAAGGAATAAAAGAAATGGTAATCTGCTGGAGTAAGATGGATGATACTGTGTCTCCCAACCAAATCACTATATGGTCTCCATGTCCACATGGAAAGTACACCCTTGTGATTAACCAACGCTGGTTCCTTCTGATTAACCGCTTGCTACACATGTTCCAATTGCCATGAGTACATGTCCGCAGTGATTGTTTGGCCTGTTGATAACAACTCCTAGTGCAGCACTTGTTGACTCGTCCACCAGATACAGAGCATGATCTTGCGTGGATGTAAAGGTGACCTTGTGTGTGACAACCAGTGTCTAGCATGCTTGGGAGTGTCATACAAGACTCACTTTTTGTCATTGGTGAGCACTTGATGAAATATGGGTTCATCACGCAGCTGAGAAAGCAACAAGAAACACCTGTTGACTTCCAACAGTGTGTGGGGTATCCACTTGCTCAACTTATAGACATGTATTCGGCAACTTGATGCAGCTGTGGACAAGCCCATCATAAAATCATAAAGCAGACAACCTCTGGACGAACTGCTTCCAAACAAATCATGATTAATGTGTGTGTGTGTGTGTGTGTGTGATGGTCAAGAGCAATGCCCCCCACCCAACTGACCACTTTCCCAGTATGTGACACACTCATTTGCATATCAGCGATCATTTTTTCTCACACAACGTAAAAAACAGCAAGGACGTTTTTGGTTACTTTATATTTGTGGTCAGTAGAAGTGTTTTTCTTTTTCCCGCTGCCAAATAGGCAAACACTGCTTTGAATGGACTCTGTTACTGTTTTGTCTTTGGAATGATTGTTTGTTTGTTTGAGTTTTACGACATATCGACCTCCTCAGTCATTTAATGTCAAATCAGGTTATTATTGGAGTATTATTTTCCAATATAATAGTCCCTTCCATTTCCACAAACGGAGAGGTTTGCCATGCTGAAAAAGGTTTTTAGAAATGAAATGGTTTGTAGAAAAAATCTGGTTCTGTCAAAAAAAATTTTTTGTAGAGAATTGTATCGTAGGAAGTTTCTTCCTTTTTTGAGAAATGGTATGCAGAAAGAATCAGATTTTGTTGAAAAATATTCCTTGCAGCAAAAAGTTTGCAGAAAACTCCCAACTTTTTATGTTTTTAGATTTTTGGTACAAATTGACTGCTTTCAGGAACGATATTATGTTATCCATGTCCGTTTTTTGGAACAGTTCCTTCATGTTACTTGCACTATAAAGCGTTTCTCTTATATGGGCTAGGTCAGTACATTCAATGAGAATGTGTTTCACTAATTAGTATGGATGTGCCGCCTGAGGCTCTATCTGTATTATTATTTATATAGTTATATGAGGTAAAATTACGAATTTTTACATTGTCATTCTCTTTCAGAAAAGTCTCCTGTAAACATATTATCATTGGACATAGGTTCCCAATTAAAAGCAGTAGTTCATTTATGTTTGGTTTCATACCTCTTATGTTCCATTGGATGATTTTATTAGTCATGGTTCCGGTATAGTAGTATGTTTTTTTTTTTCCCCATGTTTTTTTTGGGGGTTCTTGAATGTGTCTGATGTTAGGATTTTGTTTAGCTATTAATAGTGGTAGCTCATTATATTTTAATTTGTGGCTACGGCAGTTCCCTTGGATTATCTTATGGATATTTTGATGTTTGATTACTTGTGGAGCCATGTTTTAATTTTTGGCAGGATTTGTTTTGAGGTTAGATTTTTTCCTTGATTGGGTTTTGCTTAGTTGTGGGGTCTCATCTTCCGTTTCCATTATTTCCAATGCCTCAAATTTATTTATTTTTGGGGCAGTTCTTGTTCTTGAGGTTGATCTTGATCTATTTTTATGCTCCTGCCCATCAGGGTTTTTTTTTTTATAGTTTCCCTATTGGGTGAAGTCTGTGATGGCCTAGTGGTAGAGGCCACTTCAGAAGAGAGAGTACTTTTTGGGTTCTCCTTGTTAGGCTTTTGCTTGTGTCTTTTGGTTTGTTGATGTTTTGGTGTTTGAGTTTTCCTTGGAGAGTTGTTTGTTTTCTGTGATTGTTTTTATAATGGTTTTCATTTCTTGGATTAGAGTTCTCATCTCGTTCATAAGTTGAGTAACTACTTCAGGTTTTGTTATAGGTTGATTATTTTCGTATGTTTGGTGTCCTTGTTGGTTTGGGTTTGGTATATGTCTTTTTTGATATTTCTGTGTATGTCACAGTGTTTATTAATTTCCTTGCTTCTGGGAAAGTAATATTTTGAGTATATTTTATTTTGGAAATATCCTTTTTTTTTTCCAGATTTCGCAATCTCTGGAATTTGCGGGTGATTTTTTTTTGCAGTTAGTGCATTTTGCCTCCTTCTGACAGTGTGTCTTATGTTATTTTCACCGCATCTTCCGCATACTGGGGGTCTAGTACACCTATCTTGGTGGTGTCCAAACTTCTGACAGTTGAAACATCTAAGTGGATTCGGTATATATGTCTCAACTTTTATTTTTATGTACCCTACATTAATTTCATTAGGGGTTTTGGGATATTAAAATTTAATATGTATGTGTTTGTGTTTATAGTTTCTCCATTTTTTTTTATACTTATTCTTTTGATATCTATTACATTTTGGTTTTTTAAATTTGTTTTTATTTTCGTCTAATGTGCATAGTGATAATTCAGAGCTTTTCACTACGCCTTTGGATGAATTTAAGGTTTGGTGGAGGGAGGTTTTAATTTTGATGTTGTTGAAAGTTTCCCATCTTAGGATTTCTTCCACTTGTGTTTTTTTGAACTTCGATTAGAATTGTTCCGTTTGTTAATTTTTTTTGTTGTTTTTGGTTTTATTTTTTTTTGAAAGTATTTGTTCGATTTTGAAAGGTGATATTTTAGTTATAGGTATATCTTCAGTTGATTGGATTACCATATATGTAGGGGTGTTTTGATATATTATTTCTGGCTCACTGTCAGAGCTTTCAAAATGTGGTCTCTTGGTGGATTTCTTTGGAAACATTTGTTTTTTTTAGGTGTTGTTTCGCCATTCCTGCTCCCCACCCACCTCGGAGTCCAATTTTATGGGAGATGCCAGGGGAAACCCATTCGCCCTGGCACATCAGGGCTACAGGAAAGGTATACTCGTATCCAGTGGAAGCCACAAGCACCTGCATTCCTTTGGCTTCCCTGGCCAAGTCCAGTGATGCCTCTCGGGTGTATACAGCCATGTTGTGGCCTTCTTCCTCAGAATCAATTGACCCTTAGCCACCGCCTTCCAACACTCATGTGGGGAGTTTATTATTATTATATATATATATATATATATATATATATTTATTTATTTTTTTTTTTTTTAATAAATGTCTTTTTTTTTTTTTTTTTGGAGGATAAATTGGCAATTATACTAATACACAAGTTTTTTTTTTGGGGGGGGGTTGAGTGTTAGGGCTTGTCATGACCAGCCGATTGATCGGAGTGGGCCTCTCCGACCGCCCGTCTAGCTCAGGTAAGGGCCAAAGTGGAGTGTTGCAGTTAATGACCACTTATCACCTGGGTCATGACCTGCTCAGCCACCAGGGTCCCGTCCCCAAACATCACGGGTCGCCACCCACGGCAAACAGGTGGCCCCCTTGGGGGACTTTTACCCCCTGCAGAGGTGCAGTCGGCGTATTCTGAAGCCCCGCCGACAGGGCATTCTTTGGAATGACTCTGCATGCTAATCAAGAGGAAATGAGTTGAAATCTTTTGGGAGCTTTTTATTCTTTATTCCCATTCTCTTCTCTAGACTTAATGGGTGAGGGTTTCAACAAAAAGGACAGGAAATAAAATTACATAATTACGATAACACTTCATTCATTACAGAAATTCTAAGAGTTCTGTGGGTTTTATATAGTCAACTTGAATTCCAATAAGATCAGCTTTCACCCTTCACTTCTGTTGCAGTGAAAAGCACAAGACAAGGAATTCTTGCCTGAATTGACAAAAATGCAAGGCAAAGAAATATGAGAAAATGAACAGATATCAAAAACTACCAGCACAGAATAACAAGACCATCAACAAAAAAAAAGAGGCACTACCCCCACCCCGCAAAAAACAAAACACTTGAGTGTTATATTTTTAAGAAAGAGTTGCCTCAGCAAAAGTTAACCTTACTGCTTTAAGTATTGAGAAGCAATCTTCTTCGGCATCTCTGCAGTGGATAACGATCGGCTTTGAAACATCCAATGCTAGTTTGATTTGAGTTCGAAAAACATCTTTTTGTATCTCAGCTTCCAAATGAAACCTAAAAAAAAAAAAAAAATTCACAAAACTTAAACATAAATATGGAGTTCTGACAGAAACAAATACTTTTTTTTGTATATTTCATTGTTGCAGATGGCTTGTCAGGTGACTTTTGAACCCAGTGCAGTAACTTGCACATCATTTCACTTCAAAGCCCTCTACTAGTGCCTCTTAGGTGGCAGAATTTAAAATCACCTATTGAACAAGACACACGCAAAGTAAAGCTACATATTGTCCTTTACACACACACACATTATATATATATGTGTATATATAATCTTAGGAAAGAGAAAGAACAGATGGAGTTAAAATCCATAGTTCTTTGCATTTACTTTTTAAAAAGTGCTCAATACAAATGTAGAGCAAAATATAATATTATTAAAGTATTTTTTATTATAATAGATTACAATAAAAACATCTTACATCGCTACACAAAAACTTTCATGTTTCAGAACTGTCATCAGGCAATCGTAGATAACATAATACAAATGATTTATTTGGGAAATTTGAAAACAAATCATTACCTCTTTTGAAAGTTAAAAGGGTAGGGGGAGCCTAATGTCAGAACTAAAAATATACTTTTGGGCATGTCTGGATTAACCAATCATATCTATACTGTAGGAAGCAGTGTTCCATAATGGAGGCGGTGTATTGGTACAATGTTACTCCGAGAGACAATGTATTGCCCTCAAGTGCGCCAGCCAACATGATTTATCAGTACAAAGTCCAGCTACAAGGCATTGACGCGATGCGTTCAACTGAACGGATAAAAGAACGTGCGCCGTATGACTTGGGTGATCGCGTGTGGGTAAAAGCTCCACATAGCCGGTGTACAACTCGGTACCGGGTGGGGCATGTCACTGGAGTAAGTAACTCGCGCTCTGTGCTGGTTGATGGCATACCAAGACACATAAAAGACTTGCGTAGCTATGTAGGTACAGATACGTCAACAAGTGACACTAGCAGTGAGTGCTCAGAAAATGAACAAATAATTACCATTAGAGGTAGGGCTAGCACCTATTCAGATGGCGAAGACTCTGTGCGTGAGGTTGTCAGACCAGAAGAATCTTCAGAACATTCTTCAGATGATGAAGACACTGTGCGTGAGGTTGTCAGATCAGAAGAATCCTCAGAACATAACACACAATATCCTCTAACAGTCGCCACGCTCCGGAGAAGCTTAAGAATAAAGAGGCCCGCCTATGAGTGTCACTTATGTGACAGCGGGGAGTGTAGTGAAAGAGATAATCAGGTACCCTAAAAAAAGTTCGTGCTTTGTGTGCGATCTGCTGAAGAAAAATTACCAAAAAGTAGTCAGCAAAAATCTACATCAATGACTAGAAGCTATGCTAATGTTCTTCCCTCCCCTGGATGGCGTGACAAATCAGAAAATTCCCTCGGTGAACAGAAGTCGTCGTTTTTCGCTTATAAAAGGAGATGATATTTTTGATCTGTGAAACGAACACGCATTGTTGTTGGCAAGAAGTGAAGGTTGGATTTGTGACCCCATTTTGGCGTTTCTATGGTGTGTGTTGGACTGTTACGTTGGACTATCGTGTGAACTGCGATTTGGCTACAAGTGTTGCGGCCGAGAAACAAGAAATCTATTGCAGTTGATACTATCAGTTGACAGTCTTTTCTTTACTACAACATATTTTTCATTATTCTATTTTAGTATAAGTTCAGAGGGTAGAGGGGGCAGGTTATAAATTAAATTTCTTGATAAATTGACACTTTAGACATGTCAGTATTGAACATAATGTAGTGAAATCCAAAGTTCAGATTTAGTAAAGTAGACAGAGTAACCTTAAACAAAAATATTTTTAAGAATTTTTCAAAATTCTGTATTACTACGGAAACTTCTTAAAGGGACTGAATAGATAAAGTTAAAAGAAATTCTTTTATGGAACTTTAATATACAATGCTAATTATATTGAATGGGTAGTAAAACAAGGCAATATTAAAGTTGAAAAAAATCCAATAAAAATTGAATGGATGATTATATACTTATGAAATAATGGCTATGTAATTGTAATGCATATAACATTTATGAAGAATTCTTTTAACGATATTTTAATGTAAATTTTATGCAATGCCTACCTAAAACTGTTAATTCATTTCTTTGATTTAGCAGAAGTTCATTTTTAGGAAACTCTATAATATGCAGTTTTTCTTGTAAACACAAGGGACATGGGTCATATAAGGATTTACAAATTCTTGTTTTTTTTTTTTAATATTTTCCATTTAACCGTAGGAGTTTTACTAATTACTTTTAAATGCCAAAAATATATAGAAAGGGATCTTCGGTTATGGTAGGCATTGTTGTTGAAAGAAGATATGTACTGATACCACCTCAGTTTAAAGGAATTTTTTGTACTGCCAATATAAAATTTCTTAACTCACTAGATGAAATGGTACATTGGTAAACAATAGAATCAGTAAGACACCTATTTTGTAATGGACATTCATTAGGATTTCTACAATTACATAATTTTTTATCATTATTGTTTTCTGTTTTGGAATAACAATTGTTACTTTGGTTTAAGTGTAGATTTAAAATTTTATTATGGTTTTAATAATTTTTTTTAGATTATCTGTACAATTGTAACTTAATTTAAGCATATTTTTTATTAAAAATCTTGCTTAGAGGATTATTACTGGGGAAATTTTCCTTAATTAAATCAAGAAACTTATGCCCTAACATAGTGCTTACCATATGGTTAAATGGAAGTGTATACTAAATGATTTTTCTATTTCTAAGCACTATAGTCATTGATCTTATTTTCTGATAATAATGTGTATGGGCACGTTTATACACATAAAAAATTTAAAATTATTTAAAAAATCTTAGTGCATGATGATTTGTATTAAGCTTTTCAATTTTCACTTAGTAAATATAGTTTTCACTTAATAACCTAACAAAGAGGAAGTTTTGAAAAATTTTTTTTAAAGATTTTTGAAACTTTATAAATTTAAAAAAAAAAAAAGAAAGAAATGAAAACAATTCTTGTAAAAATTTATTATTCATCAAAAAATTTCTTTTCTTCAGATTATAATGTCCTTAATATATATTATTTATAAAAGCAATTAAAAGCTTATCTAATTAAATAATGTAATAGTTTTATTGCAGTTTTTATTTTATGATTTGCAGAATACACACAAATATTTTCCAAACAAAGATTAGACAGGTTAATTTATCAAAGTGAGAAACATTTTCTAGGAATAAAAAAATTTGCATGATCCTCAAAGTTGCAATCACCCACCAATAATTTATTTTGAAATAATACCACCCAGATGACATCCCATCACCTTGCTAGCATCAAATAATAGATTAAAAGTTTGGTTAATTTTATTTAGCAGCATATTAACCTCTATGGGTTACTTAATGCTGAAATCTAAATACGTTCGATATCCTGTCTTCATCAGCCGCCAACCAGGGGTGATATCCCGGTTTCGGTGGCTATGGCAGGAAAATATTGAACACATCTTATGCCTTCAAATACAGATAAAATGTATTGTTGGCCATTATATATATATATATATATATATATATATAAAAAGTGTTACTGGTATTTTTACTATAAAAATGTATTTTTATACTTTCATAGAGTTTTGTTTAGGGGCTCACTATTTGCCCATAGCTGGGACCCTAACAGGTGCTACCACCCCAGATCAGGGTGGATCTGGAAACAACAGTAATTAAGAGGTGGTTCCTTGCTCCTCAAAACCTCCAATCTCCCGATCAGAGGCCTTGCTGCTGGATGTAGTTTATCGTCATATCCAGGACAACCAAAAAGATAACAAGAAAAACTACTTACATTCCGGAATAATCTAGACCTATTTCACCAACTGCAACGACTTGCGGCATTCGAATACACTCGTTTAACTGTTGTAAAGTGCGTTTGTTTAGAAATTTCACTTTCTTTGGATGACAACCCACTGCAATCCAGACATTGTCTTCATTAACCAAACTACGAAAAAGACTACCTACAAAACAAAATAGACAATGCATTTACATAAAATTTCATATTCTCAGAATGCATACAATGAAACATATTTATACGAGAACTGATAAGCTGTAATAAAACAAATCTATCAACCCCTTTGTGGGTTATTTAAAGCAAAAACATTTTTTTTTAATCATTTCACCCCAAACAAGGCAATAAAGCCAATAAGATGTAAGGGGTTACTAAATATGAAAGAAAAAAAAAATTATTAAGGAGAAAGGGGGGGGGGTCTGCCTCATCAATCATGAATTGAAAGAGACATGATCGTCCAAATGTGTATTACAAATGGCACTTAACTGACCGACTGAAGGAAAGAAGCCACTAAAAGAAAAGGAATTAACAAGACAGACAATAACAATTGACATTACATTTAAATTTTTGTAGATCAAACTTGACTGGGAAGTAAAAAAGTTCCACAAGCGAGAAGTACAATAGAATAAACTAGCATAAATTTGATAAATGTGAATCCAAATGTGAAGATCTTAGTTCCTATTTCTTTAATGCTTTTAACCATTTATATAAATATTAATTATAATGCTTTTAATTTCTTTAATACAAGCCAAGCTAAAATAAGAGAATTATTATTTATACTATTTATATTCTGTCCCCATTTTTGTTACTATCCATTTTGCTCAATGGCCTACCTCACGTGTATCGATCTGGGTATCCTGGTTGATGATTTCATAACGGTGTTTTCCAAATTAGCTGTCCTCAGAGTTGTCTGTCTACGCAGATCAAAATAGTCCCATCTTAAACATAAAAGGATGCTTGGCAATTTAGTGGATGAACCATAAGGTTTGACATTGTCTTTAACAAAAAAAAAAAAAAAACTAAGTTGAAAACTTTAGTGGTTTGGTTTGGTTTATTTTGTTTAACAGCATATCAACCTCAATGGGTTATTTAATGCTGAGAAAAATTTTTATTGCTGGTAATATTTTGTTTTGTCAAAAATCTGTTTCTGGTAATATATTTCCTTCAAAAAAGTATTGCTGGTAATAGTTAATTATTTGCCCATAGCTGGGACCCTAACAGCCTAATATTTAGGCTGGTCTGATCTAAGAATTATTGATTCCATTAGGAATATCTATCCATTACTCCAAGACTACCAATATATTTTAATTGTTGTTTTTAGGCAACAATAAACTACAGAAGAATTCAAAATTAATCGCTGCATTTAAGTATTTCATTAATATCATTAATTATCTTTTAAAAGTTCAACAATAATTCTTCTGTCACCACATAATTTCAGGGCAATTTGATGTAAGTAGGGCCTTACTTTCTATACAAACAATTATATTTATTTCATGGATGACTTTCGCTGGATTTCGCAATTGCTTTCGATTATTCTCAAATTTATTTCCAAGTTATTGTACAAAAATATTTAGCACAAAGAATCATGTAAAGGAAAAAAAACAAAAACAAAAACAAAAAAAAAAAAAAAAAAAACAAAAAAAAACACTGAAAACAATTGCAGTAATGAAAACTTGGGAATCCAAAATTTCATGATTGTGGGTCTGGATCTGGCCCAGAATGTTTTTAATTGGCTCATGGCGTCAACCTGATTCCAAAATGGTAGAGTATGTTGGGCTACAATCTCCAGGAGCAAAGTTGGAAAAGTGTGACACACTGACATTTGCATTCATTATATAGATAAAATTTTAATTTGGGATACCTCCTTAGAGTGAAAGAAAGTAAGAAAATATTGTGGAGAATGGACAACATAAGAACAGGATTCAAAAAGACAGAAACTGATGACAGATATTGCATTTCAATTTTTGAATATTATAGTTTGGAGTAAAGCAAGCTACAAGAGTGAACAAAGGTGACAGAAGAAACTGTTGACATAGGTCTTATAATGAGATCTAGCTACCAATAGTGCATAAATTAGTAATATCAAGGGAGCAAAGTGAAGTCAGAGGATTTACCAAGAAAATAGTCACAAAAATGCAAAGTGAAGCAACATTATATTAGTAGAAAAGTGTATGAAACTTGGATGCAAAATTCAGGGCCAATAACAGTGCAGATTCTTCTTCAGGATTTTTCAAGACTCACAAACTTAAAAAAAGATCTAATAAAAATAAAGATAAAAATAAATACTAGTCATAAATTTAATAATAATGGCTGACAATGCTTCATCTAATAAGAAATGAAGATGAAAGTAAATGCTAGTCAAAGATTTAATAATAATGGCTGACAATGCTTCATCTAATAAGAAATGAAGATGAAAGTAAATGCTAGTCAAAGATTTAATAATAATGGCTGACAATGCTTCATCTAATAAGAAATGAAGATGAAAGTAAATGCTAGTCATAAATTAATAATAATGGCTGACAATGCTTCATCTAATAAGGAATGATGATGAGGATAATATTTCTGCAACCCCCGTTGAATGAAATGTCTAACATAAATTTTTCCGAAATGCTTCTTTATTGTCATAAAGGAATATTTTTTCATGTCCATGAATCTATTTCATCTACACCTATATTTATTCAAGCTTGGAAGCTTAAGACGTTCTCTCTGACAAAATTGGAATTTCTTGTACTAGCAAATTATGTTTCATTGTTAAGGCAGTAAAATTTGTGATGTTTTGTTTTCAGAGTGATTGAGAAACCAACTAAAGGCTAATACATGTCATCATAAGTTTTGCAAATTTAAAATTGTTCCACATTTCAGAAATCCATCTTCATCAAAATATGCAATGGATGGCAGCTCAGAACAAGAAAGAACAGAGCCAAATTTGAATATCAGTCGAATTCATTACGTTCACTTACAAGCAAACACCCTTCAGAAGGTTATGAATGCATCTATTCCCCCACCAGCTATGGGTTAAATAGTAAGGCTTTTTATGTGGAAAAAGAAAGTCAACGTTATTATTCAATGTTTCCACCCACCCAAAAGAAAAAAAGAAAGTTTCAGCTTTAAATAAACCATAACAGATTGACAAACCATAAATATCAAATCAAAATTAATCACTCGTCCACAAGATTTCCTGCTCTTCCATGTTTGATGCAATCACTATCTTTAAAATAATCCTGAAAATAGTAGAACTATAAAGACAAAGTAACAATAAATGAATTTACCTCGAGGATTAAATGTCAGCGGATTACAGAAGATAGCAACACATCCACCAAATTCATTGGGAAACGAATCTGCATTTGCTTCACGATATTCTTGGAAGTTACCATAAATTCTGTCTAAATGCTCATTGAGCATCATGTCAATGTGACAATGAGTATCCAGGAATTTATGGCCAGCCTCGAAACATTTTTTCTTGTAATTCTCTTTCCAACTCTTTGGAGATGATTCAACACTGCCAAAGATTTGTTGGTATTGAAAGGCTAACCGTTTCCAGTGATCCTGATTTCTCAAGGAGATTTCTTTGACATGAGACCTAAGTGCATTAATAATACAATCCCCACTCTTTGTTCCAGATTCCAAGGCTCTACCAGAAGGGGAATTTTCAAATATTGTTTGACTCGTCATGCAGGTCTGGGGAGAAGGTAAATTTGTGATTTTGTAATTGGCAGTTGATGGGGAGAAAGAAAAAAATCTTTTACGACCAGATGACCAAGGTGAAGTAGTGATTGCAGGTAAATCTGACTTTTGGCACGTGTCAGATTTTGGAAAGAATTTCTGCTTTGTATGGCCTGTACTACATTGCCTACTGTACGTGTGATTTTTCTCCCAGTTCAGATTCCAGCTAAGCTGATTATCCCCTGCTTGATAATTGGCATGATTAGTGATTCCATCTTTGGCACTAACAAAGTTTGTAACTTCCATTTCCTCTTGGAAGGATAGAGAGCTTTTGGAGCCATGTTTGTCTTTGTTTTGGCTATCATCGAAAGAGGTTTTGGCAGATGTACTAACAATATCACCAGAAGAACCTTCAGTCCAACTATTACTTTCCGAGAAAATACTGTCTTGGTCCGATTTGTTTATGCTTTCAGTATTTTCTTCGAGCTCACTCAAACAAGAATAGACAGACAAGTAAGTTTCATCACTGAGTGATGATTGTGAGTCAAAGACATCGGCAGGTTCACTGTCTCCACTTTGGCTGTAGCCATAAAAGATTTCTGTTGTTTCTTTTGAGTCGTCATTTGAATCAGTTACAGTGGAACTTTCATTGGGCACAGAACTTTTGCCATTTTCATCTCTGGCCCTCTTTTGAGGAGACTGTAACGACATACCCAAGCCAGATGAGTCTGAAGCCACGGCTTCAGGTTCCCAGCCTCCAGATAACTCAAATGATTCGACAATATTCGATGCTTGATCTCCTCCCATTCTCCATGCAACCTCTTCTGAGAAACACTCTACTTGACCATATGCTTCAGTTGATGAAGGCAGAATATTTTCTAGACATTTTGGTTCCTGGAAATTGGTTTTGTTTTCAAGCATAAAAGGTTTAAAATCATCTATCTGTTTGAAAGTTGCTGCATCGTGGAATTTGTCAGAATCAGAGCCTGGTAATTCCAGGAAAGACTTGCTGAGATGGTTGTTGTTATGGTTGAAGTCTTCAGACAACTGAGGACTAGTTTGATCCGAATTGGAGACACATGCAGTACTCACTTCTTCTCTGATACTAGTTTTATCTGCTTTCAAAGATCTGTGCTCGTAAAGGAGTTGCAATTTTAAAAGACTTCCCCGTCCAAGCCCAGGTTTTCTTTCAGACAAACTTTGGACCTCTAAAGGTTTTAATCTTGTGTAACTAGCTCCTTGCAAATCTTCCTGGGAGCTTGGAGAGGTAGGAGTGATTTTAGAATCATTCAGGAGTTCTTGCTCCTTGGCCTGCTGGGATCCATGTAAGGTTTCTCTCTTATATTTGGTTGAACAGGTGTTTTTGGAACATGTCTCAGATTTTGCAGATAATGTTCTGGGATAAGTGGGGGTGACTTTTGGTGACTTGTCAGTACAGCGTTTTGCAGGTGGCTCATACAGTAGCTGTGAAGGGCGATTTCTTAAAGATCGATGCACTGAGGTGGGAATAGTGTCTTTTTTTATATCAGAAGACTTCATTGTTAGTTTCCTCAGCCTCTAAAAACGTCCTACGTCGTCTTCTTCAAAAACAGTACCTAGGAAAATTAAAAAAACAAGGAAACAGAATTAAAAATTTGAACCAAATAATAATTAAATGATGGGTTCTAAATGGTTTACATGATTAATATTCAGAAGCCCTTATTGGGAAGCACTATATAAAATTAGAAAGGGTCATGAAACAAGGATGCATCTTCTCTCCAGATTTATTCAATGTTTACAGCGATGCCATCCTAAGGGAACTAGAGGTCCTACCAAGATTTATTATTGGCAGCATAATCTTAATATTCAATTTTTTTTTTTTTATAATTGTCATCTCAGATCAACGATAAGTAATCAATAGAGATTCATGGTCAGAAACTCGAGTAATTATAGGTTATCCCGACTTCCTAATCTTTTTTGAAAAACAATTTTGAAAAAGTACCTGTCTATATTTCTGAGATGAGGTATTATGTACACTATTTACATTATCCGGACTATTGTCCTCATCTTTGTCGCCATATTTATTACGTTTCAGCCTTCTTCAGGTAGTTGCAATGTCAAACTGAACCCTTTATTTTGCTCACTGGGGTAGACTGTTCTAGTTCTATGTGCCATGTTTAATGGATGTCAGTTAGTAGTTATCTCCTGTTAATTCCCCTTGCCAAGTTCTCCACTGCCTTAACCGGGTATTGAACTCTCACTATTTGGGTCCTGTCACTGGATCTAACCAACGCCTTTATCCATTGTGCCATATGTCCTTGAGGAGTGTACAACGGCCAAAATGTTGTAATAAATATGGCGACAAAGATGAGGACAATAGTCCAAATAATGTAAATTTTGAAAAGTTTTAAATTGTTGAGAATTTTTTTTTAAAAATGCACAGAAAATCTGCCAATAGATTAAATAAGCAATAAGTAGTGTTTAATATCTTTGTTATCAATTTTATGATAAAAGAAAATGTATAGATTCATTTTCATATGTTTGGGTTTAAAAATTCTAATCAAAAAAAAAAAAAAAAACAACATTGCCGAGGGTGTCAAAAATGTATATAGTAATAGCAGTGTCAAGGGAATAACTGCCCTTTTGGCACACCATTTTTTTTTTGCAGGCACAAAGGTTAAACCAAAAAAATTTATTTTTACAATTCAAAAATATGTTTCAGCAAAGGATTGATAAGCTGTAAAAAAACAAAAAACAAATCAATCACCCATAACCTAATGAGGAAAAAGAAAAAAGCATTTACTTATTGTTATTTCAAATCTTTCTCTTTGTCACCAAGCAAAGTGATAAAAGCAGCAAGGTTACAAGGGGTTACCGAGAATAAAAGAAACAGAGGGGACAATAAAAGAACAGGATTAAAAGAGACAGAAGATTACAGGCATTGCATTTAATGTTACATAGTTCCTAATTAGCAGGAAAACAGGAAGCTGGAAAAGAGTTGCCCAAGAAGAATGCATTGGCAGAGAACATCAGAGAAATTTCTCAAAAATATATTTCTCAGAATAATTACCTTTCTTGTTAGTGTACTTGATTCAATAGATCATTATACAATTAAAATTTAATCTGAAAGTTCAGCTATTAACTATATGTCAGGCTATTGACTTATTAATCTATCTTTATCTGTTGCAGAAGAGAAAATTTTAAAAAATGTTAATTACAACAAGAAAAATTAAAGAACTCAAGATGACAAGGAATAAAACACAAATGTTTTCAATAACTTTGTCAGAGTTATCTCCTCCTAAATTCTGATATCACCACTTGGTAGAGCCATCCCTAAACTATATATACGTGAGAAAACCCTTTCTCTCTTTCATTTTTAGCGAACTGCGACCAAGTAAAGCTCTTGCAGAAGGTACGTGTCCCCACTTGTGGGAAGACACCATGAATATTATGCACACACACGTTAATGTTTTTGTCTTTTGTAAACCCTTTATGTTGTTTAATACATATACCTGTTTGTACATATATATTGGTTCTTGGTTGTTTTCTTTTACATTTCTTTCAGTGGACTCCTCACAAGTCTGCCATATTTGTAGTGGACTTTATTTCAGGAGACCACATGTGTTCATATCACAACACGTAAAAAACCCACAGTCCACTACATGTTCTTGTTGACTTTTAAAATACCCCCCCCCCCAAATACTGAACTGCTAACTGAAATAAATGAATGTTTTAATTCAAGAATTTTGCCTATTTGATCTCTGAATGTATCATGCAGAGCTACAATTGCAGATAGGCTAATATGATAAAAACATTGTTTATAGCCAATGACAATAGCAGCATTCTAACAACATAATTACAGCTTTAATAAAAGCTTTTTTATTAAATTAATTCAAACAATAATTTTAGTCTTTTTAAGGTTATAAAAACAGATATTAAGGACAATAACCCAATATATAAATTTACAATTGTAATCTTAATGGAATTAACAAAAATAATTGAGTAGAAAATATTTTAGTTCAATAAACAATGTAATTTTTATGCTCATTTAAAACCACCAATCCGAAAATTTTACATTGGAGAGTTTCCATTGTCATTTAATATATTCAATTCTTTCTTTAACTTCCTCAATATTTCTTGGGCGTGTCTGATAAACAACTCATTTCAACTTCAATTGACCACAGAAAATAAGAAAATATCAAAACAAATTAGACATTTAAAACATAATTAACTAACCCTTATAGTGCATAAATTTTGCCTCACTCTATAAGGGGGATATTCCATGTCAATTTAACCAGGACCTAACACCACCACTCTCAGATTATCTGCAGTTTTTAAACCATGTTAAAATAACCTCCTCTACAAAAAACTAAGAACAACTAGAGAATTTTAACTCCAGATATTCACAGGAAGACCATTTTCAAGATATCAGAACATTCTATCATTTTTCTCAATTGGATGCTATTTCACAAAACAGTTCAATAAATTTTGATCCAAATGGCTTGAAAATTTGCACCCATATTATTTTCACCCAAAGAATCTAATAATAATGATTAAATGATTGTAAAAGTAAGAGAAAATCCCATTTTGGTATGGAAAGATTTAATTTAAAGGTCTGATATGACAACATTGAGGTTAAGTGTGGTGCAGTAAAAAGGAATTGATTTTCTTAAAAACAGAAATAAAAACGCATCAAACTGCATAAAATGTGACTTTCATAATTAATTTTAATTGTCATTACTATCTTCTTTTTTCATATT